CACTGCGGCCTAAGCCTATGTGTACATACTTAGGTAGCTTATCGTTACATTACAATGTGTAATAGCTGTAACCGATAACATCGACCTTCCTATCGAAAAAAGCGTTCAATATTTATCATACCTAATGTCATCGTAATAATTATTATTGTCCAATGGCGGCTGGTTAAATTACAATTCCCAACAAGTCCGAGTCTAGTACTCGCCGGCACATAATTAGATAATTTCTATTATTTATATGCGAAGTGTCGTGTGTGATGCGCATCGAAACGACTGTGCTTCCTCTGTCCGAAGAAACGCTTCTAACGAAAGAGGATGTGCGGCTCGCCACTCGCCGATGTACGGCAGCAATGATTTCATTTACAAAAAGTTCCCGTCATGAGCGCTGCGCGGTCGGCTTTTCCTGCGAGTGACGGGCCACGTAAGGCGCTTTTCATTTCCTCTATGGTAATATTATTAAACGTGTCAGCGTACTAATGAGATACGGGATCGAGTCACGATTCACCAATAGAACACGCGTTGATTGTTATAACTACTATGAATGGCATTATTCATTTATTAGAGGATGTGTCTTATACGGCGCGTTCACGTGCGACGAGGAAGCGTCTACTATGTAGTTGATACTTAATTAATTGAGTTGCTTTCCATTTGAATGAATGGCTGAAATGAAATATTCAATCAAAATGGTGTTCAATTATTTGGCCATCCATCTTTAACGGTTACGTAGGTATCTACTTTTCTAAATCCTTGTGCACTTACCTACCTTAAGTTATGAATAGTTTTTACTTAATTAAGAATCGTATAAAAGTATATAGCGTCATATTAAGTATTCAGTAGGATAAAAGCATTTTGATTAATTTCTTTAATACACGTACCTAACACGCAAAGTTTGAATCAACAAATACCAAAGTTAATGTTAAATGCTGTAAATAAACGATCGAATAGCACTATACACATAATCAATGTACTTCCTTACAAATATGGCTTGTATCCCACACGAAAGAACTAGTTATCTGATATGAATATGGAAATTGATAATGTGGGTAGTTTTAATATTCACTTTATGCTACTCGTAACGCCATCTGGCGAAAAGAGTCATAACTAAATGTTACACGCAATAAATAAATCGTCGCAAAGAATTACTATTACTGTTTACGATGAAAGTAATGCTTATATTTACTAACGTTTTTAGGAAAAGTTAATGAAACCGTTATATAAAAGGTATTAAAAATACACAAATAATAAAAAATACATAAAATTTTGTACAGCGACATCTCTTGTAAAAGTCTGAAACTAAATTGTCATTTTGCAAGTCTGATAACTTGTGTCCTTATGTATAAACAAATATTAGCACTTAATCATTTTGTTTCGGTCTATTTTTTCAGAAATTTATTTTATTGTAGAAAAATCCTTACAGAACAGAAGTGTTGTAATTCCAATTATTGATCAACAGATGACGCTCAAATCTATTTTCCAGAGAAATGATCTTGTTTCCAAATTCAATTAATCGATGAACTATTTAGCTGACTTGAGAAACGTACTTTTGGTTTTATATTGAAACAACAGTCGGGAGACTTGAATAATTGGTGGAAAATTATGATTTTTTAAATATTTTAAGGAATAGGGGGATAGATAGGTGGAGCAATCGCTTGACGATCAGCACCACCCAGAGCTAGCTCATAATACAGGAAGGTGCCAGAAAATTTTAAAAATAAAAACGACAAAAGTTGCGTACCTTACTAAGTGTATTTAAAACTTAAAAACTAACAAACTATACTCATAAATATATAATAATTATATTTAATTTCCTGTAATTTCAATTATGATTATGATAACGATTGAATTATAGAATCCAATGATATCTTTACATAATTCTAGAAATGTATTTAATAATGGCCGAAATCAATCACCCATCTCAATCTAAAGGCCTTGGACTATTCTTTTAACTAATAATAATGGTTTATTTACGTAAATATACTGAGAAAAGCCACTTTTCACTATTTCTTACTCAATTATTTCTTACTCGATAGTACAAGTACATACCATAGTAACGTCTACTAGTTTTAGTTCATTCAATATGTCTTTTTAGTTCATTAACCCTTTGAGTATCGTCATTATAGACACAATTAAAGAGCAATAGGTTGCGGTCACCGGTGTCCTAGCGGTGTTTGACAGTTTAAGATTAAGAGTAAATTTTTCAATGCTCAGATAAATTTTAACTGAGGAATAACATTAAATATTTGACAATTCTTCCATACTAAAGCTGTCAACTTTAAATTCTATTGTACAGTCAAGAATTAACTGATGATTGAAAAATAGGCCCTAAGTAAACAGAACCCTCCCGAAAAACACTGCAAAAAAAGTTTTTACTGTTTATTAGTTTTGGTTTACGTGTTAACCATGCAACATCTGCCTTGAGTGATAGATTACAACTATTATTCCATAAAATAAACATTTAATTACATACTTTTATGAAAATAAAACTCAACAATCACCTGTCGACGTTTTTCGGGGGCGTTCCGTTTACACCCTGTATTTGATGGGCCGACGTTTGACCACTATCTCGCCTGGTGGTAAGCGATGATGCGGTCTACGATGGAGCACGTCGTCCCGTAAGCAAGTTCACAAGGGTCTCACGAGTTATTATAAAAAATAGTTCTATTGAGTTCTAGATGGATGGATCCATAGAGATTGAGGTAGGTCATTAATTTCAACCGGATAAATAACATACATCGAGCTAAAGAGGTAATTTAGTTGTGTTCCACATGTTTATTTTGAAACTCATAAGTCATAACTTCACGCCTTTTTTTATCGCCGAAGGGGGTGCACACCTACTTTTTACTATTTATGTTATGAGTCCCATATAATAGGAGGTGAGCTTATTGCCATTTACTGGGCACATTTCCAAACTCTATACTACTGAGATTTTTTTTAAAAACCCTCTAATACTTTTTCGAGCCCGGAATCGACCCCGAGAGCCCTTGCCCGGCAGTCGGACTTGCCCCCACTCGGCCAATGAAGCAAGTTTTATTTTGAAAATGTATTCATAAAATAACAAGTCCTGACTGATTCATTATCACAGAGTGCAAACTATCAATGCCACAATAATTTCATGAAATTCAAATTGTCACAGTCTAGCTGTGAGTAAAGAATACAACGTTAAACGTCATTATAGAACTGAAAATATTTTTCAGGCCCTCCAGCTTTTGTAAGAAATTTAATTAGCCTGCGAGGGTATATATTTTGGACAGCCCTGTAATAGAGGAAGAAATAGGGGTAGAAAGTTTGTTGTATAATCAAATTCCACGCGAGCAAATCAGTTGGAAACAGCTAGTAGGAAATACAATAGCAATTTTGGATACCAGAAATGGAAAAACAGATGAGTTCGGAGGGAATACCCTAACTGATTATTCTCTAAGAAGAGTGAGTACTGAGTTCAAAGGTAGCCATTACTGAAATATGAGAATCAAATATCAGATCATAGTTTCCTGTGATTCAGAATCAGACAGTGCTAAACGCACATACATAACATCACGCCTTTTATCCCCGAAGGGATAGGCAGAGGTGCATATTACGGAACTTAATGCCACTGTACAGTACAGTATGAGTCCCATGTAATAGAGGGTGAGCCTATTGCCATATACCGGGCACAATTCCAGACACCGTGCTACCACTGAGATTTTTTATTTTATATTTACTTACGCACTTAATTATTTTCTATTAGCTCGATATACATTATTTACCACCAACAATTTTGTAATACTAAACACTCATAACATTTTAACAAAATTATCATTTATTCTAAAAGTGCTTCAAGACAAAGCGGGTTTGAGATGCATAAGTGTATTTTATGGCAATAAAATCAATACCTACTATTATTATTGGTACAAAAATTTCACAGCAATTACATAGGTACATTAGAGAAATGCTTCTTATAAAAAATAATACAAAAATTACAAATAGGCGTACAGAATGTACTTAAGGAATACTTTTCAATTGACTTTTTCCATTTTTAAAGGCTTACATAGAGGCCTTAGTACGAATTTGATTTAGGTTTAAAGTATTCGAAACGAGAACGCGTTTGGCAATCTGATTGGCCGACGCCAATGAACCAACCAATCAGGGGGCTCACTCTTGAATCCAATTCCGATCGATCGAGATTGGTATTGTTAAATTTCGTACTCTTGAGTTACAACACTAGCGCCCATTGCATTCGTATTGCGTGGATATTGAATGAACTAAACGGTATTGAGTTTGGCTTTATATTCCGTACTCTAAATGCTGTTTTAACAGCTACGATTGGGGTTGTATAGGTTTGACATGATACATAACATAGCATCACGCCTTTTATCCCCGAAGGGGTAGGCAGAGGTGTACATTATGCTACTGTACAATGTAACACCCACTTTTCACTATTTATGTTATGAGTCCCATGTAATAGGGGGTGAGTCTATTGCCATATACCGGGCACAATTCCAGACTCCGTGCTACTACTGAGAATTTAAAAAACTCAGTAGTACTTTGCCCGACCCGGGAATCGAACCCGAGACCCCTTGCCCGGCAGTCGCACTTGCGACCACTTGGCCAATGAGGCAGTAGGTTTGATATTGAATAATTATTAAGATTTTATTGGATGAAAATTGCATTGACATTGAGATTGGTTTCAAGAATAAGCTCACTGAGCGCCGAACGCCTACTCGTTACGATTACTTTAAGCGTAAAATAAACTCGTATTAAGGCTTCAGGTCATTTGAGATTAACAATTAGTTTATAAGTAAAAGGAATGCATTATTCTAGATTTTAAAAGTACTTGTAAGCCTTTAAAAATATGTAGGGACCAATTTCGAAACCTAATTTAAGGTCACTTGTGATTTCGAATCCATAGATAATTATGATGTAAAGTGATGGCCGTGATCGTTCATAGACAAACTAAATAGAGTTGTAGAGGAAATGCATTAAAAGTAGGTTTGACTAGTAAATGCTTTGTTTTTGGTGCCTACTTATTACACGTAGAAGAGCCGGACGCGCGACGTTGTGATCAGCAGATCTCCATCAAAAAACTTTGTTTCAATGACGACATTACCACTGGAAAAAAAAGATATGCTTTAATAATAATGCTGATAATAATAAATATAATAAGTCTGATGCAGAAAGCAGTACTTCTGGACACGGCGCGTATTGTCCGGAAATTCCTTTCTCTGGAGCCCTGACCACCGGTAGCTTGGATTTCTACCGTTACTGGTGGGCTACTCCTTTTTATATTTTTAAATGTTTTTTTTTATATAATCATATATTTAAAAATATTATATTAAGTCAAGTATAGAAATAAATAAAGGAAAAATATAATAAAATACCTAATAACAAATAGTAAAGAAGATAGTTTGAAAAATGGTAAAAACGGTTAAGTTTGTTTTATCAGAGGTCTAATAAACTCCACTGATTACGAATTTGTTAACTTAGGAACTTACATAAGGAGAATTTCAATAGGTATCAGTTAACATAACATCACGTCTTTTATCCCTAAAGGGGTAGGCAGAGGTGCACATTACGGTGCGACACTTAATGCCACTGTACTCAATGTAACACCCACTTTTCACTCTATGTTATGAATCTCATGTAACCCTATTGCCTATTGCCATATACCGGTCACAATTCCAGACTCAGTGGTAGCACACCACTGACATTTCATTATAAAAACCCAATAGGACTTTACCCGACCCGGAAATCGAACCCGAGACCCCTTGCCCGGCAGTCGCACTTGCGATCACTCGGTTAACGAGGCAGGTATCAGTTACTTAATTATTGTTTATTATCAGAGAGTGGAACAACCCTGAGTTGCAGTGATTACGCCGTGCGAGTGCATTTATGGCTTAGGTCATTATAAACATGCTCAAGAGGCCAGCAACACAGCTGTACCTTTTCTGGTGTTGCGAGTATAACAGGGCAATATTTATTGTATACTGTTTAACCTATTGTCTCCCATGACCCACAAAAATTACAATAGCTAATACTCACTTGAGAACATTAGCTGGCATCATCTGAGATTCAGGAGCGGACTCGATAACCGACTGCCATGTGTTTGTAGAATTGCGGATCACGAAGCCAAACTCGAAGAACCATTCCTCCAAGCATCGCCCTTTGAATAGGACTTTCTGAAAATAATAAAAATAAATGGAATTAGGAAAAGAATATTTCTGAAATTACATAGCAAATTCAATAATTTGTTAATCCTTACTATCCTTACTAATATTATAAATCTGAAAGTGAGTTTGTTTGTTTGTTTGTTTGTTCCACCTTCACGCCGTAACTACTCAACCGATTGCTTTGCATTTTTGCAGACGTAAAGTTAGAAGTCCGGATTAAATAATAGGGTACTTTTTAACCCGGAAAAAAATGATATTCCCGAGGAAAAACAAAAGTATTGGTATAGATGGCGCTGTGTGTTTTGGTATATGTCACATAGGCTACTTTTTATTCTTTTGTGACGCGAGCGAAGCCGCGGGTAAAAGCTAGTTAATAATAATTTGTGTTTTTTTTTTTGTTGTTGAAAAGTAGATTATCTTTCTCTAAAAAGTTTCTTTTTTAGTTTAACAAGTAAGCAAAGTACAGACAATAAGACTGGTATAACTGCGTAAAAAGTGACTTCACTATACCATAGGCATAGGCATACAAGTACCAATGTGACTATTTCCGAGTCATATTTACTTTCTAAGATTATCTAAACACCACTGACAAACGGTGAAGGAAAACACAGTTAGGAAACTGGGACTTATAAGTTCTAAGTTTGTTATCCCCAACCCGCAATGAGCAAGAGTGGTGATTAATGTTCAATCCTTTTTCGTGCAAGAAGAGGCTTTGTGCACCAATGGGCACTTATAGGCTGTTGATTATGATGATTCTCTATCAATATAAATATACTCACTGACTCACTGTCTATCTTTCCTTATATTAACAAGTGTGATTTTTATTTTATGGGCAATGGTGTAGTTTACATATTTACTGTAGCTGTTTAGTGTAAAACTTTGCACATAACATTTTAATATGTAACTGTTTTGTTTCCCTTATAAATAAATACAATACAATACCTGTTCTAAACGGAACCGGTCCATAGATTCGATGGAGCTAAAGTTCATTTCCCGAGACACGACGCGACACTTCAGGATGCGCTTGGGCACGCGAGCCTCGTGCTCAATGTCAGGGTTTGACATGTCTTCGCTATTCTGCCAAAGGATCTTGCCTGGAATAGATGTAAAAAAATAATGAACTCGTACACAATCATCCTTACTAATATTATAAATCTGAAAGTGAGTTTGTTTGTTTGTTCCACGTTCACGCCGTAACTACTCAACCGATTGCTTTGAATTTTTGCAGACGTAAAGTTAGAAGTCCGGATTAAATAATAGGGTACTTTTTAACCCGGAAAAACTTGATATTCCTGAGGAAAAACAAAAGTATTGGTATAGATGGCGCTGTGTGTATTGACATAGGCTACATTTTATTCTTTTGTGACGCGAGCGAAGCCGCGGGTAAAAGCTAGTCTGATATAAATGGCCCAAAATTTGTTCATACAAAAGTAGTCTCTAAACATCGGATATAAGGTCTATAATGGAGTTAGTGATGATGAGATATGGATATAGTGAAAAGACATAAATATGTACACATTGTTAGTGTTTTAAAAAAAAATTACACAACCAAAATTCTTAAACTATCAATATACCATTTACTTTTTTTGATAATTTGCAATTGAGTATTCAATTTAGGTCTATCACTAAATTAAAATATTTGATGTTTTGTATATTGACTATAGAGTCAACTATAGTTAACAATACAAAACAAGTCAAAAATATCACATGAGATGGCTATACAACCATTCCATGTGGTATTTTTTTTAATTTACTTCATACATCCAAGATATGACAAATACCACATGAGATGGCTATACAGCATACAGCCATTCCATTTGGTATTTTTTTAAATTTACTTCTTGCAACAAAAATATGACAAATACCACATGAGATGGCTATACAGCATACAGCCATTCCATTTGGTATTTTTTTAAATTTACTTCTTGCAACAAAAATATGACAAATACCACATGAGATGGCTATACAGTCATTACATGTGGTACTTTTTTAAATTTAGTTCTTGCAGCAAGGACAAATAACAAATAAGAACATGAAACTAAACTTACCAGTATCAGCATCTCGCAAATTCATCCAATTTCTGTAAAGAAGACATTTTGTATTAAATACCTACGAAAAAAGGATGGAAAGAAGACATTTTGTATTAATACCTGAAAAAAGTGTGGTTGCTAGTTACCAATAAACACCATGGGGGTCACCGGTGACGGACATTAGCAAAGGATTTGCCCAAAGCCTTAAATAGGTTTAAGAAACAGATCTTTCTCAACGTCTTTAGCACTGTTTATTTCAATCCAGTTTTGTGCTTAAAAATCAACATGTACAACATAGATCTTTCACTTATTTTTAAAAACGTTTAAAAAAAAAACTTATTTCTGCCATGTCTCATATGACAAATGGATCTCTTTGAAACCATTAGCATTTTCTAGTGTATTTATTATTTCAAGAAAATTAACACATGCAACATTTACTACGTATTGCTTATTTCAGTGTGACATGTGGTATTTTTAATAGTGTTAGGTAAAGAGTTGAAGTATCTTGTGTAGGTATTGTCTTTCTCATGATTATGGTAGGTTTGTGGTGTTTTTGTAAAGATACAAGTCGTAGATGTTAATTTTAAACATATTTATCAGATCAATAAAGACCACAAAGTTGATATCCATACTGTATCAAACCTTGAGTCAAGGTATAAAACTGAGCAAGTCACAAGTTTTCAAATTGATATTTTTAGATCTAAAACGCTCTAATGCAACCCATTATTAATAATAAAAATTCATTAACGAGGCTGTTTGAAAATAGTTGTGATAATAGGCCCTAGTCACGCAACATATTGAATATTTGTAAAGAAAAAGGATACTTACACTTGAAAGCCCTGTAGAATAGATGCCACACGATCTTCTCTGTTTTCTTCCACTGGTAAAACCTCCGTCATTGTTATTACTTATTTAAAACACGATTATGCGATAGAAATCTTGATTCGTATTAATTTTTATTTTAGCACAACAAAACTTGCACAAGTCACAACAAAAAATGACAGAAAATCAAAGTGTACTGTATGAAATCAAAAGCAAAAGTGAAATGAATGAATGAAGACGACAAATTAATGACAATGACCACTGAAGAAGAGAATAAACAAGAAAGGTCTGTTCGTTTATGTTTTTTATGGCTTGACTTCACGTATTTTGAGCCAGGTAAGATTTTTGTATCCAAACATTTGGTAGCTGTCAGTACATTCCATTTCACGATAAATGATTAACTGTCATTTATACTAAAGCAATTTATTATTTTATAAATTATAGCTAAATGAAAATAAATATGTTCATAAAAAACTTACCAATTATCTAAAACATACAACCAAATATTATTGAAGTAATAGGTGCTTGAATCAAACGAGTGTTTTTAAATTTCACAGCAGTTCATGAACATTATATTACGTGTAACGTATTGCATAAAATCAAAATGGTAGACTAATTTGACAGAAAATAGAATAGAATGGAAGAGAATAGAACAGTTGTTGGTATTTTTGTATACCTGCTGTGTAATTCAATAAAACAATAAAGAATCTAGTTATCTGGCGAATGTACATATTAATTCAACTGCATTTATGTAACGTGTCGATTAGGGGTTGTTTTAAATTGGAGCGCATTAATTTCTATGAACTCGAAAAGCGAAACTGACGAAGCTTCAAGGTAATTTTGTTGTGATAATTTTGTGTGAAAAAATCAGTTCATCTCTGCTACTAGATAGGCAAATAAGATTGTGTGATTGGATTTCAGTATGTCATTTGATGCGTAATAATAACAAAGGTTAGGTTAGGCATTACTTGCTATTTTCGTTCTTTGTTTTGTATTGAAATACCGTCGCATCGGCAGGAGGAATCGAGTACAATATTTGTGTGTATATTTGAAGGGGGAGCGAAGCATCATCGTCAAAAAATCCAGCCCCGAATACTAGTGAGGAGGAGCCTACGACAAGTTTATGTTCTGGTGCAGTAACCAGTCGTACTGAAGACATTATGAAGCGTGCTGCTGCTAGACAGCTGATCGAGAGGTATTTCTACCAGCTATTGGATGGCTGCGGCAATCCAAACTGCGACAATCAATACTGTGCATCAAGTGGAGAGGTAATCATCACTGCCTATTGTCTTGTTTGTTTACATTTTCATTTATCTAAATAGAAAAACAAATAGTCAGTTTAAAAATCCACAATCCAAATTACAATAACATTGACATTCAGGTTTTAGAAATGGTAGTAGTTATATAAAACTGAATTATTTTTATTGATAACATAACATTCTGTAGATAGTTATCACTTTGATCTAATGTTGTGCAATGATAATTTACAAAATGATAAAATTAATAACTTAAACTGTCAAACACCAAGCGGTCACCGGTGACCGCGACCTATTGTTCTTTAATTGTGTCTATAAAACCGGTACTCGACGAGTTAAGCATTGTTTTTTTTACAAAACCAGCCACAAGAAGTATAAGAAAATATTAATTTTGCATTGTAGGGTATTTCAAAATAATAAACAATAGTTATTATTGTTTGTGTAATCAGTGTAATGTAGGTATAAACAAAATTTGTCCGTAACTAAGTGACAGATAGATAACAACAGCTGATGCTAACTGATGGCAGAATGTTAGTGTCAATGTAAGAAAGTTCCTTGAGGAGTAAATTGATTTTTTTTTTAAATATGGTGATTGTTTTTTTTTACTTTTTAGAGCCTTTACATAAAGGCAGTTAAAGACTGAAATGTTTTTTTTTTCTTTATTCTTGAACATTTATTTATAAATGTGATGTATACTTCTGGTTAGTTTGTGCAAAAGATGAAATAGGGTATTAAGTCGTTGAGTACCGTCATTATAGACACAATTAAAGAACAATAGCAGGTTGCTGTCACTGGTGACCGCTCGGTGTTTGACAGTTTAACTAAACATGGTCAAAATCCAGCACCTGGCTATTTTTTTTTCGGCACCTTTCAAAAAACCTGATATGAGTAATAATTATGAATATGAACAATTTTATAATTCTTGCTATATTTTCTGATTTTTTTTTATTTTGAATTCTTTTACTTAGAATATTTTTTATGGTTTGGTATGTATTATAAGTGCTAACTATTTGCAGGCCAGGAACTTATCACCAAATGAGGCAGCTGCAGAAGCCATAAAACTGTTCTACAAAGAGGCTCGCCTTTGTGACACACTACCTAATAAAGTCCCTCGCACAGAGGCTAGTGGCTGTGACACTAGTGCGGGGTAAGTGAACATTTGTATTAAAACAACTTACAATAAAGCTTTGAAATTAAAACAACTTACACTTGAGTGAACTAAAGTTCCCAAATATGAAACTTGTTATTTCTTGTGGTTTAAAGTTTTTCTAAAATTTCTAAGTAACTCTATGCAGTCTGTATATAGGCTCGTACACAATTCTGCGATGCGACGTCGCATCGCAAAAATGTGTGAGCTCCCTCTACACATCGCAAGTACTTGCGAATTGATTCGCATCGCGCATCAAAATTTTATTTTACCAAAATCTTCTGTGTTTCTTTTTGCTGTATCTCCTAAGCAATAACAGAGGTGCACACTTCTTTTTACGATCCATGTCACGACCTATTTCCAATTTAAAATACGTTTAGTATGGTTGACGGTTGTCGAAGGAATGGTCACCCTGGGAGACGCCTTGTGCCCGAAATCGCATCGCAGCAATTCGCATCGTAAATTTTTGCGTTTTGAATTCACATCGCATTGCATCGCAGTTTTATGTACGAGCCCTATGACACCAGGCTCACTCTGTATTACATGGAGCTTAAGGCCTGGCGCACACTATCGGTGGCTGTCGGCGCGGCTCAGAACAGCTTGGGCGCTGAACTTAAACTTTCTTAAACATTTTTTTAAGGGTTTGTCTCGGTAAATGAGCATTCAGATCACCTGATGGAAAGCAATCGGCGCCCTTTATGGCCGAAACACTAGAGGCGTTGTCCGTCTTTTGGGGAATAAGAATGTGTGGATTCTTGAAAGATATTTTGATTTTAGGGAATAGAAATCCTTGGGGATTGGGGAGATTGCGGAGGGGGATAATTGGGTCTTTGGTAACCTCACTTACGTCAGTCGTCGTTTCACGTCGGTTTTCTACGAGGACGTGGTATCACTCTGGTTAACACTAGAAAGACGGGAGCAGTCATTTGACTGCAATTTGATTTTAAATGTGGAATAATTTAAAAACTATATGAGTTATTTATTTATTTTATTTATTTATTATAGTTATTGAACTGAGACTTTGTGACTTTTATTTATTTTACTAGTTAAATGCAACTATATGTGAAAAAAATCGCAACTCTTTTGTTCATTATTTTAAATCTTGATCTACCGACAAAAACGGCGGCAGTCATTTGACGGCTAACAACCGATAAGTGTGTAGAAGTATAATATAAGAGGGTAGAATACAAATTATATACACTTATTGTTTATAGTTTGTTTTTCAAATGAGATCGCATCGTTTCAAGTCCCTGTGAACTTTTACGAAATTATTGTAAGTATTTCGTGGTCGCAACGTCTTGAAGATTTCAAATTGAAAGATTGTTTCTTAGTTGTAAAATATTTGTGATGATGGGTCTGATTGTGACTCTAAAAGTACAAAACGTAATAGCGACGACAATTATGCGGTATTACTTGTACTAGTTCGAGTTCCTCTGCGGCAGGAAGTGACCTGAAAGACCAAATACCTCGAGCAAATTTATCAGACAAGTTGACAAGTCAGATTCTCGTAGTTGTAGTCGTTGCTGTGGTAGTGATAAATGCTGTAATAGGAGTTTAGAAGATCCTGAGCATCAAGGTCTTTTTATAACTATCGACTGTATCTTGTAAACACATCAAATGGAATCTACTCTAAGTGGTCAAATATCGGTAAAGCCGTTGATACAGAGTTAGGAGAGCCAAAGTTAGGAGCATCTCAAAGGTGGAATAGATTTTATTTTTTCATATTTGAGACCTAGCTAAGATGTAATATTATTATATTTTAGATAATTTTTCTGTTTAGATATAATTCCTGCATTTGGTATAAAAAAATGTAGAATAGCATAGAAAACGGAGGTTATTTTATACTAAGTTCAGGGAGCAAAGTAGAAATTTAATAAGACTCTGAAACCGAACCTTTGCCTGAAGAGTCCAGATCTTCTACTTCTCAATCTTCCGCTCAAAATGTTATATACAGTAATGAAAATACAAAACCCATAAAGAATGTGACAATTGCAAAAATCCACTTTGCGGCACTTGTAACGTAAACAAAATGGTAAAATGTAAAAATTCTATATAAATTACTTAATTAATAGTACATTATATCATGTTTAATATAATACTTACAATTTCTAGCATTTAAACATAAAAAAACCTCGACGTGCAGGAGAAGCAACGGGGTGGTTTTTAGTAAGAGTGACACTCCCTCCCGCCTCACCCAGGCGGGATCAGTCATTCGATGATTTTCCCCCCTTAAAAAAAATATAAAAAACAAAAAATGTAAAAAAACTTGGAGCAATCATTTGACCGCTCGCCGTCTTTGTAGGTAGATGATTTTTTCCGTCTTTCTAGTGTTAAGCCGGTCCATTCGTACTGAAGGATGGCACTCCTAATAGCTTTAAAAATAAATATACTTAAAAATAATACCAAAATATGTATTTGGTTTAGCACAACACGTAACACTTCAAAAGACAAAGATGATAACAAGGACAAAGAGGCCCAGCCGTCCAGCAACGCGAGGGAGAGCACATCCAAGGAGGAAGAACCACAAACTAGTCATAATGTATCTCACCAAGAAGAATCCAAAAGTCGTAGTCATAACAGTAAGTATTATACTAACCCACCACCCTTAGGCTAAGGATTAATGGCTCGATTTTCACCAGGACCCGCCGCGGTTGTGGGCTCGCGGTCTTTGTAGAATACAGATATGTATATAATAATCAAAGCAATTTTCACGGCGCGTTTTTCGCCCGCGGCGGTTTGCGGTTTGCGGCTCCCGCTGCATTGGCGGGCGCCGCCGCCGGCGCCTTCCCGCTGCTGCGGCGCCTAGCACGACGCCCGCGCGCTCTGCGATCGGTTGGCGGGCGATCGCAATGGGACGGCCGGTCTGGAACTCAACTGATTGTTTATTCGCCCGCCTGTCTTACGATAATCAGCCTGCTGCGGCTGCGGAATCGCAGACCACTGCCGTCTCGAGAGTTTTGAAAATTCCGCCTCCATTCCGCTGCAGCAGCACTACTTCTCTCTCACTCTTCTAAACCGAAACCTAAGCCTAGCGCACACTAATAGACCTGTAACAAACCTCACCTCAGTACCAAAAACATAAATTTGGTACTGAGGAACGGGTGCCCTCCAGTACCAAGTAACGAAACGTTACTCTTTATGAATATATTTCATTACTCGCACGATTACGTTCTTCACATTATTGCATAATTGTAGTATAGATCAGTATGTATGAATGAAATTCCTAGTATGCGTTCAGTTCCTGCGTAAACTGAACACATACTAAGATACGAGTGACGTGAGTTGATGCGAGTGTTGTACTAAAACGTAAGGAACTTAAAACCTTCTGAATATATTGTATGTAGTTTTCGCCAATTAATTGCAGATCGAATAGATTCTTGAGAAATATTAATATGTTTTCATGAAGGTTTAAATACCTCAGGCGCAACTTACAAAAAAAATGTTTTAGTAGATTTTTATGGTGATTAATCAATCATCATAAAAACCTGTGTCGCAAATTATTTTCATCTGCATATCGTGTTATTTATCATCCCTTACCTACTAGTATTTTTTTTACAAATTGTGTCCGAACTACCTGCTTATAAAAACTTATAATAATCAATTGTTCACAATTCCCTAATAAGTTAACAAACTTAATTATTATTTGTTAATTGTTAATAATAGTCCCCTGTCCGAATATGTCAAATATATAGTAATGACCATCCATTTATTCATAGCTAATTATCGTAATGAAAATAATCCTAGCTCATTGGTTAAGTAGGTACTTATCTATTGTATGACATAAATTATTCTATTGAAATCCTTTTAAACGTTAATCATTACATTAAAAAATAATTAAGGCAATTACTTTCGTATCAGGAGAAATTCGTATTTAAACACAATTGCCCACCAAAATCAGTTATTTATACTCTCCTGTGTCCATTTAGTACACTTCTACAGTGACATTATTTCGAATAAAATTTATAATTTATATTTTGCCCGTGGTAATGAATCGTGCAAGAGCAAATAGAGTAGTTCGCCGACTGGAGTTTTTAATGGCCGCTTTTTTAGAAGATATGCAAACTTTGCACACAGATGGTGCCCCATTGACGGAGGAGCGTATGTATGAGCTATGTAAGGAGTGTCAGCAGAATAAAGTTCGGGAGCCACTGATCAGGGCTCTTGGGGAGGCGTTCACACAACCAGCCATACTCGCGAGGTGTTTTGCTAGTAAGCCCACTGCGAATAGCGACGAGGATGTTAAAATGAAAGATGGTGAGTTATTTTAAGGTTTTTCTTACATAATACATAACATCATCATCACGCCTTTTATCCTCGAAAGGGTAGGCAAAGGTGCACATTACGGCACTTAATGCCACTGTAATGTAACACCTACTTTTCACTATTTATGTTATGAGTCCCATGTAATAGGGGGTGAGCCTATTGCCATATACCGGGCACAGTTCCAGACTCCGTGCTACCACCGAGAAAAACCCAGTAAAGCCCGACCCGGGAATCGAACCCGAGACGCCTTGCCCGGCAGTCGCACTTGCGACCACTCGGCCAATGAGATATTTTTTATACTTAGTAACAAAGCTTATGGGCCGCCTGATGATAGACGGATATCCGTCACCTAAGTACGCATGTAACAGGTATCACAAATGCATTACGGACCTTATAGGAAATAATTTGATTGCGACTATTCATTACTGATGAAGTGTCTGTAACTTTGATAAGAATTAAACCAATTTGTCTGCACGGTTTGCGTAATGACTGTATTACGTGTTCGATTCCGTCCGTTTCCGAACAAATTGTTGTTTCAGCCTGGGATTCGAGTGTGACATGTAGATATTTCGACCATCTTGTAAAGTTATAATGATTATATTTTTTTGTTTTCAGATAAGGAGGCAAAAGCAATATCTTTACCGGGTGATCCGGATAAAGACGTGGATAGCGTGGCGGGGCCAGAGCTGGACGTGGCCTCGTGTCGTAGAGCTTTTCAATACCTTGCCAAAGTAAGTGTGACATATTTTGAAACTTATTGAAACAGTTGCTAGGTTTATTTTGCAATACATACATACATAACTTCACGCCTGTCTCCCATGGGGGTAGGCAGAGACTAAGGAACGCCAATTACTACGATTCTTACACACCTCTTTCGCTTATTATTTAATATTTATTATTTATTTATTACCTCATATTTTGCGATACTATAGTTTTATACAATTTTTAAGTCTACCACAATACTACACTAGATTTCTTGCGGGGAAATCACACATGCAAGTGCGATTCACTGTTTAGTCAGTTTCCAAAGCGGATCAGTTCCCCCCATTTTTATACTTTGGTTCACATCGCAAACTCGATGAAAAGAGATGAAATGATGCATTAACTAGTTAATAGTATTTTTTTCACAAGTCTATCACTTTCTTATAAAAATAATCTTAATATTAACATTACCATTCGTTCCAGGTGCCATCCGAGTATTATAGCTCAGCGTTAGTGACGTCACTAAAAACGCTAGCTGACAATATGTGCATAGATTTGCGGATAACAAAAAAAATGAGCACAGAAGATGTGGTGAACTGCTTCGTTATCGCCTTCGAAGTGCCAGACCTTGGATGCAGTGACTATCTTGAAATAGCGCTGCCTGCACTATGCCAGGCGGCTGAACATTTATCCCTTATAGGTAAGGAATACATACATAACATCACGCCTTTTATCCCCGAAGAGGTAGGCAGAGGTGCACATTATGCCACTGTACAATATAACACCCACTTTTCACTATTTATGTTATGAGTCCTATGTTATAGGGGGTGAGCCTATTCCCATATACCGGGCACAATTCCAGACTCCGTGCTACTACTGTAAATTTTTTTAAAAACCCAGTAATACTTTGCCCGACCCGGGAATCGAACCCGAGCCCGGCAGTCGCACTTGCAACCACTCGGCCAACGAGGCAGTCAGTAAGGAATATCCTGCTTATATTATGACTGTGTACAGTTTTTGAGGATATATGTATGTTTCTTTGTTTCCATGTATGTATTTATGTTAGACTTTCACGCAAATAAAAACTACAGAACAGGACACCCCCTATTCACTATTTATGTTATGCGTCCCATGTAATACACGTGAGCCTACTACCGGGCACAATTCCAGACTCCGTGCTACTACTGAGAATTTTTTTTAAAACCCAGAATCGAACCCGAGACCCCTTCTCCGGCAGTCGCAGTTGCTACCACTCGGCCAACGAGGCAGTCATATAGATATATATATTTTAGTATGAAAAAATACATACTATTTTTTAACTTGTTGTTCAAATACCACCATATAATATTTTGTGTAAATGAATTGGCAGAGTGTCATTATAACTACCCCTTTTCTTCCCACAGTAGTTGTTAAAGCCAACTAAGAAAGTACACATCTTACAGATCCTTTTAATCTGCTATTTCTAACCCTCTCTCATGTAATGAAGGCCCAGCATTGTCCAGCAGTGTATTGTCATGTCATTTCGATATTAACTTGTACTTTGTTCCCAGGTAAAGCACGACTAGCGCGTATCTGGTCACTGTACTGCAAGGACAGCCTGCGTCATATATTGGAGACTCTGCAGCAACTCATCACGCTCAGGGTCATATCCACCAACTACACGAGACAGTTCCAACTGCAAGACGATGAGGTTGTTACAATGGCAACTAAGTTTATGAAGGTAAGGTTTTATTTGCTTCTATTAATTGTTTAAAGTTAGTGTAATGTCCTTCAGTTTTTTTGTTCCATTTATACTTTTTTACGGATTAAAAAATTAATAACGTAACGCGACGATGCGAATACATTAAAACTGAAATTGTTCGAATGCTCAAACATTACATGCATATGTGCATCTTTGCCCATAACTTGGGGATTACAATGTCTGCCATAATAATGATGTTTACCGAAACCAATTGTTAATCTCGCTGTTCAAATTCACAGATAGTATACTACGCAAATATGTTAGCTGGTTCGATGGACTCAAATACTCTACGAGAAGACTCCATAGTCATCGCCAGTCAACAAGACCCGTTCGAAAATGTGTTAGACCTGTACCCACCGAGTTCCATGAAGGCTTCGAAACATTTGCAGTTCGAGGACCCCCTAGGTAAATATTTTTATTTGAGTTTTGTTGTAATTTGAACTTTATATGATAGGTCTTAAAGTTGTTTTTGGAATGATAGTTATTTGTGAAATCCATACTTCTTACTTTTACAGTTCTGTGTTTGTTTAATGGACTCTAACAGTCTTTTGTTTTGTTTCAGCCATTGAATTAGATATGTATCCATTAGACTCTAGAAAACCATACTTGCCATTCGAGGAGTTCTATAACGAACCTCTTAGTGATACTGTTGAGATGGACATAGACTTCGGAAATTATAAGACGGAAACTAATAAAGGTGAGTTTATTATCCTCATTACAATCTTCCCTGCATAAAATCTTGAAGTATTATATGCAGATGTTGCTTCAATTAGGAATTGATATTGGTCAGAAATTATTCCAATTCTAACTACTTAAATATTTCTCTTTCGAATAATAAGACTTTAATTGGTAGTAGCGCCACCTAGAGAGTGCAAAATTATATTGAATTTGTAAGTTATTCATTTAAACGTAATTTCTTAATGTAATTAACGTCTACTTCTGTTACCATCTTAACATTATCATTAATTTAATAACATATTTCTTTTTCCTAGGTAAAAAATTCGCGTTCCTAAGGTACCCATTTATATTGACGGTGGCCACGAAATCTCTTGGCCTATACTATGAGAACAGAATTCGGATGTATTCGGAACGTCGAGTATCGTTACTGCACGCCGTAGTAGGGGCCGCGCCACCCATGCCTTTCCTTAGGCTCAAAGTCCGGCGAACTCATATCATTGATGACGCTTTAGTTGGGGTGAGTATTTTAAAAATTCATAAACGAATTTATATTTTTTATAAATATAATATAAATATATCTTTATATATATAATTCTTCTGTGAGTGTGTATGTCACTGAACTTCTCTCAAACGACGACCGATTTTGATGAAATTTTTTGCGTGTGTTCAAGGGGATCTGGGAATGGTTTAGGTCACACAAAACAGCCCGGCAGATGGCGCTGCAGTCGGTATCTAGGTTATTTATCTACACCTATTATATTATACGCAGGACAAAATCTGTCGGGTCCGCTAGTAATTTTATATAAACGAATTCTCGTTTTTAAAAATTTCTAAAGCATCTAAGAGTATTGCTTGTTGAAAATGGCTTTAATACTGTTAACGAATTTGTGAATGCAGGGACAAATAGGATTTCTTTTCCTTTGACATATTACTTGTGGTTTGACAATTTAAGTTATTGACATTGTAATTAATTTTATTGACATCTGAAATTTACTTTATTGACTTAGTAATTAATTTATTGACACATAAAATTTACATTTTTAACTTAATAACTTTGGATTTTAATTTGAGAATGTAATTTATTAATTTTCTATTTGTCCCCTTTGTCAATTCTTGATAAACCAACTTAACTTACTAACATTAATAGATTTTTTTTATTTTGAATCGCAGTGTTTATTGGAAATTGTAACTTAATTTGTCTTGTTTTGGTTTGGAATCATTAACAAGGGTTTTGTTCTAACTTAGAATCATCGTTGGAAATATTGGTTTAGTTTTGTTAAAATATTTACATGCCGAATTTATAGGCGGGATATGATGAACTATAGTTATGTTATAAAATCTGTAAACCACCATATTTCAGGCGAATAAATGAATCTATCTATCTCTTTTGTCATAGCTAATAGGGTTTAAAATTAATATGTATTTCATCGACGTTTTAATAGTGAAAGTAGAGTCCAGTTAGACTATGGTTCGATTATACGACTGTCCGAATTTGATACAGAATCATCCCTAAAAATAATTATTTAGAAATTGTGTAATAATATGGGCAATGGAAATGTTCGCGTTACTAGAGTCGTTAATGTAGCTTAAGGTCCATTGTCCAATCGAACATTTGCTAACGTAAAGTCATTAGTCACTTGTTTTCACCCCTTTTCATTACTTTTATCATTGCTAATGGGTTTTGTTATTTTTCAGTTGGAAATGGTAGCGATGGAGCGAGCTTTGGATCTAAAAAAGCAATTGGTGGTCGAGTTTGAAGGGGAACAGGGCGTGGACGAGGGCGGAGTCTCGAAGGAGTTCTTCCAGTTAATTGTTGAGGAAATATTTAACCCTGACTACGGCATGTTCACTCACCGCCCCGACTCGCAAACTGTGTGGTAAGTTGTCTAATATACATGTCTAATAATTATTTGCAGCTTGGAGTAGGTTCTTTGATTTTACGCGTCATTTCATCGGCTTTACAATGAATTACGTAAGCATTGCTTACGTGCGAAGCCGGGGCGGGTCGCTAACTTATAAATACGACAGAAAATAACGTATCTAATACGGTACAGTTACTTTGGAGTTTATGAAGTATATGAACTTTTCCAGTACATTGTTATAGATGAACCATAAAATTAAAATGTTTTCATATTAACTACCCTGAGACAGTTAACTAAAACTAAAAGTCAACTAAAACAAATAACTAAAATTCACGTGAATATACTGAGAAAAGCTCTACTAGTTTCGAGCTCCAGAGAGGCTGTTCCTCATGAGCAGCGTGCGCGGTCGCGGCGATGTCGGAAAACCTACTGGTACTAGTAGAGCTTTTCTCAGTATATTCACGTGAGTAACCCGCGAATTTTAGTTTAAATTGAAATGCTTTGTTTCCTGTCTATCTATTTCTTCGTTGATATAATCGACAATTTGACAATTTGACTGCCTCGTTGGTCGAGTGGTCGCAAGGGCGACTGCCGGGCTAGGGGTCTCGGGTCGGGCAAAGTATTATTGGGTTTTTTAAATTCTCAGTAATAGCACGGAGTCTGGAATTGTGCCCGGTATATGGCAATAGGCTTACCCCCTATTACATGGGACTCATAACATAAATAGTGAAAAGTGGGTGTTACATTGTACAATGGCATAATGTGCACCTCTGCCTACCCCTTCGGCGATAAAAGGCGTGATGTTATGTTATGTTATAATCGACAACATTCATGAACCTGATTTAAAATCCTTTCGTAGTTGTTATTTTTATAGTAGAACAAGAACCTTACGCTATTTTTAAAATAAATTAATGCTTTAATTATTTTCCAGGTTCAACATGACATCATTTGAAACCGAGGCGCAGTTCACGTTAATCGGCATAGTACTTGGCCTAGCGATCTACAATAACGTTATACTGGCTGTCAATTTCCCTATGGTTGTGTATAGGAAGCTAATGGGCAAGAAGGGATCTTTTGAAGATCTGGCTGATTGGAGTCCCGTAAGTAATCCTTGATATTGTTGCTTCATTAACCTTTAATGACTTTTAACTCGTCGAGTACCGGTTTTATAGACACAATTAAAGAACAATAGGTCGCGGTCACCGGTGACCGCTTGGTGTTTGACAGTTTAAATTCTAGATTTTTTTTATTGCATAATCCAATAATCAAGCACACAGATCCCCTGATGGTAAGCAATCGGCGTCGCCAATGGACATCTGGAACACCAAGGCGTTACAAGTGCGTTACCGGCCTTTTGGGAATTGGGAATTTAAGGGTTGTAGAGGATTCGGGGATTGAGGAAACTGGGGAGGGTAATTGGGCCTCTGGTAACTTCACTCACAAGACAAACTCAACGTTAGCGTTGTTTCACGTCGGTTTTCTGTGAGGCCGTAGCATCACTCACTCGAGTCGGTCGGCCGGTCGAGCCGACCCAAGAGTTATTTCTTGTCATAGGCGTTTGTAAATGTTTTATGAATTCTTAGATACAGCCTATATTATGTTTTTTTTACTATTCGTTTAATATGATCTTTCTTTTATTGTTTCAGATATTATACAATGGTTTAAAAGACATGCTGGATTATACAGGCGATGATTTAGAAGAAGTATATTATCAAACGTTTAGGATTTGGTACACAGATGTATTTGGCAATGCCGTCTTCCATGATCTAGAAGAGGATGGAGACAATATATTTGTTACACAGGAAAATAAAAGGGTAAGTTCTTAGTTAAAATGTTAACTTAATTATTGATAGAATTAATAGTCATTGCGACGATGTGTTACCGTGGTGCTCGATTAGTTTCGAGACTAACTGGAGCCTTTGGAAATTAGTACGTCTCAATAGCTGAAATCTCTCCACAATTAACGTTAATTCATTCTTTATTTTAATTTTTCTCATTCAGCAACTAATTCGTTTTATATTAATATACAGATTTGATAAATCTAACCTACCTATTATTTCTTTTAATTTTCAGGATTTTGTAGAAATGTATGCGGACTTCTTGTTAAATGAATCTGTGGAGACACAGTTCAAGGCGTTTAGACGTGGCTTCCTGATGGTCACTGACGAGAGTCCACTGGCTGAGCTCTTCCGACCCGAAGAAGTTGAAATGCTCGTCTGTGGTAGCAAGGTAACGAATTTTCTTAATAGTTTTCAACATAAACAACATCACGGCTTTTATCCCCGAAGGGATAAGTAGAGTTACACATTTCGGCACTTAATGCCACTACAATTTAACATCCACTTTTCTATTTATGCTGAGTGTAACAGGGGGAGAGCCAATTGCCATATACCGGGCACACTCGCAGACTTCGTGCTACTACTGAGATTTTTTTAAAAACCCATTATTATTTTGCCCGACCCGGGAATCGAACCCGAAACGCCTAGCCCGGCAGTCGCACTTGCGACCATTAGGCCAACGAGGCAGTCTTAATAGTTTTTAGACTTCGTAAAACCAAACTGTATTTTAGAATTGACCTGACATTATCCTAGCTTTAGCTCTTATATGGACTTTTCATTGTTTTACTTTGGTTTTAATCTTACACTTATAGCAAGAAAACGTAATGCCCACATCACTGCTGCTAAGCTATTAAAGTGAGGTTTATCGCATTCTCGCCCCTCATTGGTGGAGATTATTTTCACAACCAATGACATGGCGGATCACGGTCAAGGTTACTTCGATCTTTCGAATTGAAAGTTACAGAGTAGCCTAACTACTGCTTTTAATTTATAAATTAAGTATCTCCAAATTATTGTTTTCACTGAAAAGCCGACATTATTCTGCTTAGATGTCCACCTATTTTGTCCATTTCACACACCATTTTATAACACCAAACTTATTTATAATCATGTATTACAGAACTTGGACTTTAGCGAATTGGAGAAATCGACGGAATATGACGGCGGCTACACAGCAGAGTCACAAACAATAAAGGACTTCTGGAGCGTAGTGCACAGTCTAACTTTAGACGACAAGCGCAAACTGCTGGAGTTCACAACCGGGTCGGATCGTGTACCAGTCGGGGGGCTTAGCCATCTAAAACTTGTAATCGCCAGAAATGGACCAGATTGCGACCGTCTACCGACCGCTCATACTTGCTTCAATGTCCTCCTCCTCCCAGAATATGAGACGAAGGATAAACTACAAGATAGACTGATGAAAGCCATAAGTTACTCCAAAGGCTTCGGATTGCTTTAATACCTGTGAACAAACCAGTGTTGTAAGCCATTACTGGTCTTTGTAACATTCACGAATAAAGTTTGTTTTATTTATATATCTCTTTGTTTTTATTGATTATTTTTATTGGTTCTATGGTTGGTTTGAGACAATATTTGTTATAATTTTAATATTTAATTTAGTTTTAAATGTTTAAAATAATCTTGTTTTAAATGTTTAAAATAATGTTGTAAACATACATAACATATGTTATGTATGTTATGTTAAATAATCTTGTCCTTGTGCTTAATATTGGACTTTACATACAGTAAAGTCTAAACTGTTGTTTAGACAATATTCTACGTAAATCTAGTTGAAACTAAGCTCAATATGCTTAGTAGGTAGTCGGAAATAGGATAGGTAAATAAAATGGCAAGGATACTATTGGTAACGAAATTTATTGTGGCAAAAAGTAAATGTAAACAATTTAAAACTGATTGGTCGTTATAATATACAACATCAATACATTTTAGTAGAAAATCCTTTTTGCTGATGGCAATATAGTGTAAAGGATTCATAAATGAAAAATTCACTCGAATTAATATAATATCAATATTATAAAAATGCGACATATAAACTAAGATTTCGTTGGCTAAACGTTTTTGCAAAAGTTTTTATCTTTATTATCTACTAGCTAAACTAAATCTAAAAGTTCATACCATCTGTAAACTCCTTCAGTATGATTAATTACCAGTATTCGTCATATGTTATTGGATGGTATTGCACCTCCAATCTCCAGAACTGCGAGCATAACATCCAGGTAAACAAATAATTTTTATGAGGTTTTAGCAAAATTTGCTCTACGGTTAACATTTGCGAAACAATTTCTAATTTCAGATGAATTTACATGAAAGGTGGGTAATTACAGGTCGGTCGTTAGGTGTAAAGTTAATATTTTTAATCAAACCTCAGATAGATATTTTGACGGCTTACAAAATTCGTATAAATTCTATCTGAATTTAGATAAGGTATAAACAGAGTTGGGTATAAACACTCGTAATTCAGGAAGCGAAAATCTTTTGATGCTGTACAACAGCTTGGAGTTGTAACTCGTGGACCACGAGCGGGAAGGGACGGCGGCACGGAGCGTCGGCCTGCCGCGGCCCTGACGACGCGGGAGCGCCTGTCACACCCGCCGCTGACGAACGACGGTGTCTGGAACAAGCAAGAAGTGAGCAATTCCAATTATACTCACCTATGTAACTAATAGGTCACCTTATCACCTTATGATCTTTTTTTAAACTTTTATTAAAAAGTGGGCTAGAAAATGTGCACTAAAGATAATGCTAGGGAGTACATATTAAAATTATTCTAATATAATAATTAATATTCTTGTATAATAAGCCAATTAGCTCGACTCTTGCTCTTAACGCATAAGACGTACTTTTGCTAAGGTGATAAAGTGGATAGATACTGGGGTATGCGGTGAGCGGGACACCGCACACCTTATATTCTATCAGCTCAGGAGTAATCTAATATCTGTTACTTACTTGTGCCTAGCATCACAAGTGCACCCGGCGGCAGTGATGGCCGCGGCAGCTGCCTGACGTCGCGCGTGTCGCTCGCAGATGTGACGGTCGGCGGCGGAGCCACGGCACGTCATCGTGTCCAGGCAACCCGGCGCGCTGCCGCGACGTGCTGCGCGCGACATCGACGCGTATGTAGGAGCTGCTACGCGCTCCACCTTCATTTTTTAATAGAAGGTAAGTTAGTTATACTTGTCTATTTCCCAAATAGAACATCACAAGCTACATAGCTGTTACAGAATGTTACTTTTACCTCAAAGCTAGCCTTACGACGTCTTCTCCGAGGTGACAGTGCAGCAGTTTCAGTACGCTTGCGTCGCTGCGGCTGTGGAGCGCCTGCGCCGGGCCCAAACAACCCGCGGTCCTCGGCCACTCGGATCATAAACTTAGCGTCGAGCCGGGTGATCTCCTGCGGTCAACCTACCGTTGTGCAAGGCCTAGGTCTCGAAACCACAATGAAGAAGCAATAACAACTCACAAAAAATGGTTCATGTGCCTATAATTTTCAAGATGAATGCTATTACACGCAAAGCTATCATGTAAAAACATTTTGAAGCCTGACTTTTGGTGTTTAAATATCAAATATCACATTTCTAGAGCAGTTATTGCTTGTATAAATAAAAAAACCACCACTATTAAATACAGAAATGCTAACCTTTCTCTGAATTAAACCGAGGAAACACCCGTCTCTGTCCAGAATGTAGTTGATATCCAAACCATTCCCCAGATTCGGTAGTGTCCTTATTTCAAATAGATCACAACTTGGCACCTGGAATAGACGGAAATTACTCTTATAGAAAATGTTGTTGATAAGGTTTATTTTTGCGTGCCATACTTACAATAACATTTGGGCTGTCTTTATCAGGGTCTTTCGGTATGTCACAGTTCGGCATTGTAGGGATAGGTCTTGCTTTAGTTGTCCCTGGAGATGTGTGCACATCCATATTTTCCGCTTGTTTCTTCAGTGCCGTGGTACTAGACTTGTTCTTGGCTGTACTTGGCCGGGAACCCGAAGGCGATCCCGTGGGTGAACATTCACTGAGGGACATTTCATCGTCTTCATTCTCATCCTTGTCTAATTCGGAATGTGAAACGGACCCAAGAGACGATACGGATTCATTCGGTTCCAGAGGTTCATTGGCTGCGTTAGCACCGACGACTACAGTTTCATTTACGACTGATAGAGCAGTTTGCTTTTGTGGGCTCTGAAACAAATTGAAATAATATACATTGGTTGGTTTTCTAAGGCCAAACAAGTTACACCAAACTGCACTAAAGTTAAGTAATAAATAGGAATTTTACTAGTATGATTTACTAGTATGAGGACAGTGGAAAGGAATCTATGGAAGGAATTGTTAAAATTTGTTTCCTTACAGGCTGACGATGTTTCCTCTTGAGCAACGCATGTCGTTCGCGTGCCAGTCTATTCGCCTCCGCTACTGCCCGAGTGATTTGCGCCTGATTCTCAGCCTCCAAAGCTGAATGCGTTTCATACAAAATCAACTGAATCTGGAAAACAAAAACTCCTTTATACGTGCTGTAGATTTATATGGAGTTCATATAATAAAAAAAAAATCATGACATACCTGTGGTTTAGACATGAGTGATTTTAAAGTTTTCTTCTGTTCTTCCAAAATGGATTGCACACGAGCTTTGCCTTCCACATCTATTTCTGACTCTGTTAAAATCTGAAACAATAAACACGACCATAGTTTCCTTAAAGTCACTTGCAACAAATCTTTGATACAAAGAATATGAATTGTTACCTCTAACATCGCGAGGTCCCCTCCTCGTCCGCAAACAAGATCAATGGGATCTGTGACGGCTGAGTACGAGTTAGGTGGCGTGGCTAGCACAGCAACTACTCCGTCTAATGCGTTGGTTACCACAGGAGTGTCATAGTGTACTGGGTCACTGATAACGCATACGGGAGCCCCGGACTGAGGTGCTTCTGACGCTTCTATACCTAGTTCACGAAGGGCACAGACGTAGCTTTCTACCCTGAAAAGACATATTTTTAGATACATAGAAACCGATGTGAATAACAAACGAAAGTATCTTTCGTCTAGTCTAGTCGTATCGGTTTGAGGATAGAAGAAGATTTTGTGAACCAATTGCAATCTTGAATAACGAAAAGTCATAAACATATCATATTACGTTCAATACAGAGAAGTAGAATGGCCTAATCGTACTTATCGCCAGCTCCAAAGACGACTAGTTTCCCAAGTTCTGGTGTGGCTGGTGCTGCTGGTGCCTTTGCTTTAAGGACTGCAGCCAGCTCACGTAGTTGAGCAGCAAGGTATGCAGAACATCGGGGAGAAGACGCATGTGTCTGTGCCACTACTCCTCTGAGACAATTCGCCCGAAGAGCACGGCATAGGGTCGATGCGCCTTCGCAGAACTCACGCTCCTGATATTTGAGAAATAGTTTAATCAATGGCTTAAAAAAAATTGGAATTCCAGTTTAAGATAAAATACGCATGTGGTGCACCTGAAGCACTATTACTCCGTCTCTTACAAGATCCAATTGGCCAATGCTGTCATTTTCTGGTGGACGTAGAGTGATGAATCTGTAAGGAACAAAATAGGCAAATAGTAACACGAGAATCTACAGTGAATCTATACTTTGACAGAAATTCAAAGACCTCGTACCTTGGACAGACGCGATCAAATCTGTATTCTCCAGCACAAAGTTGTCGAGAGTTACTGTAGGTGTATCCGAGCTCATGTAACCTCTTTACTAGAAGGGCAACTTTTCTGGAAATAAATCGTTCATTTTAGAAGGTAGTGCAGCGAATAACGTCGACCTAAAACTAGGAAAGCAGTTTTTGTTCTAACAATGAAATGTACTTTATGAACATTAACTTAAGAGTCAGATTGTTAGAGGTAATGATACCAACTTGGCTTTGAAAGTGTTGACCCATCCCGTCACCGTATCCTTGTTGACACACGCAGATACGCGTTCTTCACGCAGATGGGGTGGCAATAAATCCGCCAAGCTGTAGACAATAAAACATTGTAATGACCTTATACATCACTGCTTGGCCTTCGATATTTGCGTAAGCATGGTACACTTTTTTATTTGGGCTCGATAAATATTCAATACGCAAAAGGTTTCGTACAAGGGCAAAAATGTCCTAAAATATTCAAAGGAATGTAACGTTTCCTTGTTCGTTTTGTTTATCTGAAACAGATATAATATTGACGTTCAAACTTACGAGAAAGCTCGATTTTTAATCCGAATTCTTGCAATAGCAGCGGCTAAGTGGACTCTTTCATCCCACAAAGTGTTCTCAATATTTTTGAAAGGATATCCAGCCTCTTCCAGGAGTTGCGTGGCTCGCTCCATCTCGCTGCGTGAACGAGCTCCCCATCGGCGTCTCGTCAATTCCATTAGAAACAGCCATAATGCGTGACGATGTTCCAAAAACTGGAAGGATAAATCTTGGCTAAACTAACTACTAATAAAGAGAAAGAGAAAGCTACTAAGTACTAAAATTAATGTGCGAAAATGTAACAAATTAAAAGTAAAGAAAAACAGACAAGTTATAAAAGTAATGCACCATACGAAAAACTTCCTTTACATTTAGATAAAGGACTTACAATTTGCAGAAACACCAATTAAAGGTGTCTCCCAAAATGTCTCGAACACGACAAGACAACCCGTGTCTTTATTAATAGAAACCATTTTATCAGTCTCGAAATCTACAAAAATACCGATTTTTTCCGTTGCCTTACAAGAATAAAAGGTCATAAATATAGAGTTCAATTTCGTGAGCATTCTTAACATTTGAAAAAGAAATGGTTTTGGTCACGAGACCGCCGTAATGCGAGTTAGATGGGGCATACTTTTTACTGTAACATCTTGTCGAACCTACCCTAACTGGGAGTTATTACTGGTCGGTAATGAGGGCTGTATATACCTTGCCTTGACAACCACAATGGTTAAATGAGACCTTCGTAAATACAAGTTCAAGAACGACATAACAATGAAAAATGTTTTGGTTCGCAGCTGGATTTTCTGTTGTACGAATATAACTATCGTGAGATGTCTTAGGTAAGTGACTGTAAATGCACCTGACATGCACAAGCGAGGGTCTTTTGTTGGACTGTAACTGGCATTTCAATGTGCGGAAGCCAGAAGATGTACCGAAATTTTTTTTAAAAAAAGAGTTATTATTTAATAACCATAAGCACTCTACTTACCTCGCGATGTTCCACCAAAAACGCAACATCTTCCAAAGCTTGATCCAATATGGATTTATCTGCAAACATTAAGTATTTCGAAATACATATAAATCTTACGAAAGCGAAGTTCAAATAAAACCGCAAAATAAATATGTCGCGTGACCGAAAACTTCTATATGGATAGACATCCAAAGTGCTGAATAATAAAAAGGCCAAATAGCATAGAATTCATGGTATTTTTATTTTGGCGTACACAGACATAATAGCTTGTAACCGTGGATATTTAGGTCTTGTAAGAGTTCTAGTTGGAGGTTTTAAATATTTGTTATTGAGGGACCACCCACTCTTAGTAAATCGTAATAGATGATGGCATGCATTATCGCTGCATATAAAGTAGCATCCAACAGGTTCAGCCGAACCTAGCTAAGACTAAGACTGAAGTGCCGCCGACGCTAAAGTATCCACCTAGTTAGGATCATTCCAGGAGAAAAACGAGATCATAAACCTCATCTTTTCTCCAAGGCTCTCGGGTATCAATAGTCCGGTTACTACACTGCCAATAAAATTTAAAATAGATCCAAATTGAGCATCTGCCTAGTCATGTCGTCGGATCCTATGTCCTGTAGAACTCTTTTGTTTACCAGCTGTTCTTACTATAAAATTAATATACAAAATTCTACAGCACTTCTAAAATACTCAAAAGTACTGCTACTAAAAAATGCTCTGAATATTAATAGCGAAGAAATATTTAAGTTAGCACGCTATTTATCGCAACTTTTATCGTGTAGGCATCAACTTGATAAAGTTGAGTAACGCTTCGGAACTGCAATAAAGAGGCTTAGCATGGCGTTTGTTAATTTACAACTGTAACCATGACTTGTGAGTATACTTCTAAACTCCGTGACACTTCACTTTTACCCGACTTTCGTTTTTAATATTAAATGAATGGCAGTGACGGATTCATTAAGCGTAGGGCCCGCAGCAAATTCTATCGAGGGGCCCCGATCTTGGGGCCAGGGATGTCCCTGGAACTATGGATTCAACTGAACAGAGGCATTAGGAAAGTGATTCCAAAAGTTTTAGCTCTGCCTGAGAGGTGGGTGAGTTATATTAAGGAAGTAGATTTTTTTTGTTTTTAAGGGGGGAAAACCATCGAATGACTGTTTCCGCCTGGGTGAGGCCTGAGGCGGGAGGGAGTGTCAGACTCTTACTGACTAAAAACTACCCAATTCGTTCTCCTGCACTTCGAGCGGGAGCTCCGGTAACCCGTTAAGGTTCTCCGCGACAGGGAAGTAGTCTAAGGGCCAATTTTTCAATCATCAGTTAATTCCTGTAGAATAAAATTGACAAATATTCAAAATTATTCCTCTGATAAAATTTAACTGAGCTTTGTAAAATCGGCCCTAAAGCGGCTACTCGATTTGGCTTAGGTAGTTTGGCTACCCGGGCCCCCTTCGGTGTGGGGCCCCTACGTGATTACGTTACGTTACTACGTGGTAAATCCGGTACTGACGAATGGCTGATACACTATATGGTATGTGGCAGTCATTTACAACCATAGGTTCACGCAACCAAAGTTTTTATTTCGTGTTATATGAGCTTTTATACGCTTCTGTTTTGTTTTAACGGCTTTTACTCGTGGGTAGAGGATTAAAACTCCTATAAAGGTTTATGGTAAAGAAGTTTAGACATGGGGACTATAAATTTTATTTAACTGGGTAAATATAACTTCGTTGAATGAGTGGTCGCAAGGACGTTGGGCGAGAAAGGGTCTCGAATTCGATTGTTGTTGGATAAGTAACTACTTTACTAAAGTGGGCGGTAAAATTTAACTATTTAGTGATTATAAATAAATGTGCAATTGTTCTTTCTCTTATACAGGGTGTCCCTTAAGTTGACGATCAAATCGCACCAGGTGATCAACAAGGTTCCAACAGTTATAAGAAAAATTCCAAGTCAGATAGTTTTTAAATTACTATGAGTATGTTTTATCCACGAAAAAGTACACCTGTGCCTTTTGACTCTTGTTGCCACAATTCTTTATTTTTTCGGCTGTATTTTTGCTTACGTTATCCTGAATAGTGCTTCAATATTATGAAATCCCAAATTTTGAACCAACTGCTTTAGTTTAGAAAAGAATATCATTTTTTGATGAACCAAGTAAATAACCTCCATAAAATGTTCACCTTACTTTATCACCATTGATCGATCGGTGCCATTTGATAATCGGCTTTAGGAAAACCCTGTATGTAGAAAAGGATTCAAACGAAGCGACGGATCATCTGATGTAGATGGTCAACACCAGAGACGTTGCAAGTGCGTTGCCTGCATTGGAAAAAGGCTTAACAAATACTGATGATGTAAGATCAAAAATTTGATGTTACAATCTGATGCTGTTGCAGCTAATGATGTTATAAAGAAGTTTGGTACTTACATCTAAAAACTTCGTAAATGAGGGAATAAACACAACGCATTTCTTGCTCGTCATCGAAGTCCACAGGCAACGGCGGCTTACACAGCAAGCGCGCAGCTTTTAGCACCTGACAATTATCACAAGGAATTATTCATCATCCTTCGGGTGTCGTTTATCCTTAATGCTTAGAGTGGTGACTTCAACGAATCACTTTCTCCTGGACTATCGTACGTTTCCCATCTTGCTGTATCTTTGGTAATATAATTGGCATTACAGACAACACAATATGTTGTATTTAAATATACACTTATTTAGTCATACCAGCGCATGGGGCTTTTACAGCCTCTGGGTACTTTACCATTTACTTTGTCCGCCAGAAGTAATAACTTATAGTTATACTTTCAAGTACTAAAAATAGTGTATTGTGAGTTGTTTGTGTTCAATTACTAGTACTTTCTAGGTTATATTAAAAAAAGTCTACACTACAAACATACATTAGACACTGAAACACTATGATTGCCTTGTAATACAGCCCTACAAGGCCCAGTTAATAGGTAGGTGAGTAGGTATAGTTCAAGCCTTGACTGTTACGAGCTCATTCCAAATCTTAATAGGAATCTTTTAAATAGTTTCGTTCTAATGGAGTCGTTATTAGATTTTGTTGTAGCAAAGTTCTACTTGTAAGTTTATTTCTGTACCTAATTAGAAAAGTATTATGACACTGTATTTATTTATTGCATGCTGTCGATTCTTAATTGTCAATTTCGTTAATCAAAATTAAAGTTTTTGTTCAAAATTGTCAGCAGTCTGTTCTTGTAGCTCAACTATCAAGGCATCAGTTTTTATTGATGGCTTCGAAAATATTACTTTTCTACGGTTTACCAGATTATGACATTAAAGGACCTTAGGATGTTATAAAAACTTGAAAAGAAATATTTACGATTAGTATTTATTACCTATGTACATATATTATTTATTTGGTATTTATTATTATTGGTATAATAAATATAACAGATATGTTATACGTGACAATAAATATAATACAATAAAATACAATGAATCTGTTTGATATTCAAAACTTAAGTTCACCTGTCCAATATCCCAAGCAGGACCCGGCGAAGTTTTGACAGCGACTGGTGGTGGTGCATGAGGGTTCTTGGTGGCTACCACGAGTGACCATGGCGCCCATTCCTCCACCGGTTCTTCGACCGGTTTAGCCACTTTGTTACCATCTTCGTCCCTAAGTAGAGGATGAGAATTTTTACTCAAAATTTGCTGTTTATCAATTCTATTTTCAGTCTTTGAGGAGAGTTAAACACACAAAATGTGGTCTATCCTATCTGCGTACCTACGTACCTACTACCCTGTATGACCGACCCAGAATATATAATATAAGAAGACTATATAGTCAGTTTACTTGATGGGCCTAGCCTTATCCAGTTGTCTGATAAATCGGATTCTTAAAAAAAACTGCTAGTTATCCATGTTGTTTCTTTTACACAAATTATATAGACTTACGCCACAGAAGGACTTGATTGTTCTATCATTGCCTCCATTGGGTGCTTTGGGCCATCATTTTTATTTTTAACAATATCCACACACTACAGTGTCGTTTCGTTTACAACACCTTCATAATATTATTAAGTCCGACACAATAAGTCTGAGAATTACGTTTGGATATTAAAATGGATCTATTAAATAAATTATAACTAAGTAATACAATATATGACGCTAAATAATTTAAATAATAGGTTGATAATTGATTATTTTTTTGGGACCTGAGATGTTTTATTTGTTTGTTTTGACATAGTGCAACTGCTTTGACAATAGGTTTTATTTTAAATTTAAGTAGGTTTTATTGTGGCCAGTGTTTCGTTTATGGGCTACGAGATTTATATAATCTCACATACTTTTTCTACGAAAGGGTAGGCACACAACATGCAAATTGTAGCTGTAATTGGCCCCCATAGTACCTTAAATATAACGGAGCGCAGCGGTACACTAAAAAGACTGGGGAGTGTGGGATTCTTCTCTATCTCACTTAAACTATCCCAGTGGTCTCCCCCATCAGCATGTTTTAGGGTTCTCTAAGTCTACCTTTCGCCTTTAAAGTCACTTTCATCCTACCTCTTAGTAGGCACCTCGTACAATTTACCTGGATACATCAGACTATCGGTGTGTAGGTATGAAGTTACCTCTATCCTAGCGTGAGCGATGCACCGTATTTCGCATTTATCGATAAACCACACAATTTACCCAGTGCTTTCATTTGATGCATTCGCTGAAGTAATGATATTGAGACAGCACATGCAACGTACGTGAATCACTCAGACCATATGTAGTTATGTAAGAACAATACCCATGTATCTGCGATGTACCATATTATTTAAAATGAAATGGATTATTTTTAAAACATTTCCTATGTCGGTGGTTGGTTCTGTAGGGGCCAAAGGTAGGATGACGATGACGATGATAATTATAGAACAATTGCCCAATAGACCGAGAAGGTGCCGTCACTTTTAAGCGTCCCAATATTAGAGATAGATGTCCGTAGAAGTTATCTCACATACTATATACCTACTTGCATGAAAAATGTAAATAAAAATGGCGTAAGGAGACTCAGCAAAGTGATTTATTTATTATATAAGCCGGTAAACTTGCAGACTACAGATATAGTATGTCTATATCTGTGGAGCAGACTAACAGACGGATCACCTGATGATAAGCAATCGGCGCTGCCCATGGAAGCCCAACACACCAGAGGTGTTACAAATGGGTTACCGGCCTTTTGGGTATTAGGAATTTCAGGATTATTAGGGATTGGGGAGATTGAGAAGGGGGTAATTGGGCCTCCGGTAACCTCACTCACACGACGAAACACAACGCAAGTGTTGTTTCACGTCGGTATTCTGTAAGGCCGTGGTATCACTCCGATCGAGCCGGCCCATTCGTGCCGAAGCATGGCTTTCCCACATTTTAGGAAACACTTTCATTTTGCTTAACTTCAATATAATATCAGATATTTCATCGAATAGATACTATCCATCTACCTTCCTAGTGTCTATTCAGCAACACTAGAATCACGTCTATTTCCAGAACATATCATTTGAATGAACAATGGCCATTATGCACATCAATAGTTGGAACCGTCAACCGTGTAGCTATGGTGTTCCATCCAATTAATGCTATGTCATTTGTAAGGTGTCTGGTAGATTGGAGCGGTTCATAGGGTTATGTGGAGGTCATGGCCGAGCCATATGCCATGAACACGGGGTCCCACGCAATCAACGGCTATAATTATAAATCTAGTTTGTTTTACGTAAAGCTAATTTAAGAGTTAATGAGGTATTCTGAAATGGAACTTTAGTGTTTATTTATGTTTTATTTCTATTTGGGTATTAATTGTAGTGCTTGCTGGTTGTTGGTAGGTTTTTAGCTCAATACCAAGATTAGACATGCATTTATTGTGTTTTTATTCAGTCACAAAAAAAAATCTTACCGTAGCGTAATTAATCTTATTAGATGACCATAAAATAACTAAATACATAGGTAGATACGCTTTGATAATTATTTTTTGAGTGAAAAGTTCCTACTGACATTATTTCGGGACAAAAAGGGACCAAATTACGGATACTTACTCTTCCAAGTCCTTCTGTAATTCGACAAGAACGAAGTATTTCTGCAGTCTATAATCCTTATCGCTAGGAAGGACCAGCTTCTCAGCTTCACTGGTGTCACCATCCTGTCTCGCAGCCTCCTCCTGCAGGAACAGCTGTGCCAACAACTTCGGGTACACCTCGAAGACGTTACCATCACTGTACTGGTTGAGTGCCACCCACAAAGTGTTCGGGTCATATTTGACGGGCATGATATCGACATTTCAAATATTAAGTTTTAATTCATAATTAATTTAAAAATAAAATGCCCTTGCATGCTAAGTTTCCAAAAACACATTTTTAAAATGCTGTTCGTATTCAAGGATCATTTTTATGAGAGTATATTTTTCGCAAACGAATAGTAACGTGAGCGCGTGTGGAGGAAAGTATTCGCGAAGAGCTTCCCGCCAACTGAACGACGGTTGAGGCAACCGACAGCTCCGTAGGAATCAACTTGTTGCTTTGCGTATACTTATTATACTCTTTGCTTTGCGTGGTACAATTCAGTAATAGTACCTATGTTGGAGGCGTGGTTTCATATGTCTTAAGGTAGCAGTCGATTTTCTTTTTATTTTATCTTTGTTTTGGTGCTAAAAATCGTTTACAGAACGCAACCAGATATAACGCTTGCCTTTGCTTGCTTAGCAAATAGTTTGTCTAACTATTTAAGCAGCTACCAAAGAGTAAAATATCTTTTATTATCTAGGTAAAAAATACGTAATAACTATTCACGTTACAACGTCAATGTGACAAATTGATACAAAAAGCAAATAATAAAACACTAAAAATGGGGACCGAAACTAAATGAACATCAAAAAGCCCAAGAAATAGAGTCATCATACAGCCACAAACAGCCCATAACCACGGCAAAACCAAAACACCGTAAAATGAACGTAATGACAAAAGAAGATAGCTACGCAGAAAGGAGGCAACTTTTTAAAAATATTTGGGAAACGGCGATGCAAATAGACGAGAAGGACGCAGCAAACATTATGAACAAACCAAAAGTTATCAAGTAACAACGTTTCTTCTTGCACTTACTGTGTCGGATTAACCACGTCACAAGAGTAGTAGTTGCTGTAGGCCCCGCATTTCCAAACTCATGTCCATCTTAGAGTGAATTATTAAGTTAAGGACAGCACTGACATTTCTCGAGCCTTTTTTATAATTTTTTTTTGGTCAGTGGGTCAACTTAAGGGCGAATTTTTTTACTAGGTATCCGGCAGATAGTAGATTCTATTTAATATAAAAAATAGCTTTCATAAGTAATTAATCATTTTCAGAACTTTAAGGTTAGACGAAGTGGACAGATGTTTAATAGGTAAAGGAAAGAAAGAAAAAATACGGACCTTGAGGACAGTTTGCAAAAAAATATTAGACTTTTGCGACAGACAAGATGAGGATGATCGGTTTTACGAACAGGTATGTTTGCAATTTATAAAAGATGTAATTCTGAAATTGTGATTTTAAAAGAATTAAATGACATAAGGATATAGCTCTCCTAACTCTCTATCTAAGTAGTACTTAGGTCTCCAATGTCTCAACCAACTTGTAAGTTCCTTCTCGTTATCTAAAATTTGAACGCGATACACGGTCTCTTTGTAAAAAGGTAGAGCTTTTTTAACCGATTGAGGCTAAGGACTTACGGTGCAATTTTTTCCCGCGACCGCCGCGGTTCCGGATCCGCAGCCTTTGCAGAATACTGATATGTATGTAAAAAAGCAATTTTCACGGCGCGTTTTACGCCCGCGGCGGTTGCGATTGTTTGCGGCTCCCGCAGGACGGGCGGGCGCGGCCGCGGTTCCACAGACGCGGCGGCTAGCATCCGCGTGCTCTGCGATAGGTAGGCGGGCGGTCGCAATGGGACGGCCGGTCAAGAACTCAACTGATTGTTTGGACCGCCCGTCTTGCGATAATTAACCGCCAAGTTTGCGGGTGATAATCGCAACTGCGGTGGTTGTGTATCGCAGAAAACTGTGGTCTTGTGAGTTTTGAAAATTGCGCCTCCATTCCGCCACCGCGGCGAGCGCGCGAAAAGGTCGCGCCATGAGTCCTTAGCCTTAAGGAAGGGCATTGTTTTCTCTTTCCTAAGAGACCATGTACCTAACTTAAAATCCCATACATTCACAGGTCACCGAAAAAAAGGAGTTACGCCAACATAAACAAGAATATAAACACAAAAAAACAAAATCCCATAGAGGACGGAAAAAGGTCAAAATGTCAAAAAGTTTATTTGCGCCATTAAAATCTGTTGCTGGTCCAGCTAAACCAATTACTTCAGAAAGAAAGAATGGCAATTCTAGACAAATCTCGAATACAACCGAGAATCATTTGCCAATTAAGGCAAAGAGACCTATAACTGTGCGAAGGACTTTGGTTCGACACAATATATCGAAGGTTAAGTCTGCTATTATTGAAGGAAATAATGCTGGCACTAGTCGCCGTAAGATTGGTAAGAAAAAACGTGGCAAACGAAAAAAGTCATCTGTTGTCGGTGGCACCATTGCACCACCGAAGCCATCAGGTACACATACACTCGACTGGTCACGCCTCAATCTAAACTTTGATGCCGTGTCAACGTGATGTGTTGAAGAATATTTATGCGTTATGCATTTTCAGGTGCTTCAAATAATGTGCGTTACGTTTCTACCCCGTTGACAGGACATGCGATTGTAAGACGCATAAAACAAGTCCTAACAAATCATAAAATAGCTGTCACTTAGTCCACATAACAGGTGGACCGTACCGATTGTTTCTACAGGACTCTATTGTGATATGAATACCAGTCATTAATCATTTTAACTAGTTCTAAAACATAATAAAGATGTCAGTAACTTTGTATGTACCTATTGTATTTTTGTAGATTATACGATAACATCGTATCTTTTAATAAGAGGGAGTAAGCAGAGGGCACATAATTATTATGGGAACGGAAGGTACAATGAAACATACACGTAGAAGTGTTATGTTTTGGCTCCACCATGTCCCAAAGCCCCCTTAGCCCCCTATGCAAGAAGAAAAACCCTTTCACTAGTTAATCTACCAGCTTTTTGGAGTCACATACCGAGCATCATTCTAGAGCTCGTGCATCATTTCGTGCTACTGCTAAAAAGGATACATTGCCTGATCCGACAATCCAACCAGGAACCTTTTGCCTGATAAATGCATTGATAAAACAGTACTTACTTAAAGTAACATTGCTTAAGTATCTTAGTTCATACATTACACCTACTGTATATTGGTTTGACATGGATAGATAGTCCACAAATACCTTTTTATATTTTTCCAAGAACTTTTTTCCTTAGGTGCTTCCATGCGAGTATGCACGTATTGCATACTCGCGAGTATGAAGCACCTAAGGAAAAAAGTTCAAAATCCAAATAGTCATTGCTCTTTCTCATTTTATTCAATGAATAAAAAAAATATTTCAATACGTTTCCTGTTAACTGTGTAGGCAAATTTCTGAACGATACAGTAGTGACGTAGCATTTTATTACTACTGTCAACTTAATTTTGTGTCAATTTTTAGTCGATTATGAAACGATATCAATAAGGCATTTTTATAACTAAAAATATATGCTGTATTATTTGTTTAATGTTGTCGTGTATAATTAAATTATGGGGATACCTACTTATAAATTAATTCCTTACTCATACCAAACTTAGTTAAATAATCGATAACGATAATTCGTTTAGTCGATTGAACTGAATGAGATTGAAACCAGTAACGTCACCATTACTATACACCTAAATATAAAATACCGTTATGTTCATTGGTTGAGTGAATGTTTCCCTTTAAGCCTTTTGCATTAAAGAGGAATTTAACTGTCAAACGTTGATGAATGTATATTTTTAATTTAGTCGTGTTATGTTTCGAATGATGCATACAAATTGAATTGACCCAGTAAAATAATAAAATAAAATCGAGCCGAGATTCATCCAAAATTGTATTATGTAGTGAAAATTAAACAAATAAAACGTTATCGGGAAGATTCCTCTGGTAAGACAAAGAGTGATACAATGGGAACCGCTCGTGTGCCGCGTACAAATGTTTAGTTGTAAAGTTTTTGTGTAGTGTTATGTGCTCATCGCTAAACAGTGGTATTATTGTTATAATTCCCACGCTCGTTTTGTGAATGTTGTAGATACATATTGAGGGAGGTCCGATAATGTCTGACTACGATCTTCAGTTTCAAGCGGATTTGGAGAAGGCCCAGGCTTTGAGTTTAGAAAGTCTTGCTTTGGATCAGTTCCGTAGACAGAAGCTACTGTCTAGCGCAGGTAACTGACGTAACTTTGTTTACTCCGCGAGATTACTGATGGTCCAAGGCTTCTGTAAAGATTCACGCAGCCACCTACTAATGTTGTGTTAATGATAACGTAATTTGGTTCATTCCATTACATTTCGTAACCACCTACGCGAATGCCTCATATTAATGTAAATAGGTTAAAAAACCAGTGCAAAACTAATGATAATAGTTAACTATATCAGTTTAAAATTACTGTTATTTTAAAGTATAAGTTCAAATAACTACTACTTGCAATTTGCCTGCAGGTAAATTAGTTATATGCTATCCACTATTTTGTTTCTATAAATATTTATTACTACCAATAACTATAACTATTTAACAGTATCTATTTGAATACTAATTTGTTAATGAAGCAAACAGTATAATAATTAAGAAAGTAAGATAATAAATACCGACAATAAAACTAAATAAATGGTCTTTCAAAATAGGGTGAAGTCATAGAATGTAATTAATCAAAATATTGTCTACCTAATTGGTTTTTACCCAATCACATTTTATAGGTATCCAGCCAGTATCAATCTGTTAAAATAGGTTCTTAAATTGGAATAATATTAATGTGAACTTTGCCTTCTTTGATAATGCCGCTGCAACTGCACAAAAATAAAAAAATATATATTTGTGTATTACATTATGTTTAGATTTTGCTTTATTTTCCTATAAACAATATTATAATTTTACCTGTTTGTAAAAAGTAGGTAATGTGATAACAGGAGGATTATATTTAAGTATGAATAATATAAAAACAAAGTTTTACCGAAATAAAATGCAATGAATAATGACAATTGAAGTGGCAACTGACCTTTTATTGGCACAACGAGATCAATTGATGCAGTGTAAACAAGAAAAATTAATAAGCATTGTGACTACAGCAAAATGTCTGTGAGTATATCAATCAAAAGGGAAGTAAGGTCAATGACCTCACTCGTAAATGGGGCACTGATTATATGAAATCATGATAACTGTATCTTCTTTTATATGAAAGTGTCATGCTGCAAGCTAATATAGAAGTACAAATGACTTGAAATTGAATATTTGACTAATTGTTATTAAGAACATTGTTTGTATTGTAGTCATACTTCAGGGAATGTTTATCTCTTTCACTTTGTTATCTACAACAAAAACTATTGATACCTTGTGCCTAATCATTGGTGATTGGCTTATCACGTTGATATTGTCTAGATAATGTCCGCGAGGTGGCTAGTGTTAGTGGCCGACGGCGTGAGGAGACCGACGGGCCGCCGCCTGCGCTGCCACCGCCGCCGCGCAAGTCTCCACGAGGACGAACCTCCATCTCTGACGGTCCCAGGTAAACTCATCAATATTCAAGAACCAGTATACTTATCTCTATCAATATCAGTGTCTTTTATCTGATAACAAACATATTAATGTCTCAATAACATGTTTTAATCAATTCACTATCAATTTTGATTGTGTCCTAAATGTTCTTATAAGAAAATTTTGTGTCAAAGCGAATGATGCAAAGCAAATAGGTTTTGGCGAAACCATTATGGAATATTCTTCTGCGGTTCCCGTAATTTATAAACTCTGAAATCTACAGATCTACAATTAATTTTGCTTTTTCAGTGATAGTTATTCTTATCTCCATGTGAAGTTATTGTTTAAAGTTATCAGATAAATGGATTGGGAAGCATGCACTGGTAATCTATACTACTTTTACTACTTCAATAAATGTTACTTCTTCATTTAAAAGTTTTTGATACTTAGTAAAAACCTTGGATGTTGAATGACTTAGTATGGTGACCGTCATAATGTCAGGAATAGGATAATAGAATTCTCCTATAATATCATTATAGACTGTGTTTAAATTATAACTTTCGAGGGACATACTAAATTAACCATTATGTTTTCGGCTTACTTCATGTATATCTTTGACGAGGAACTCGACTAGTTTCAAGCCATGCTAGAGGCTCATATTCCGCGACCCGCGACGCCGCGACTAGCGCTGCTACTGAGCAGCATATCACAAATGCTTGAAACTAGTCCAGTTCCTCGTCAAAGAGTTACGTGAGTAAGTTGAAAACATTATAGACTCGTTAACATGTACCTAATTAAACAACAAAATAAATATGTATTATCTAAAACAAAAGGTGTTATATTAATAAACGTGTTTATCTTTTGGCATGAGTACAATGTTTAGCCTTGCTTCTTCTTTATGAGGTTAAGAATGTCAAGCAAGTTGATAAAAAGTTAATGTTTTGCAAGATAGGTGTAAATACTTTTTAATTAGGAAAAATTTGGTGGTGTATTATAATGCAGAGGATTTTGTCTTTTTGTAATCTATCTTCTGGGTTTTATTCAACTAGATTGAGGTCAGGTACTGATAAGCCGTGGGGAACGTTACCAGGGCTCCGGCTACAAGTGCAGCAGAAAAATGGGATGGTTTTTAGTCAGTAAGAGCCTGACACTCCCTCTCGCCTCACCCAGGCGAGAGAAGACATTCGATGATTTCCCCCCTTAAAAAAGTATCGAGTCTTATGAGATTCGACTGTTCATAACAACCTAGTGGTGTTTGATCCAATTGTAATGTATTAGTTAATTAGTGGCATTTAAACAAATAATTATTATATCTTCAAAGGGAAATTCCTAACTAAATTCCACATTTAATTATGATTTTAGTTCCTACAGCCATCCAATGATGATTTGGGCGATGAACTTCTAATACGAAATTATCATAACAGTAGTTGCTTCATAACAGTAGTTAAGGTTATCTAAATATAGTGAGTCAGTCACGAAAGCTGTATAAAATCGTAATCTTAATAATTCGTATTAAATAAGACGCAATTTCAAACAAAGTAACATTATCTAGTATAACATCATATTGTTATTGTTTCATTAACGAATCATATCGTAATCAGACTTCAAAATTACCAATGGAACGGAAACCAGCTGCACGGCAACGTTCTTCAAACTAATATTTTAATTTTGTACTTTATTACAAATATATAAAGTAGACAATCTTATGAAGTAATTTGACAGATTGCAGTAGGTAGATTTGCTGTTTAATGACACGGGTACCATGTGAAATGAGTGAAAACACACAAAACCACAGCGCCACCTACGATAATACTTCGTTTGCTTCCTTCACCTTCATGCATCATGCATGAAAATCCCTTCTTTTTGGCTCTAGAACTTACCAGTCATTTCATGATGTGGTATGTCTTCATAAAACTTCTACCCAACTGCAAAAGATGGGTAACATTTTTGCGTTTAAGCAATAAGCCTGACGTCTTATTGTTATTTCTTTACGTTTTTTACCCATTTTTCCTAGAAGTATTCCTCAAGACACACGCATCTAAACATTTTAATGAAAATAAAAACTGTTTTGTTATTTGAACCAAATCTAACTATACTGTTCGCGTCTACTATACCAAAGCGACTGCCAAACAAACTGATACATGTATATTTTTGTCTGTATTCGTCAGATCTACTGGAACCAGTCCAACGAGGGAGGAGACGAGCGACTTGATATCATTTTCGAGTCCTACTAGTAAACATGCGCCTAAAGAACCGCATGTCAAGCTAAAGGAATACATCGATCAGATCACTAAGTAAGTTAATTATAGGAATTTAGTTTCTATTTGATTTATTTTAGTGAATATTTTTGCATGGACAGTAGTTGTGTATTTTGTGTAGATAGATTTGCAGTTGCTGTTTGGTATTCGATTTTCAATTGTATGTTCTGAGCAATAGAGATTTACGTTGTGTAAAGGCTTATGCGTGCCTTACACCCGAATACTGAAAGTTCACTCAATTTTAAGTTGTAATTAAATATCGTGCCATCTTTGTCTTTTTACAAAGAACATGTAGTGACAGAAAAAAATATACTTAAGGGCTACTTAAATTTTAGTGGCGTTTCAGTATTCGGGCATTAGATACAGAATATTAATCAATGCATCAAGTTGCATTATTTACTCAATCTGTATGTAAGTTACTTAATTGATTGTGAATAAAAATTATCATAATAACATCTGATATGGCCTGGTTAACTATACTGGTTAATCATGATACTAAACATTTGTTAGCTACACGTTTTGTTCAAGGAAAATATATCATCTACGTCATTTTGTATTTTTATATAGGCTTAAATTTTAATGATGTTATTGTTCACTTAAATAACCATTGACAGCAGTATAATTAAAGCTAAGGCCGTTACCTACGTAGAAGTAGGTAGTGTATTACATACACACGGTAACTGCCATTGTTTGATGTAATAGCCAGCAATTTATTCTGTTTCCCAGGTTAAGTCAGCAGACTGAGGAAGTAGCGTCAAACACAACAGAACAGGGCGGCACAATGAACAATCAGCATTATAATCAGCGGCCGGGGTACTACGCGCCTCAGTACGCGTACAACTACCAGCCGCCTTACGCTCCCATACCGCCGTATCCGACGACACCGTATGGGATGCCAACTCCAATGCCAATGCCAACGCCAATGCCTGGCACTATCCCCGGAGCCATGCCCGCACCAATACCAACACCCTACCCATACTACGCGCCACCACCAATGGCCAACCCATCAGAAATGCCGCCAACATACGTCCACGTTAACCCAATGTACTCAGTACCCTACACCCAAACGCGAATGGCATCTCCGTCCCCATATGCGTACCCAGTGCCATCTGCATATAACTATAGCACAACAAATATGATCTCGCGGCCTCCGAGGCCGGTGACCGCAATATATCCACAGTTGAATCAGACACATACGTACCCGGCTGTCCCGAGGAATCCCGTAAATAATCCTGTGAACAATCCCGCAAATAATAATGCAAGTGTGAACAATAACAATAATAGTGTAAACCAAAGTCAGCCGCCTGCTAGGACGGAGCCGGTGAAGGAGAAAGTTGAAAACAATAGTTCCAGGAAGGCATCGGAAGCTAGCATTGCGGTGAGTTTTTATTCTATTTGTTTATATTATTGTAAATTGAACCTTTTAGTGTCAGTGAAAAGGAGGAAATTAAAAAAAATAAACTTATTCATTACCTTTATTTTAGTACGTTCTTTAATTCATATTCCATTGTCATTCATACAAGTTATAAACGTTTTTAATTACTATTACGGAAACATCCATGTGACGTAATGATTTGTGATCAATTAATTAATTCGCAAATTAGTATCCTGTGTATGATTGATAACTTTGTTAGTTACATTGATAACAACAATAATGTGTATTGTTACTACTCTATAGAAGTGATAGAAAATACTATGTAATAAAAAGTATATAATTTTATCAGAGATTCTGTATACGTAAAAAACTATAGTCACGGCCATATCACACTGGACGCCATGTCGGGCAAAGATGACTAGCGAAGGATTCAACAGTTTAAACTTTCAAACACCGCGAGGACACCGGTGACCGCAAGCTATTGTTCTTTAATTGTGTCTATAATGACGGTACTCAAAGGTACTCAGTAGTTAAAGAATTAACTTAAACATTATTATTTTCCAGTCAAACGAAACGAGTGACACACTAGGAAGTCTCCCACATTCGATGAACCTGATCGACTTCGGCCGCAACACTGCGCAAGGTAGCGTAAGAGTCAGTGTGCTTGAAGCGTTTGATCCACTACTAACTGAGAAAAATATAACCGGTGAGTGGTTTGTGTATCATACCCTATGGACTTGGAAACGAGGTTTTAAAGAAATAATATAGTTTATTTTATCCATATGAACGACTATCTATAGTAGTAGTAGGTCGTGGAATGCTGCTCATGAATATGAGCCTCTAGCATTGCTTGAAACTAGTCAAGTTCCTCGTCAAACAGTTACGTGAGTAAGCCGAAAACATAATTAATTTAATATGTCTCACGAAAGTTACATTATAACCACAACAATAATATATTTACTGGTTGTCTGAAATTGTTCGATAGACCTCAACTAGTTTCGAGTTATATCGGGACTCATAATCATTAGTTTAATAACGACATCGTTTAGCCAAATAATCGAGGACAACGAAAGCCACGTGGTGCAGTCGCGTACACATCCCGACATACGTTTATTTTAAACATATAGTGTTATGTAGAGTGTACCCGTGTATATGTTGTTATGATACAATATGACTTATTATGGCTAAGAAATACCTGAGGACATGGAAACGTGTTGTTTATGAAAATATTGATTGTGTTCTAAGAAAAATTCATTTATTGTTAACACTTTATTCAAGTGGTTAGCAGTTAACGGTCATGTTCATAAGTTTTTGTGTTGAAAATGTTATGTTATGTTTGTTAGCTTTTAAAACCAAGTTTGGTAAGAAATTATATTATGATTAAATATGATACGACAAACCGTAACACGTGTAGCATCAAAATACACTTTATATTTTATACAAAACGTTTTGTTCCTTATGCCATCAACTTTAAAATTACTTTTGCACTGTGCATAACCTCAATTCCAAGTCCATATTCATAAAACCATTTGTTATTTACAATGTTTATGTTTCTTCCGTCAACATTGCACGTGTTTGTGTGATTGGAACTTTTTATTTTTTAATTTGGTGTCTTTATTTTCAAAATCATCTCATTTGTGAAGTGTCTAATATTGTGGAGAATGTCGAATTGACACCGATTTATGCGAGCAGCACTTGGTTTTGTTACTGTTAGTGTCTGATCGAAACTGGGTTTTTGGGTGAAAATATACCTTCAGGCCTAAAATGATTATATCCGTTTGTGTGTCACGTGTTTTTAACCCCTCGAGCGTCCTTATGAGCACCCGGTGGATCATAAGAAAAAATGCTCCAAATGTCACGTGTGCACCCGTTAGATCATAAGGAACGCGGACGCTCGACGGGTTAATTTTCATAATTCATAAAAAGTTCTAGTAAGCGCCGAAGGTAAAGTTTCGCTCTCATCTAAAAATCCAGTATTAATCGGGCGCTAATAATATATGTAAGGGTATTTTTAAGTTCGAAATAAAATAAGGGATCTTAGCGTTGGGCTTGGGGCCCATTATAAGGTTTTTTGTTGGGTTTGAACTCGATATTATTACTTGGAATAGTTCTAACACTGATGAGTACATCAGCTTAGAGGTTCGGAAAAAATTAAGCGTAATATTTTTTTTTTCGCTTGGGTCCTGTGAGCTGGCGTTTAGGGGTGATGTGCATACACCAAGTTTAACTTAACCTTCATGTTTTGAAGGGGTGATAAATATACGCATCATTAGGTACAGCTGGTACAGCCAATAATATCTGGTATTGGACAGCATGCTTTGGTATCATACTGTGTTACAATAACGAAATGGGCGTGTAACTAATTTGGGAAACCTACATTCTTGTTATACTTTAAGTTTTGTTTCATTTGAAGTGTTATTTCGAATACAAATATTATTATTACTATAACACATTGAATTTAAAATTTTCTGTCAATTAAAAATGTGTCTTATTAACTTGGGGTTTAGGTCAAAATAACAATTTCCAAAAAACAGAACATGCGGCGGTTTCAAGCGAGTGTTCAAGCAGTGTTTATGAAGAGTACGACCCATTGGACTTTCTGTATGGAGAGACAGAGATGCGAGATGCTGTTTATGCGACGATTAATAAGAAGGATCCCATGTTGCCTTCACCGCCTCCCAAGTCAATACCGAGCGTGCCTGCGGTCGCTATGAGATCTACTACCGTAAGTAGCTATTTTAATTATGTGTGTGTGAAATGTAAATGATGTGAGATGTAAATGATGACTGATTTTCGATTAGTTCTACGTTTGATTTAATCATAGATGCCTAGCTTTTATCCTAAGTCAATTCGTCGGTACTTGTCCAACTTTAATCCCAAAATGATTGTAATTATAAATACTCAGGTAGACGTGCTCCATCGTCGGCCACATCAAAGTCAAAGAATTTACTTTATTCAATCCTAAATTTGGCACTTTTAAAACGTCAAAAATTGAATTGTCAGTCCGTCCCTCTGTGTGTCAACCTCCCAAAAGCGCTGCAACTCCTGTAAACCAGGATTCACAGTAGTTACAACCATGAAAACACCGGAACACTGAAGTCCGGCGCGTCCCAGGTACATGAGTAACTGTCTTGGTTCCCGCAACGAAGTGAATCAGAAGATATTATAAGAGGAAAAGAAAAAAACGATAGATAGATAACGTCTATCTGTCAGTGAAGCTAGGCGCTCGTTCCAAAGTGTAGTTTCGAATGGAGAAGAACGAGCAATAAACTCCATCGTTACTTATCAACATCGCTTACCACCAGGCGAGATAGTAGCCAAACGTCGACCTATCAAGTACCTATAAAAAACATCTAGAGTTAGCCCTATAACTATTTTATTCAACCTATTAGAAACGACATAATTATAATATTACCCCAACTAAACACACGGAAGGTGTACATTTATATCATTTATATGTTATGTGTCCATCTTCCAGAATAAACTCTACGACTGTATAGTGAAATCAAGAACAAAGAACTACGATAATGAACACAAATCCTTCCTCAAAATGGTTCTCGATGTCAGAAGTAAGTAGAAACATCACCTCCTTTACCGAATATCAGTAAACACAAATAGAAGTTTCTAGAAAAGTATTTTAAACGAAGAAGGTTAGGACGACTACATTAGTCGCATTTTGTTGCCTCACTTAAAGAAAGTTACAAGCTATGTTTTTATTATAACTATCGTGAGACATACCTACTAAATTACTAAAACTCGCGGGTTACTCACGTGAATATACTGAGAAACGAGGGCGAACGCTAGCCAGTAGGCTGCGCGACATCGCCGCGACCGCGCACGCTGCTCATGAGGAAGAACCCCTCTGTGATTCGAAACTAGTAGAGCTTTTCTCAATATATTCACGTGAGTAACCCGCGAGTTTTGGTTAATAAAGTTACAAACTCTTCAGCTGAGCACAGGATTCAATATTTAACACCTAAATCATCAAAATTGGTAGGATTTTTACATTGATATTATTCTTACCCATTTTCAGAAAGATTCGTATATTCAGACGAGAAAACGAACCCGGGGTATGTGATAGCGGCCCGGTCGGGCGGCAAGTACCCACCGAACACAAGTATCAAGATTCTAGTCCACCACGCTCATTCCGACGAACCCATCACTTTTACTTCAGATGGTAAGCGAAAATATACCTTTTAACACTTTTATTAAGATCTACGATCTACTTGCCTATAACTATTGATTTGATGCCTATATGTGTGAATGGAACTTTGATTCAGATGATAATAATCAAAAATATACCTTAAGACATTTAATTTAAAGTCTATAATGCGTTAATGACCATCGAAGTGATGTCGAAAGGCAAAAATCATGTGTGTAAACATACCGAACTTTCAATTCAGATGGTAAACAAAACAATACTTAATACAAGTTCCGTTAAGGTCCAGTATGCAGCATTGATATTTGTTGAAAATATTACAATATGCGAAATTCGTTTGTATAATTAGTAAAACTGTATTTCCTTTGTTTTTAGTGGAATCGACCGTGGAACATGTGATATTAACTGTAGTGTGTTCTCTAGACGAGGACATTAGAGAAGATATGTCTGAATATATGTTGCGGGTGAGTCTTTTATTTGATCCTAAATGAATTGGAAACTAATTAATGTGTACCCAACATTTTGCTATTAAAAACTCTCAAAAGTTTGAAGTAACCGTTAGTGCGTGGCGTGGCGTATACCCTAAGGAATAGAGGTGCACATTACGGCATTTAATGCCCCTACAATGACACCCACTTTTCACTATTTATATTATGAGTCTGGGTCTATAATAGGGGGTGAGTCTATTACCATATACCGGCCACGATTCCAGACTCCGTGCAGGCAGCGCAGGCATAATAATTAGTTAATATTTTCTTGATTTTTTTCCTACAAAATAGTATTTGAAACAGTAGCTTAACCACATTTATATTGATATCTTTTGTGTTTTTAAACTAGATGCAATTCTCGCACTTTATCTTACTAAAACACTTTTTCCAGGTAAGAGGAGCCAAAGAATATTTAACGCCGGGCAGTTCGTTAAGCGAGTACGATTACATTCGAGAATGCGTCCGTTTAGAGAAGGACGTCTCGCTATGTTTGGCTGAAGGCCGTGATAATGTACTCGCGAGGACTGAGAGGGATGATGCGAGGGATTCGCATCTTACATTAGACGATCTATTGCCTTGTCATGGAACCACTGCGCAGCTGTCCTTTGATAATCTTTCTATTTTGTTAGGTAAGTGTAACTATTGATAAACTTGTTTATCTCAAAAGAGTATACAGAAATCGGTGAACCACTCAAGTGTGAAGTTTAATGTTCAACAGTATTGTTAAACACTAACAAACTTATTGATGCTTACTCGTAAATCTTATAATTCAGAATTTCGAATTGTCAAACATAAGAATTATGTGTTTAAAATCTATCAAGGACATGCCCGATTCCCCCTACCCAAAGAGACTCGCAACTCGCTTTAACTTTTCTGGTGTTGCCATTAGATGATCAGTCTGCTCGTTTGCCGGCCTATGTCATAGAAAAATCTTTAAATAAAATCGTCTTCGTTGACAGAGACGCTAGAAGGCGAGTTATCCCGCGCAGTGGGTGTGACGGGCGCGGAAGGTAGTTGTTCCCCGAAGGCAGTGTTCCAGGCCGTGAAGGCCATCTGCGCGCTGGCCGGCGGAGTCGAGACGCTGCACGTCACTCATACACTCAATGCCTTCGCGCAGGCTTGTACGTCTCCGGTATGTATCATTACTTTCGATTCTACAAGTTCTGGTTATTTTTAGCTAGATTCTGATTGATAATATTCGTAATTCTATGTGTAGGATGTTATGTTATGTTACTTTGCACAATTCATTTGATGTTATTTCATAGTGTGCCCAAAGAAGGACTTTTTTTAAACACCGTTTTAGCAGTATACCTATATTAAGCTAAAAAAGTATTGATAAACATGTATACAACAAATAATTTCATATTTATTGAAACCAAGCATTACTCACGGATCTTACTTTTTCTGTCGCATATTTCCATCCATATATATCCATCCATTCACCAGATACTAGGGTTTGTTATTAGGGTCCGTAACTAAGCATTTTGAGGTCTATTTTTATCCATTGCAGAGCAACAAAAACGGCGTAACCCCAGAAATAGAAGCGGACAAAGGTCCGTACTGCTCAGTGTCCCTGCGCGGCGCGACGCGGCGCGAGGTGGTGTCGGCGCAGTGCGCGCGCGTGCGGGACGCCGTGCGGGCACTGCTCGCGCTCTACGGACGGACCAGGCTGCTGGACTTCCATCTCACTGACACACAGTACCTCACGCCTAATAATACTACCAGTAAGTATTTTATAAACCATCGCGAGATGTAGTAAATTATAAGTGCGAGGTACGCGTAAGGATTTTTTTTTTAACATTGCCCCACACTAGGATTATCTCCTGTGTCGTGGGTGCGTTTACAAACATACAAGTTCACATACACAATGACACCCAGACCCGAAACAACAATTTGTGGATCACACAAAGTGTTGTCCCGTGCGGGAATCGAACCCGCGACACGTTGCACGGCAGCCGGTTGCCCAGCCACCGCACCAACCGTGCAGTAATAATTGGTTATAGACTCTGGTGTACCTCGAAATTAATTAAACTTTTTCGAAACAGAGTTTCGAATAAAGTAAATGCTACATAACATATTAGGATATTTTTAAATTAGGTATTTTCCAAATTAGGTAGGCCTAATTTCTAAAGAAATGAGACAGAAGTATACAGAAAATTATAACACTTTTAGAATGTAAAAGCTAAGTCAGGTGAAGAAAGACTTTATACACCACACCCACTATACCAGACAAAAAGCAATAGTAAAAAAGTAATAATTATAGGTTTGATATTATACTAAAGAAGGGGTAAATTAAAAGTAATCTCAACCAACGAGCATGCATGAAAAGACTGATGACTGTTGATGAAGCGAAAGAAGTGTATAATAATCGTAGCAATTGGCGTTCCATAGTCTCTGCCTACCCCCATGGGAGACAGGCGTGAAGTTATATAGCTACATTTATGTATATTATTAATGCTACATTTGTTTACCATAATTTTCTACTTTTACAGAAGCGGTCCCAGCGCACACGATATCAGAAGCAACACTATTCTGTATAGAGGCAGTGCACTGCTTACCTCTATGTTGGAACCACGACGACTATCTGTTCCAAGCTCAAGTGTTCTACGGGACCCGGCCTTTGAAGTCATTACATGTTACTCAGCCGTCTAGGATAGAATGTGGTGGTTTCTATCCCAGAATCATTTTTGATACTTGGTGAGTAGTATTTTGATATAATGGGGATGATGACAGGGTATGAAAATTAAAAATATAATTAGTCCGTAAGTTAGGTAATGAAAAAATATTAGACACGTATTTTTTTATTTTGTCGTATAATAAAACAATACTTAGATAAAACTAATCAAAGTTTAGGAGTGGGGGCTAAAACGTCATTTCTTAGTATAAAATGTACTGAGAAGTGACGTCACGCGACATTTCAAATCAATATATCTTCGAAACTATTCGTTTCTGTGAGAAAATAAAAAATACGTGTCTAATGTTTTTAAATAATCTATCAGACGGACATTAAAATAAAAATTAGTCGTCTACCCTATTCTAAAGTTACTTTTATTTTGTTTGTATGTGTTTGATTTCGTTGTCGGTTCAGTGGTTGCAAATACGATAGCTGACTGAAAGTCTCGTATACTGGGTTCGGTTTGTCAAGTTTTTAAAAAATCTTTAAAAAACTGAAACTAAGGACCTTCGCTAGCGATTACATAAGAAATACTGACTGCACAATGGCTATTGCGCAATCGATTAGTTCGATTCTCCCACGGATTTTTTTTCTGTGATCCGTAATTTGTGGTTCTCGGAGATTACTCTAAAACAACAATAAAATTCTGTAACATTTTAACTTCGAAGGGGTAGGCTCAGGTGCTCACTTACTGCAACTGTACAATGTAACACCCACTTTTCACTTATGTTTTGAGTCCTATGTAATAGGGGTAAACCTTTTAACCGGGTACCTTTTAACCTTTTAACCTTAAAACCGGGCACATTCCCAGTCTCCACGCTACTACTGAGATTTTTTTTAAAACCCAGTTATATTTTTCCCGACCTGGGAATCGAACCCGTGACCCCTTGCCAGGCAGTCGCACTTGCGACCACTCAGCCAACGAGGCAGTAATTAAATTATTAATTATTATTATCACCAATTCCAGGTTAAACCTAGAAGACGTGCCAGTGAACACGTTACCGCGCGAGTCTCGTCTGGTAATGACGCTGTACGGACGGTCACAGCGCGCGGTGGACGGCCATGACAGCCAGGCGCAGGACTCGGAGGAAATCAATATGAATATACAGTACGATCTGGTGGAACTGGGCTGGGCTGCTATACAGATGTTCGATTTTGATGGGTATGTATATGTAGTGTAGATTTACTTTATTGTTTTAACATTAAAGTGGTTTTGAACGCCCACTGTTTCTGGCACTGGAAAATGGAGCGTGTTGATATGTTCTTGGAGCCTGTGGAAAGGCCCTTATAATCAGTCTCATTAGGCAGTCCTCGGTAGAGTAAAAATATACGAATGATATAAAAGTTGAAAAAGAAATTAGATTCTAGTATTTTGTACAATATTAATCTTAAACACTTTCCCTCGTTTAAATGACAGTCAAATTTGACAAAGATTGTAAAGTTGTTAATAGATTTTCGACTTTATTACAAAACGGTAAGGTTGTTAATTTGTTAATATTTAACTTTTGCTATCAATGTTGAAATTGGCAACCTGGATTAGTTTTAGTTATTGTGAATGAATTGAAATTATGTTATGTATTCCAGTATGCTAGCGTCAGGTAACTACGTGTTGCCCCTATGGCCGACATACTGCGACCGACGCATCGGTCCGGCGCCGCATCCCATGCACTCGCCCACCGGGACCTTCCCTGTTGTTAATATTGGTGAGAATATATTTATACAACTATCTTTATCAGAATTTTTTTCTTTAAAAACGTTGCCCCCCACTAGCATTTTCTCCTGTGTCGTGAGTACGTTTACAAACATACAGATTCACAAACACATGACACTCAGACTCGGAACAACAATCTCTGGATTACATAAAGAGTTGTGTTTGAGTAGGAACGAGGTAGTTTTTAGTCAGTAAGTGTGACAATCCCTCTCGCCTAACCCAAGGCGGGAGAAGACTTTGAATGATTTTCCCCCCTCAAAAAAATACCTATATTAGCTACCGTCTGCTTCTTGTTTTCTGAATGTAATATCTTTTTATCCAGAAATCCCACTATACGCTCACAACGGCGTGAAATGGACGAACGGTGAAGAGGGTAGGCAGAGAAAGCTGACTCAGGAGGACCTGCCCAAGTTCGACAGTTTGGACGGACACACGCAGTCACAGCTACTCGCACTCATAGAGCAGGGAGCTTACCAGAGGATGCCTAGCGAATGTAGAGAGGTAAGACAAATAAGATTACAATACGAACTTACTGCCCAAATTTAAAAGTAACTGGATCAAACTGATTGTGGTCCTAAATTTGTATTGTACCATACGATGCAAATAGGTACAGACAATAAGTTCAAACAGTTCTTAGTTCCTAGTGAGAGTGACGCGATCGACGTATCGACGTTCAGCGGTCTGATTGGCCTGCTCCAAGTTAGCCAACCAATCAGAGGGCTTAACGCAGTAACGTGTGGATCACGTTAACCTAAAACGAGTTCGCACTAGACACTCGTAATTTCGCGAATATTCAGAGACGACAACCACTTACTATTATAAATCAATGACTATGGCTTGACGACGTAACTATACGAGTATGAGCCCCGGGCGTGGTTTAAAACCAGTAAACTAATGCCGTCAAACAGTTCACAACTTGCACTTAATTTTATAATAATGAAATTACAGTTACAAACAATAAATATTATGTTCATTAATTTTTTAGATAATGTGGGAAAAACGTCAATACCTGGTACAGTTGGCTGGAGCGTTGCCTCTAGTGTTGATGGCAGCTACGAACTGGTACGGCGAGCATAGAGAACATCTCATCGCTCTACTGAACCTATGGGAGAAACCGTCGCCGTTGAATGCCATGCATTTACTGTTGCCTTGGTAAGTGTAGTCGAAGAAGAGGTGGACAAAATTGGTCTTACTTTATGTAATCTGGATATTTGAAAACAATCTAGAAAATTCAAAAGTCTCCAATGAGAGGCCTGTATCCGGCATTGAACAGAAAAGGGCTTATTTGTATGCTAAGTTTTGTGCTCATAATTCCGCTTTATTGTGTTTTAAAATCAGATGGGATTACAAACATGATTCTTAATTGGCATACTAAAATCATTTTGAAATATTTCTCATTTAACTTGTTACCAAAACCGTATAAATATCATCATATATACTAAGAAATATATAATATCACGTCTTTTATCTGCGAATCCATTTGGTGCACATTACGACACTTAATGCCAATGTTAACACACTTTTCACTATTTATGTTATAAGTCCCATGTAATAGAGGGTGAACCTCATGTCATATACCGGGCACTGTTCACGACTCCGAGCTACTACTGAGAATTCTACTAAGAAACTGCACGGTTGGTACGGTGGCTGGGCAATCGGCTGCCGTGCAACGTGTCGCGGGTTCGATTCCTGCACGGAACAATAATTTGTGTGGTCCACAAATTGTTGTTCCGGGTCTGGGTGTCATGTGTATGTGAACTTGTATATTTGTAAACGCACCCACGACACAGGAGAAAATCCTAGTGTGGGGCAACGGTTAATTAAAAAAAAAATATCATCACAATAATTATTATCTGCTAACACATTCTTCACCAATTTGCTTCTAGCTTCCCTGACCACGCGGTCCGTGAGACGGCAACGCGTCTTATCAACGAGATGTCGGACGACGATCTATGTCGCGTCATGCCTCAACTAGTGCAGGCGTTACGTCATGAGACATACGAGGCCAGTCCTGTTGCAGGTCAGTAATTACTTTTAACATATCCCCAGATTAAAATTCTATTCATTTTCAACTTTATTACGTATGGATAAGGTTGAAAAGATATTTAATAACCGTGCTTAATACGTTATTATGTTTTTCATTTCAGAATTATTGTTATCTCGTGCACTCTCCGCGCCTGCGGTAGCGCATCGATTGTTTTGGCTGCTAGTCCATTCGTTACCAAATGTACCTCAAGTAAGCAGAACTTTTTTTTACAATTTTTATTTCGGAAAATACTGGAAACATGTGAGATTGGAATGAAACTAACAACAATGTTTTTATAGTTGCACTCACACAATATAGATTGTAGATAATACAATTCACTTATGTAATTTTTATCCGAAAGCTCGTCTAGTTTTGAGTCAATACGGGGCTCATAATCAAGCTGTACTTCATGTAAAATGACGTGCGTTTTCTGATTAAAATACAACAAGTATATTTGTCTTTTAGGCGCCTAACCAGGAGTTCTTAGGCATCAGTCTTGAAGAAGGAGCCCAAGAGTCAGCAGAGAGTGACGCGGGCACCGCGGCCACGTGGCGGTACAGGTTGTTACTGCGAGCCTTACTGGCTACTGCCGGGCATAGTCTGCATCATACGTTGTTACGGCAACAACTGCTTGTTAAGGTCAGTAGTCTTTGAGGGCATTTATGTAAAAGTTGATAGAGTACCTTCATCGCTTTGTAGACTAAAAAGTAATACCGTGTTTCTTTTTGCCATTTCTCTAAAATTGTTTTTTCATTGTATCTGATAGGGTAGCAAACGTCTTCTTATCAGAAACTCCTTTTTCTTTCATATTGTGATAAGTCAATCCACTCCTATTCCTGTTTTTTTTTAATAGAAATAAATTGTTACATGGTAGCCAGTTTGGTTTTACCAGGGGTCGTTCAACAACTGATGCCGGTGTTGAACTTCTTAATCACATATATGACGCGTGGGAGGACTCAAGCGACGCTTTGGGCATTTTTTGTGACTTATCCAAGGCGTTCGATTGTGTCCTTCATGATACATTGATCAGGAAGCTATCCCACTATGGAATAAGAGGTAAATCTCTGGATCTTCTTACCTCATACTTGAGTAACAGGATTCAGAGAGTCGAGATAAACGGAAAAGTCTCCGCCGGGTCTGTTGTCAGGATGGGGGTTCCGCAGGGGTCAATTCTCGGCCCTTTTTTGTTTCTTATATATATAAATGACTTGCCTTACCTTGTAAAGGATAACCACGGGATAGTACTGTTTGCGGATGATACTTCGTTATTATTCAAACTTAAACGTAGACAATTAGTCATTGATAATGTAAACAGCGCTCTCTCGGAGATAGTACATTGGTTTAGTGCCAACAATCTACTACTAAATGAAACTAAAACTAAATGCATTAAATTTACAACGCCAAATGTTAGACATGTAAATACCAGCGTGCTAATTAAGGGTGAGGAGTTGGGCCCTGTAGATTCTGCTGTCTTTTTAGGTATAACCCTAGACGCTAAGCTCCAGTGGGCTCCACATATAGATAAGTTATCGAAAAGGCTCAGTTCTGCAGCATATGCCGTTAAAAAAATTAGAAATTTAACCGATGTAGATACAGCGCGATTAGTATACTTTAGTTATTTTCATAGTGTTATGTCATACGGTATTCTCCTATGGGGGAATGCTGCTGACATTCAATCTATCTTTGTTTTGCAGAAGAGGGCCATTCGATCAATTTATAATCTTAGTCCGAGGTACTCTCTCAGGGAACTATTTAAAGAAATTAATGTAATGACTGTTGCCTCTCAATACATTTATGAAAATGTAGTATATGCTCATAAAAACAAAAGTTTATTTAAAAAGCATAGTGATATACATAATATCAACACGAGAAATAAAGACAAATATGTTGTTCCCACTACTAGACTAAAGAAAATAAGTGGTTCGTTTAGATGTCAGAGTATACGCTTTTACAATAAAATTCCCAGCCATATCCAAAATTTGAGTCTAAATAAATTTAAAAATGTCATTGAAGATAAACTTTTTAGTAAAGCTTTTTATAAAATAAAAGACTACCTAGATGATAGTCTGGCTTGGGAATAAGCCGCTGTAACGTCCACACAGGTCATGTTGACATGTTTGTAACATATAGTTACATTTCTTTTTATATGCAATTTGACATTATTAGCATAATGTGATATTGTTTTTCATTTGAAAAATTTATATTTTTTTTTTAAACTTGACATTTACCTCTATTTTTTACAATTGTTAGTGCTAGGACCGTGCGAGACTTTGCCTCGCCATTTCTTTTCTTATTTCTTACTTATACTCTGACAGTTTGAGTATTTGTGCGACCCACGCAAATGTTCTTTAGGTTGGTATTGTTCGTCGAATCACTCAGCCTCATCTGTTAATTGAGCTGACTGTAAACCGACACATGCGTACTGCTTTCAGAACGGGTCCGCTCAAGCTGTTGTGGTTCTTTCCTCAAAAGGCCACTACAGAAAGAACTTGCACGGTTCTCACACATAATCTTTTTATACATACATATTTGTCTGGACTTTAAAAGAGACAGACCTCTGAGTTTGTTTCGGCATTTCTTCTCAGAGTAGTCAGTTAGGAAATGTCGACCTCATCGTTCGCTTGATAAAATTGACGTGTAAAAGTGCTGCCTTGTAGCCTATTTGCAGAAATAAATTCACTTGTTTCACTTGTTTCACACTTGTTTCACTTGTTTCACTTGTTTCACTTGTATAGGATGTGTGAATAAGGACCAAAATGAATGAAAGTTGGTTTCTCTTATAGTGACTTGTAGGTTAAGTATGCTAGCGCAACTGCAAAGCAAACGGTTTAAATTTTTGGTTTAGGGTATTATAGAAAAAAATAGGCACCAACATACATTTAAGGGGGTGTTAAACATAAAGTTATGTTTGGTTGACTGCCTCATTGGCCAAGTGGTCGCAAGTGCGATTGCTGGGTAAGGGGTCTCGGGTTCGATTCCCGGGTCGGGCAAAGTATTTCTGGGTTTGTAAAAACCTCAGTAGTAGCACGGAGTCTGGAAATGTGCCCGGTATATGGCAATAGGCTCACCCCTTGTTACATGGGACTCATAACATAAATAGTGAAAAGTGGGTGTTACATTGTACAGTGGCATTAATTGCTGTAATGTGCACCTCAGCCTACTCCTTCGGGGATAAAAGGCGTAATGTTATGTTATGTGTTATGTTTGGTTCCTGTTGCAGACGCTGTCGGAGGTGGCGCAGGGCGTGAAGGACGCGAAGGAGACAGGGCGCGGGCGCGCGCTGACGAGCGGCGGCGAGCGCCTGGCCGCGTTACTGCGCGCGCAGCCAGCCGCGCTGCCACTCGCGCTGCACAAGTACGTGCACGACGTCGACGTCAAGTGAGTGCCTCCCTAGCGGTATAATCCTTATCCTTACTAATATTATAAATCTGAAAGTGAGTTTGGTTGTTTGTTTGTTTGTTCCACCTTCACGCCGTAACTACTCAACCGATTGCTTTGAATTTTTGCAGACGTAAAATTAGAAGTCCGAATTAAATAATAGGGTATCTTTTAACCCGGGAAAAATTAATATACCCGAGGAAAAACAAAACTATTGGTATAGATGGCGATGGGTGTATTTGTATATGTCACATAGGCTACTTTTTATTCTTTTGTGACGCGAGCGAAGCCGCGGGTAAAAGCTAGTCACCAATAATTGGGTACTTGCCAATTAGTCAAATTCAATGCTTTTTTCGAACTGTCAAAAACGACAGTTTTCTATGAATTTTGAACAACATTACATATTGTGACGTCATATTTTTTAACGTGAAACATCATACTTCAGTCTTAAAAAATTGCCAAAATGTACCCAATTCTTGTGTAAACTATGTTTAAAAAATTCGCCTTCAACCCCCTCTTTTTTATTATGAGCTATATACGACAGACGCCCGATGCCGTATTTGTGTATAAGAAGCTTAAATCCTCCCAAAATACTATTCACTGATTTAAAAACGGATTAGAATTACGTTAATTACTTTTTCAATTTGTCACGGACCTTGTTTTAGTATATGCAAGGGCTTTATGTCTACTACTCATTGTAAAGTGATATTTAATTAATACTTATTGTTGTATAGGTCTTGTATGTACTTCGCTTCGAATACTCTACCGCTCAAGATAAACTTCATCGGCAACGATAATGCAGTGATACCGGCTATGTTCAAGGTAAGGAATATATAAATATCTCTATAATTAAACATTTTGAACCTTGTGATTTTGTAATACAGCCTCGATGGTCGCAAGTGCGATTGCCGGGCAATTGGGTCTCGGGTTCGATTCCTGGGTCGGGCAAAGTATTACTGCGGTTTTAAAAAAAATATCAGAAGTAGCAGGGAGTATGCAATCGTGCCTGGTATGTGGCAACAGGCTTACCCCCTATTACATGGGGGGTACGTAACATAAATAGTGAAAAGTGGGTGTTACATTGTGCAATGGCATTAAGTGTCGTAATGTGCATGTGCACCTCTGCCTACCCCGTCGAATTGCGTTATGTTGAAAATTAATTACACTTTTACAAATTGTAATTGTTCTGGCATCTTAACTTGGTCATTTTTCTCGTTTGTGTATTTAGGTTGGAGACGATTTAAGGCAGGACGCTTTAGTTTTACAAGTGATCAAAGTAATGGACAGTTTGTGGCTCAAGGCTGGCCTGGATCTCCGGATGGTCACCTTCCAAGCTCTCCCTACTAGCGACAAAAGAGGTAACACAATTTCTCATTAATATTTAAGTTAAAAAAATTAACTTAGCTTATTGTTATTACAAAGTTATATCGACATCTATTAATGTCGGCACCCACTAGAAATCTAACGAGACTTTATTCTATCGCGCAGTAATTCGTCAATCTTCTAATATATTTGTTTGCTTCTTAGGTATGATTGAAATCGTCTCCGAGGCGGAAACTCTTCGCGCTATTCAAACGGAATGGGGATTAACAGGATCTTTCAAGGATAAACCCATAGCAGAATGGTTGGCGAAACACAATCCTTCTGAATTGGAGTATCAACGGGCAAGGGATAACTTTACAGGTAAACTCCCGCGAGTTTTCACTCGCAGCTTGGCTGCTATTGGTCGCATCGTGATGTTTTATAGCCTTCCTTGATAAATTGACAATCTAACACAAAGAGTATCGGAGTCGCAGAGAACCTAACGGGCAACCGGGGCTCCGGCTCGACGTGCAGGAGAAGGAACGGGGTGGTTTTTACTCAGTAAGAGTCTGACACTCCCTCCCGCCTCATCCAGTCGGGAGCAGTCATTCGATGATTTTCCCCCCTTAAAAAAACACAAAGAGTAGTATATAGTAGTATAGTATAGACAATATAGTAGTCGGAGTAGCACATTCAATCCAACAAATCCTATAGTTAGGATAAAGGGATATAAAGAAATTCTCATTGTAATATATGTTTCAGCATCATGTGCCGGGTACAGTGTAGCGACATATCTCTTGGGCATCTGTGACCGACACAACGACAACATCATGTTGAAGACGTCCGGACATCTCTTCCATATAGACTTCGGGAAGTTCCTCGGTGACGCACAGATGTTCGGCAACTTTAAGAGGTAAAGACTCACACAAATTGTTGCCTCAACAGTAGAGTAAGCAAGAAATAATTATTGTCATTATAATTTAATTTTGTGTAATGATAAAAATCGAGAAGGGAATGCTCTGATGGTTTGGTCATTGATGACCGAAAGCAGGATTACGATGTTCTATCCAATCTTTTTCGAATTAAACTGACAAACACCGTGAGGACACCGGTAACCGCAACCTATTGTTCTTTAATTGTGTCTATAATGACGGTACTCAAAGGTTTAATAAGTTAAGAAAGAGTCTTGTCCAGCGAGAATGCAAAAGGCAGCGTCGTAGACGCATGTACCAAAATAAGCGACGTATTGATAAAATTGAAATAAAAAGCATCTACTTACATACCTAATTATGTAAATTACAAGTGTAATCTTAACAAAATCGTAAATGATATTTTTTTGTGAACTGAGAATAAGAAAATTATTGGAAACTATGCAGAGCTGCGTAATGGCCGCCTCTCGCTGCTTGAACGTCGTCGTAAGCCGTGCGTCTCGCGCATGCGTGTTGATTTTTGCAGAAGATTCGATGATGAAGGTTTGAAAATCACGTTGGCCGTGCGGAGATGCGGCGAACGCGCATGCACGAGCGAAGCCTAGCTCGGATATGTTCGGACAGGCCGTGCGCGTTACACAAGTCTTTATTCACAAAGTATTGTCATTAAGATTTTTCAAGACAAGTTTAATTAAACTCGTTAATATTCCCCAGGGACCGAGCGCCTTTCGTGCTGACCCACGACATGGTGTACGTGATCAATGGCGGGGAGCGTCCTACGCAACGGTTCCAACACTTCGTGGAGCTGTGCTGCATGGCATTTAACGTCGTACGGGCGCATCACGATCATATACTCGATCTGTTCGCACTGGTATGTAGTACTTGTAGTTTTTAGCTTTATTTTTCAGGGTTGTTCATTCTTACTCGATTGGTAGATGGCGCTAACGTCGCGTTAGGTCCTGTGAGTGTCAGTTAAAGGATTAATTTATAGCTACAAACATTAAGCAATAATATTATAGGCAGGAAAATAGCGACGTTTTAACGGTATGTGTCAGGGGTATTCTAACCGTCGGAGCTGGGTTATTGAGTTCTTTCATGGTACATGTTAACATAAAATAAGTACAAAATAATAAACTATTACCTGTTTTGTTTATGTCAATAATATTACTTTTTATCTGTTCTTTTAAATCACTCGTAACGTCAATGGTCACTTTGGACCGGCTGAACTGGAAGCTTTAGACGGAAACATAATTATGTTCAGCAGTAGATGTCGTGTCCTTGGCCTCATATTCAGTAGAGTATGTGTATGTCCGTGTAGATGGCGCTGTCGGGCGTGTCGGGCGTGACGAGCGCGGCGGTGGGCTACGTCCGCGCGGCGCTGCTGCCGGCCGCCACCAACGCGGAGGCGGCCGCCGCCTTCGCCAGGCTCATACACTCCTCGCTTAAGAGCAAGTACGTGCTTTTTCATTATTATAAATGCTACTCTATTTTTTAAATTAATTTCATGACTGCCTCGTTGTCCGAGTGGTCGCAAGTGCGACTGCCTAGCAAGGGGTCTCTGGTTCGATTCCCTGGACGGGCAAAGTATTACTGGCTTTTAAAAAAATTCTCAGTAGTAGCACGGAGTCTGGAATTGTGCCCGATATATGGCAATAGGCTCACCCCCTATTACATGGGACTCAGTGAAAAGTGGGTGTTACATTGTACAGTGGCATAATGTACACCTCTGCCTGGGGTAGGCAGAGGTGTACATTATGAACATTCGGGGATAAAAGGCGTGATGTTATGTAAATACTTGTATCCCGACAGATTCACACCAATCAACTTCTTCCTCCACAACTTGGCCCAGCTACGCGCGAGTGGCGATCAAAGCAATAATACTAGCGAACTGCTATCGTTCATGCCTCGCACGTATACGTAAGTAAATTGTTTCTGTATACTATTAAACTATTACAACAATAGATTTTAGACTTTATTACACAGAAAAAACAAGGCTAAAACCTCATTTTACTGTTAAAATTATGACGTTAGTGTTTTAAGTTTATCCAGTTCACTCAATAACTAATTTATTTTTTCCTGCACAGTATGGCACAAGAAGGTCGGCTAATAAGTGTGGAATGTCTCGGCTATGAGAAGCGTTATGACCCGGAAAAGCACTACGTGTACGCACTGCGCATCTTCAGACAGGGCCAGGCGACGCCATTCGTACTGTACAGGTCCTACAAACATTTCACAGAGCTATACCAGAAGATTTGTCTTCACTTCCCTCTTGCTAAAGTACACAGGTAAGCTAATTTTGTAAAAAAATTATCTTAATTCTTTTTCTTTTATTTTTAGGTTTTTATACCTTTGGGGCCGTCCATAAATTACATCGCGCGTTAAGGGGTAGGGAGGGGGTCGACGAAGTGTGACATTGTGTGACAAGGGGGAGGGGGGGATCCTAAACTTTGTGATGTCACATTTCAAAAAGTATTATAAAACATGATATAATTGTATTAATATTTTTTAAAGTCATTTAAATAGAAATAAAACTAATAATTTTTATACATACGTTATTCTGCAAAATGTGACGTCACACTAGTGTGGGGTCTCACATATGTGACTAGCTGTGACAAGGACGGGGGGAGGGGCAAACAATCATGAAATTCGTGTGACGTAATTTACGGATGACCCCGTTGTTGCTGCTTTGTCAAAATATCCTAAAATATACGCACCAAAAACAATACCCATCCTACAGTCGAGTAAAAAAAAACTATTTATGTGGTCTCCTAGGAAACGGGAGGTTGATTCTAACTTGGCTGACTTTTTATTTCTATGTTAGAGTTGGCACGTGCTAGCGCTGCGTAAATCGATAATTATATTGTACCAAACCAAAGTTTGGATTGAATTTGAAATTGTCATTATTTTTATGAGTCAGGCGTCAGGAAAATATGTTTAAACTACCCGCCCCGCGTTTCGTACGAGTGCAATATGCATGTATTATACATACAAACCTTCCTTAAGAATCACTTCCATCTATTCAAAAAACCGCATCGAAATAAAAAATAGGGACAGACGGCGGATAGTGACTTTGTTTTATACTATGTAGTGACTTATACATTTAACCAAACATTACTACACGTAGTTAAATATCAGCGGTTTAAACTAATACTTTACTTTTATCTAGATATCATTTACCTTCGTACTTTACCTTCGAACACGTTAACAAGCGCATCGCATTACCTAATTGCTGTCCCTAAGAATTCTTGTTACATAAATCATTAAAGATTAGATTAAACAACAAATTATCAGTAAAATCCTCGTATATACATTCAAAACAAAACTTTGAAATGGTTTGGTTTGTACGAAACATTTATTTTGTTGTATGATATCATTATTTTAAAGGACAATCGATAAATTTGACTCATAACCCAATTTGAAATTTAAACGCTAAAATAACTGAGGGTATATTGGTTGGTGTTGTTAAGGAAATGTATTTTTAAGCAAATGTCGACCTTATTGTATTGAAATATCTGTAGTAAGTTCGACTGGGTTAATATTTAAATGTGTATTGTACAATTTCGGTAGCTAATAGCTAGATCCTTTTGGAATTTATTTTTATATTTGAGTCATACTATCAGGTGTAGATAAGGTAAATTTTTGTTTGTAATCTTTATGAGTGTTTAGTATTATTTAAAGTATTTAAGTTCATTGGGTCGAAGGTTTGTTATTATAAATAGTAGGGCAGTATAATGGGTTTTTCCTGTTTTGATATAGGAGAATATCTCTTATTTATGTCGATGCGGTGTTTGGCAATGTGATTAGAAACAAACAAGATATAGTTTATACAATACAAAAGACGTAATTTACTATGAAAATATAAATTTATTTCTTAAATAGAAAAACAACGAACATATCAACGCTTAGTAACTAGAATATACAAAATATTAACAAAACTCAGTTTATATTGTGTCAGGCTTCACTATTGTCTTTACTTTCATCACCGACCTTATAGTTTAAGTCCATTACTGTTTGTTTGGCAGAAGATTTCGCAGCTGCTGTAGCTGCTGCAGCGGCTGCAGCCCTGTTCATGTTCTCTCTATGCTTTGATATCATATCCCAACTATCCTCTTCATCTGGCTTCGTGTAAGTGACGTTGCCGGTCGCATCTTTTTCTCCTTCTGGTCTTGAAGCAGAATAAGGAGGGGGCCCACTGCTCTTACTGATAGAACTTTCTAGAGTATTTGTTGAGTGTGTCATTTGTGCTGGTTGTGCATTCGATGTGCTCGGTTGTGGTTGTTGTCGTAGTTGCGCGACAGGGTTCGCTCCGGGCGGTAATAATGCTTGCGCTTGACGCTGTCGTACTGGCGCAACAGGATTCCCTCCAGGAGGTAATGGCGGTGGCGGCGCCTTACCCTTTTTGCTCTGCTTCTCCATCTCTTTCCTTAACTTCTCCTGTCTTGCTTGCTCTTTCATCGCCAACTTATCTCTCTTTTTCTGCTCCGCTGCTCTCTGTTTCTCCAATTTCTTCTGTTCTTCTATCCGCTGTTTCTCTAGCTTCTTTTGTTCTTCAAGTCTCTGTTTATCTACTCTTATTTGTGCGTCTAGTTTTCTTTCTTTACTTTTGTCTGGGATTCTATTGTTGCGAGGGTCTTGTTCTGCTCCTCGTGGGTCCTTGGATACTCCTGGGTTCTCTGGTCTTAAGTTTGGTGGGAGGTTTTTGTCAAGGATCAGGTTGCTTGTGCTTTTCGCTTGTCTCATTGGTCGAACTGGGGGTGCGGCCGCGGGCGGCGGTTGGTTGTATAGCGCTGGTGTTGATTTCCGCATCTCTGGGTAGTTGTAGCCTGAAAAATGGTTATGCTTATGTAGTGTCTTGTTATTTTATTGTCTTTATAGGGGTTTGAATTATCAAATCTAATGAAATCAGTAGACAAGTTGAAATAATTATATGCGGTGATAGATATAGCTAAAATCACTAACAAAAACGTTAATTAGTTTGTCTTGTAATGATTTAAAAATACTTACCGAAGGAGTCATCTCTATTGGTTCTGTAGGCACCAGTAACGGAGAGCACGGCGCCAATCTCAGCTCGTTCTTTCTTCGATTTCCGTCTACTGCCATTATAGAAGTTAAGCGAAGCTTTGAACCCAAACATTGTTTACTGTGTCAACTGAAACAGTTTAAAAATGATTTTAATATTTTTTTAATAATTATCACTCACAGGAAAAATATTCACAACACAATATTCAGTACCATAAATGATTTATAACGTCTATACCTTAAAAAAACAAGGAAAAAAATAAAAAAATACTTACGCTGTCACTAATAATTGTCATATAATTAGAAAAAAAAATAACAAAAGAAATTCAAATGCAAATAAACAGTGTAGGTGTTGACAACACTCGTTCAGCCATTACTGCTTAAATCAATACGGCTGTGTTACAGATAAGATAACGTGGGAGCCTCGACTAATGACTGTAATCTTATCAATGTGAAATAATTCTGTATAATCGAGTGGCCGGATATTTGAAATATATGGCGCCGATGGTACGAGTTTCGCGAACTGCTTTGATGCCTTCGCTTCAGAAAGAACCATCCAATTCACTCGTGCCTTCGATTGGAACTGTAAAATCGTGTGTGCTAGGTCATGGTTTAATTTGATTTTAATTCTCATAAATATCAGGCTGTTCCTGGGTTAAACAAAAACGTAATTAAAAATAAATACATCATGTTTGTGGAGAAAGGTTCTAAAAAAGGATTTGAATTTAACCGCTCCTTTATTGAAAGGAGAACAATGTTGTGTAGCGAGTTATGTTAAGACATTAGACAAAATTTAAAATATCACACTATCATTTATATATTTGTAAAATGGAAAACCCTTTTTCCTGTACCCGATGACTCAGTGACATAAGTGAACGTGCATAAACGTAGACTTCGGAGTTCGATACACGATAGTCACGTTTTAAAAAGGAAAAGATGTCCGCCACACAAACGGTCACACGCTCCTTATCAATACTGACTAATTTACATTTATTTATTACAAGATTATCAAGGGATTAATTTTTCATCACAAACGATAATAATAATTGATAATATAATTTACACGTTTCCATGAAACTAAATTGTTGATTGTAAATACTTAAATTGATTTTTGTAATGAAATTCTTAGTATGCTTGGTGTATTGCAAAAAGCATCACCTGACTGATAACACTAAAGGGCAAAACGTGAGTGTTATTTTTAATTTGGGCATATCTGTGTCTATTCTTTAAGGACAGAAAATGTTATGTTTTTGAATGAAAACCGTACTGCTATACTAAGGCCAGATCGGAGTCGCGGAGAACCTAACGGGTAACCGGGGCTCCAGCTCGACGTGCAGGAGAAGGAACGGGGTGGTTTTTAGTCAGTAAGAGTCTGACACTCCCTCCCGCCTCACCCACGCGGGAGCAGTCATTCGATGAGTCCCCCCATAAATAAATAAGACTAAGGCCAGATATTCCCTAATGGACACGTTTAGACGACAAGAAATAAGCCTATTTTAATGTGTACAATTTCTTTAATAGATTTTCAACCCTACAGTAGGGTTGTCGTCGTTGTTGTTGTTAATATCAAAGTAAATTTTTTTGAAGAGTTCAATTCATAATCTGTAGGTTAGGTGCATTACTTTTAGAGCGTTTATTGTCGAATCGAAGGTATCTTGTTATATTTTAATGTTAATCTTGTCAAAATATAAACTAGGTTTTCAGTTCACGGTTTCTTTAAGTGTGACATGTCAAAACAAAAAGAAATTTCTTATCTATATTTAGTTTAGAATGTCTGCCTCATCGTTCGCTTGATAAAATTGACGTGTAAAAGTGCTGCCTTGTAGCCTATTTGCAGAAATAAAAACTCTTGTTTCACTTAAAATAATCTTGATGATAAATATGCAAGTTGTTCGAAAGAAACATTTCGTATTTAATATTTTTATGTGAAATGAAATAAAATGAAAAGAGTTTTATTCGGCATACGGCATGAATGCTAGCAACAAAAAATAACAATACAATACAATTTGATAAAATAACAATATAAAAGTTTAACAGAAGAGAGTGAGAATAGAAAGATAAAAGCTAAATTATAAAACTAGAAGAGTCAGGCTTGGTCTTCTGCCAATGAGAATATACACGTCCTGTAACAGAGACGTTCATGGAGGTGTGCTCCATGACGGAAGATATAATATGGAACATCCATTTTTCGGCACTTATATTAAAGCCTAATGTTATAGTGGCGAGCCTATTACCATACATTGGGTACTCCATTTGATTTAAAAAAACCATTAGATACTACTGCTAATAAAATAAAATTACTGTCTAGCTCACGCACTATTTTTAAAGAGATAAATATATTTTATGAGTATAATTTATTAACTTTTATTCCAGTTTACCATCCGGCCTATACGTTGGTCGTTCGAACACCCGTCAGGTAGCAGAGCGTCGGTTTGGTGACGTGCAAGCGTTCTTGACGTCATTGTTCAGTTTAGCGGACGAGATCGCTCACTCCGATCTGGTGTACACGTTCTTCCATCCGCTGCTGAGAGACCAGCAGGACGTCGAGCCACAGAGGAGGAGAGGTCAGTAACCTTACAATTTTTGGTTTTATTTTTTAATATTAGTCGACGCTAAGTCTAAGGTAAATCACGAAGATTTGCCTAAATTGAGACTCAATCTAATTTTCTTTGTTGTGAAAGTATGGTCATTGGGCCTGTTTTACAGAGTTACAGACTGACAATATATTTCTAGCGAAAGTTGTTGATTGATTAACTTTCGGTTTTACTATTTACTGCCAGTTAGTATAGATGTTTGCTACACGGTTTAAAAATGATAATTACATAAAAGAGAACAAATTATATCAAACTATTAACGCTTTTCCTTGCACAAGTAATCAAAACAGATACAACTTTATGCCTATAACGTTTCTAATCCCCTTAAAATACTTTATCTATTTAGTGTTTAACCGAGACACAAAAATATCGGTAAAACCTTACTCCCAAGTCATAAGCAATGTATAATGAACCTAATGCCATACATATTACGGTTTACAGGTGAAACGGCGGAACCAGAGAACAGTGGCTCTGGTTCATTGAAGCTATCCGTGCAGTATGCAAGTGGAGTGCTCTCCGTTTTGATATTGCACGCACAGTCGCTCGCCTTGACTCCACAGGGCCTGCCGCCTAACCCCTATGTTAAGGTAATGTGGATTCTAGTAATATGGACTTTAGAGTTCAATTTATTTTTTGTAATAAGATATATTACGTCTTTTTTTCTCTGGTACAGGTGATAACCAGAAGAATGAACGTTCGCAGTTATATTTAATGTTGTTTATAAGAGATAATCCAAATACTCCAATAATAATACTGCACGGTTGGCGCGGTGGCTGGGCAACTGGCTGCCGCGCAACGTGTCGCGGGTTCGCTTCCCGCACGGAACAACTCATTGTGTGATCCACAGATTGTTGTTCCGGGTCTGGATGTCATGTGTATGTGAACTTTTATGTTATATAAACGCACCCACGACACAGGAGAAAATCCTAGGGTGGGGCAACGTGTTATTAAAAAAAAGAATATAATTTGAGAATTTTTCGAAACAGACAGTCTCAATGATACTGGTAGACTCTAGATTCAAAGTCGAGATTTCTTGTTCAACAGTTGTGGTGTGAGCTTGGGGTTAATGAGTTTATTTTGACCACCAATACGATGACATTATTTTGCGTAAGTGTCTCCTTAATAATACCTCTCTCTCTCTCTCTCTCCAGGTCTACCTCGTACCTGATCCAACAAAAGAAACGAAGAGAAAGACACGCGTTCTCAAACGTAACTCCCATCCATCGTTCATGGAGATGTTAGAATACAGACTACCAATGGAAGTGGTCGTCCAACGGAGCCTTCAAGCCACAGTGTGGAACTATGACTCGTTACAGGAAAACCAGTTCTTAGGCGGCGTTGTCATTCCGCTGAACACGTTGCCGCTCCGTCAAGAGACTGTAGCCTGGTATCCTTTAGAGTATATACCTCGGTAGCTAGTGCTTTCCCGCTCCGCACTTTGGAGCACTGAGCTTCCTTTGTCATAGGTCCATTGTGTCCATTCTGACATCCAATGGAGAATGTTAACGGTAAAGCCGGTATGATTAGTTTTGTCGTACGACCGAAACTTGCCGATATATATGCGTCCAAACTTTTGATGTCTTACTGCAAATTAACGTTGTATCATGACTTCATAATACAACGTCCCATATATTGTAGTTTTTGTGCAAAATAATCATCTTTCATTATATTTACTTCAATGCTATTCAAACATACAGATACGTTTCTAAAATTACGCCACAGTAACATTCTCCATTTGACCACTGTGAATGCAGCTACATGTGAATTCACCTTAATGCTAACTTCACGTCATTGTCTGTGGTTTAAGTTCTGTATTAAGTGTGACCCAATATTCTCAAATCATGAGCTCGTATATAAGCTTTATACTCCTAGATATAAGGTGTAAAATCAATTGGCGAGCTCGTGGTTTGAATTCTAAAATTATTCTGCGGAAAACATGCGGTATCTTGATAAAGTGATGTTCCTTCTTAATATAAGTTTCGTATCAAATGTAATAAGAAGTTTTTCTGCAATATTATTATTATGTATGTGATTTGATACGTACAGAGTAGGTATACTCGAAGTTAATAACGATTACTAATGTTTGTGTACGACACTGCCTTGGTCTACATCAAGAAGAAGGTTAATGGAAATAAGTATAATATTTATTTGTACATTAACTACCCTTACTCAGTCGTTTAATGATTACTTAACACAGTCCTTAGAACTTGGGTACTTTCCTTAATCATAAATAAATTATTTTGACTGTCCAATACAATAAAATATTTAAAAATGTTCATTAGTTGATCACACTTTCATTAATTGATTTTATGACTAACCTAATTATAACATTTTTCCAGCATATTTTTCAGAAATAACTATGCTGTTTGATGCTAAAAAAACGTGACGTCACCATACACAATCTCGTACAAAACTCATAGGAAACTGTCGTTCGAAAAAAGTAATGAATTTGACTAGTGAGCAATTGTTTTGCCCTTTCAGCTACTAAAAACTACCGCAAAGTTAAGTTGGACGGTTCATTAAACTGTCAAACACCGCGAGGACTCCGGTGGCCGCAACCTATTGTTCTTTAATTGTGTCTATAATGACGGTACTCAAAGGGTTAATTCTGCCGTCACCACTCGACACTGGCAGTATAGTCAACAACACCGTTTTGGACACTCGGTTGCCAAAGAAGAAAAATAAAGTACCCACTAGTTTTCGGAACAAAATCATTAATAATCTCTCGCGTGTTTCTCGTACACCCGGGTGTACGAGAGAGTTAAGTGCCAATCGCGCAATTGTACACACGGGTGTACGAGAAACGCGCACCGATTGGATATTTTTTCTGTGACGTATATTTTCGAGTTTGCAACCCGTTCTTTACTTGATTGAACAGAATAGTTAATTCGCTTTTCTATTAAAATATTTACTCGTGTGTACGAAAACGCGCGTTTACCCGTGTGTACGAGAGGCGCGCGAGAGGCTAAGGTATAGTTAAAGTAATTATTGAATGTATCTGGGTACGTCAGTAAATCTTTGTTATGCATTCTTGATTATTTCATAATGAACTCAAATTAAACTTTTTTAAATGTCAAGCTTTGCCATATCATTAAATCTTTCGCATAATTTGTCTCAAAACCACCATTTAGCTTACAGTATTGCATTTTATTAAACTTAAATATTATTCCACAGTATTTTGCGTGTCTGATACGGATTATGTAGTGGGTCTTTTGTAAATAAAAATGTACTTTATTAATATACATGTTAGTGCCAAAATGCCTTGTGATCGCAGCTTCGTAAGAGTAGGTATTGAATCTATGAAAGTTCTAGAAGTCTTGTTATTTTGTTAGAGAGAGAGGCAAATGCATTTATATAGTAGTGTCTCTTTTTTACAGAATAATGAGAAAATTTTAGTAAAATTGTGGAAGGATTAGCGTTTTAACTGCTTTTTGTATTGAAGAAAGATTAACTATTAATATCACAATATAAGGGCCTTCGATTTTCTATCAAGTATTTATTTTGAATTTGCGTAACTATTTTCGAAGTTATCCGAAGCTAGCATTCTTAATTCGAGCTTAATTAATATCGAAATAAATGAAATTGAACCTTTTTTGAACAGTATAGGGTTCAGTTTTAATTGTAAAGTCTACAAAAAGGCCTTAAAATTTTTTCGATACTTGTAAAATATATACAGACAATAAATAACTAGTCTGTCCAAATATTTAGCACATATCAATATAACGAGTATTATAATCGCGTATCATATAACTAAGATATATCACTGTGTTAGACAAAAGTGAGCCTTATCTTTGAATAGTACAGCTCAATTTGAGTATTTTATCTGTAACCACCTTTATGGAACTGATTCCCACGTAAGTGTATTATAGAGATGTATAAATTTCATATCTTTTAACTAAAAATTCTTTCTTGGGACCAGTACCCAATATAATAACTTATATTTAGGTCAAGATCGATGCGAAGTGTTTGTAACCACAAAGGACGAGTTTTTCGATTAACGAGACCGAAAAGAGACCGCGTTCCGCGCTCTGATTAGCTGTTTCATTAGAGCCGACCAATGAGAGCGCTTGACGCGGTCTCTCTTCTAACAAACAGACTAGTATTAACATCTTGTCTGTCGATATATGAGACACAATAGAAAACACATCATGTCTCGCGTTTTGACAGTTCACAGGTTAAACCATTACGTATGGGCGCAACAAATAGAACTTTTCTGTGTTTCTGTCCCTTTCATCGTCCCGCTTCCGTCCACAGCTGGGCATACTTCTACAACAGCTCGATCTTGAGCTCTTCGCATTAAACCACTGCCAGCCACCTTGCGGATACCGTCACTCCACCTTATTGGAGGACACCGTATATTACGTTTGCCTAGACGCGGTCATCACATCACACAGAATTCATTGCCAGAGTCTGTTATATCCTGAAGGGTTGGGTGTCTTCAAGGCCCGAGTGAATAGATTGCTTATCGACGACGTGCTCCATCGTAGATAGCGTCATCGCTTACGCAGGCGAGATAGTGGTCAAACGTTGGCCCATGAAATATAAAAAAAATATATATACGATAAACGTATGAGCATTAATCACCACGCTTACTCAATGCGGGTTGGTGATTTCAAACTTATAATTAGAAGTTATAAGCCCAGGTTTCCTCACGAAGTTTTCCTTCACAGTTTGTCAGTGGTGTCTAAATCTTACGACAAGCGGTCTCCACTCGCGAACATTGATACCTCAACAGTCATCGATTCTTTAATAAATCTATTATATCCTTTTATTGTGAGTAAATAGAATGAGAAGGACGGCGTGAGTATGACTACTTACGATAGAATTAGTAAGACGTAGTTCTTCCCTTATGGTTGGTTTAAAAACACGTCACAACAATCTTGGCCTATATAGTAATTCCTCTTTATATATCCATTTTGATACATAATACATTTTTACTCCATTTTTATATAATATCGTATAATAATTAGTTTTTATATAAGGTACCTGTTTAAAATTGCACATTGGCATCTATTGTTATAGTCACATTCCAATAAACATATTTTTAGAATTACTTTTAACGCTTTTACTATGTATAAGTTGCGTTTGGTGCTTGTGTGTTGCCTAAAATTTCTTAATTAACGGTTGGTTTATATCTGACGGGAAATGCGCCACACTTTATGTAACTAGACAATGTAACCGACGCATTAACGCAACATTAGTTAACTGAGCAAAGTTGAATATTATATTGTTTATACTATTTCTATCTATTCTGTCTTTATATTACACCAAAAAGTTCCCTATCTGTATCTATGTACTTATGTGCGGGATAACCTCAAAAACTACTAAACATATTTTTGTACAGTTTTCACTAATATATAGTGAGGTTCCTGAGGAAAGTTTAGGTGTATAATTCACTATGGTTTTGTTTGACTACGCTAGTTCTACATAAATATGATCTATGACGCATTTTCCCTTAGTTATATACCGACCCTAACGTTTAACAGCCTGTCTATGGTACATATACACGGCACAGATAATTTAGAAACATTATTTTTTATAGAATATTATTTAAAGATCTGAACGGAGTGTTGGCCGTGTTCGTCCTTACTTTCGCTTGGTTTCAATGAAATATAACGCTTTACTATTCGTATATCTGTGTTATTTGATTGTTATTAATTACAGGGTGTTATAGAATAAACACTTAACCTTAAAGGTGTTGGTTCTCGCTAAGGAATAGGGCAGTGTTTATACTCTTGAAACAACTTATGCGATGAGCAAATCAAATTTTATAAACAACTAATTTTCTTTATTTTCAAAAGTATTCCTCTATGAATTGAACCAGTATCCGTAAGGTTTGTCGTTTATTCTACAACGCTTTGTATAATAGGTTATTTTAATAGATTAACTATTTATTGGAAAAAAATAAAATGTAATAACGACCGATGTATTTAAGATATATTTTTACAATACTACTGATAATGATATTATTTTTTATTCACATTTGTTTGCGCAAATATCGTTTTCGGGCGATTTTTTTGAGAATGAAGTTTTGAAATCAGCCAGTAAGTAAGGTAATCAATTAAATGTAATACACGAATTTCGTAGTAGTGTTTTTATATCATAATATTTAGTATTGATGGCTTCCATGTTGCAGTTGCAACGGTATTCGACGGAACTAAGCGTAATGTACATACCTGCGTAGATAGTTTTTGTACCGAAGCTCTGTCGGCCTAACTGGGACATAATAACTAGTTGTTGTTAATGATATTGTGATGAAATTTACAATAAAATTGCTCTTGTATTATTTTATTGGTTTTATTATATTTCACCCAAAAATATACCTTACATCTTGTAGAATAAAGGTCACAATCATTCATCAGACCACTCTTAGTTCTTAACAACTGTTCATTTATACACAAAACAATATTTATTTATTGAACAACTATGAATAACGAATAAAATGAATAAAAAATAACCTTACAATCCTCACATAAAAATGTACCTTAATTATTGTACAATAAAGATCAAACGATTTACACTTTGATTTTATTCTAGTGAAACTTCTAAATGTAGTGAGATTCAAAGGTAATTTTTAGTGCGTCCTTGCAGATTTATTACAAAGTTATTACCTATATATGATTTTGACATATTCCAATCATGCGCACGCATCGCATGCTATCTATAAAATTCAGGTACTAAAATGGTGGGCGATTTCGACTTTATAATCGATATAAATACACATAAATACAATATTTTTTATCAATACCGTATCGTAATATAATTATTAAAGACAGTGGTTTTTGGCTACCCATAATTTCCTTCGATCAGACGTGATTTACACACGACGTGATGAACACAAGATGAGTTTCGTCCAGTACGTACCTACATCGCTAAAAAAGAAGTGCGAATATCTAATCAAATTGACAGACAGACCAGTGGCGTAGGTAGCGTATCTTGGCGGGGCCCCGTATAAAAAATTGTTTGGGGGCCCTTATGAAAGGTAAAAATATCTCAGAAGATATTTTTTTACATAAAATTATTTGACAGTGATTAAGTACTTTCATTTTTCCAAAGTTTCTGCCATGGAATAGAGAAATCTATTCCAAAGTTTCTGCCAACCTTGAAACCCATGCATTTTGTGATTACTGAAATAAAATATAAATTGAAGTTTTTATATTTTTTCTTACACACTTTGGGGGCCCCATATAATTGATACGGCAGATACGGCGCTAGCTACGCCCCTGAGACAGACCTTACTTAGACATCATCCATATTGTACTCATAAGTCTAAATAAAAACAAATAAATTTTAAATTGTTATGTCTTCATCAGGTGCGGGGGTCATAAGATAGTCATTGACACCGTACTTCCTCTTCTTCAAGCCGTTCAACCCTAGATAATAAGGCGACTTAGCATTAGTCGGCAAATAGAACACTCCAGTCTTACTAAAGTTCGTATTTGGACCTAAAGCATTAGTCCTTAGAGTTCCTTCGTAACAGTTGCCATGTCTTGCGTCTGCGACTGAGTCGCATTGCACTGCGATGAATTTGTCCGGGTTGCTGTAGGATAGGTACCAGTAGAATACTGATCGAATGTGACTGCATAGCTGAAAGCACGGCATTATGAAATCCCCCTTTAAGTATGGTTGGTATTCACCTGAAATTAAATGGTTCTATTATAGGTACATAGATAGTTTAAAATTAACTATAAAAAACTTTATCTACGGCGGTTAGTAAATATTAGGTATGTGGTTACGTGTTTGGACATTCACAAAATTCACTGAGTAAAAAAATAGACTTTGACAATTTTTTTTTTATTTGAAAATTTTCATGCACCCAAATTTAATGCCGCAGGCATTGTCTACCAGTCTGAACGTTGGGTGACGCAGCGAAAGCAATCAGCAGGTGCAAAGAGACAAATCATCGTATGTTTAAACTACAAAAGTTTTTTTCCTTCGTTACATAACATACCTTACATAACATACCATCACGCATTTTATCCTCGAAGGGGTAGTCAAAGGTGCACATTATAGGACTTAATGCTACTGTACATATAACAACCACTTTCACTATTTATGTCATGAGTCCCATGTAATAGGGGGTGAACCTATTGCCATATAGTGGGTGGGCACAATTTCAGACTAGGTACATGCTACTACTGAGATTTTTTTAAAAACTAACCTATATATAGTCGGTTAAATAAGTTCTAAAATTACTTGCCTCCATTAGCATAAAAGTCAACATGTCCTAGTCGGTCGGGTATGCCAAACCCGTCGATGTTTGTATGCAGGACGTCGACTCTGTCAGCTGCGCCAGCGTGCAGTCGGGACGTGGGCGGCACGTTGCGGAAGCAAGGACCGGCTGGGTCCAATCCTGGATAAACAGGTCGGTTTGATACTGGTTCTACTAGTTAAATACTATATATCTAGACAGGCTTTGTATACTGAAGATGAGATTTTATTGAGTATGCAATAAGTGCTACTTTAAATTCCAATTTTATTTAAAACGTTGCCACACTCTAGGATTTTCTCCTGTGTTGTGAGTGCGTTTACAAACATACAAATTCAGATACACATGATACCCAGACCCAGAATTACAATCTATGGATCACACAAAGAGTTGTTCCGTGCGGGAATAGAAACCCGCGACTCATTGCGCGGCAGCCATTTGCCCAACCACCGCGCCAACCGTGCAGTTAAAAAATTAAAATTTCAAAAAGTTTTATTTTCTCCTACCTTAATTTATGCCCGAATACTGAAACGTTACTCAATTTTAAGTCGCGCTTAAGTATAGTTCTATCTCTGCAAATTCTTAGTAAACGACAGAGATGACACGATATTTAAGCACGACTTAAAATTGAGTAACGTTTCAGTATTCCGGCACTAATGAACAAAGGTTACTTTGCATTTCTTTCATGTGTAACGTAGGTCTTCTATAGGTATCCTTTTTATTTATTACTAAGTATACAGGATGTAAACGGAACGCCGCGCTCCTAAAAACGCTGATAGGTGATCGTAAAAAACAAGTTTAATTTACATAAAAGTAAGGAATTAAATATTTTTTTTATGTAATAATAGTTGTAATCAACTGCTTAAGGCTGATGTTGAATGAATTACATAAAAACAAAAATGATTAAAATTGTAAAAACCATTTCTTTTTGTCACTGTTTCGGGAGCGTTCTTTTTGTAACTAGCAGCAGCTGTTTTTAACCCCGAAAAAAATTATATTCCCGAGGAAAAACAAAAGTATTGGTATAGATGACGCTGTGTGTATTAGTATATGTCACATAGGCTACTTTTTATTCTTTTGTGACGCGAGTGAAGCCGCGGGTAAAAGCTAGTTCCATATAATTTAGTTTTCTGTTCTACATGTAGACAAGCCCTAAATTGCATTTGGCTAAAGGCACTGTATAGAAACTAATAAAAGCTTTCTTTCCAGATACAAGTAAGATGAGATAAACCTGTAAGTCGAGCGGGTCGTCGGCCGGTCAGTAGTTTATAAGTGTCCGCTGCGTACGACGCGATGTGGGCGCCCAGGCTCCCTCCTACCAGCTCCAATTTCTTCGAAGACAGACCTCGAGAGGTCAGCGAGGCCAGGAACTCTCCTAGTAGGTTGCCCAGCGGCTTCGTGATGCGGGCAGCTCTATGGAAATGTGAAGAAGATAAGAAATTAAAAACTGAATATAAATTAGGACTATAGGATCGATAGGACGACCCGAGAATCTGCAGTCGCGTTAGGCATAGAAGAGGTCTCCCTTAGTTGATCAATTCCCAAGTGGTCATCAATGACCGCTCTCCACTAACTCTATTATAGACCTTATTTCCGATGTTTAGAGACTACTTTTGTAAGAATAAATTTTGAGGATTTATATCAGATGATTGTGTACGAGGCCTCTCTATGTCTGAATTTCGGCTACGAATTTTCGGTTGCGGCAAAACGTAGATTTGTATAATGACGACTACCTACTAAAACTACAAACATTTGACACCAATTTGGTGATACATGATACCATGATGGGGTGTAAAAAACACACTTTTTAAGTAGGTACCGGCTGCATTAAACCAATGGATTCTCATCAAAACTGTCATTTAAAAATTATTTTCTGTGGCTGCCTTTAAATATACATATCCATCTCAATACAAGTCTCGGGTGCGTCGAGACAGCAAATCACGTGTTTCCTTTGGCGTGTATAAACGGAGATAAAAAATGGTGCGTTCCACCGGGAGATACCACATATGTTTACTTGTATTGAGTAAAGAATTGTTCCCATAGTGAGCGAGTAGTTTTATGTCGGAATACTCAAACGCTAATCAAATTTAAGTCGCGCTCAAGTATAGTTCTGTCTCTACAAATTCTTTGTATAATGACAGAGATGGCACGACTTAAAATTGAGTAACGTTTCAGTATTCCGGCATTAGTAATACTGTCACTGTACAATTTATATTGTCACTAGTTGACCCGTCAAACTTCGTACCGCTTAAAACTGGTTTAAAAAAAAGTAACGAATGGAGTTTCTCGCTCGTTCTTCTCCATTCGAATATACATTTTGGAATGAGCACCTAGCTTTACCTTGCTTCACTGACGAACTGACTGACAGACTATTATTTATTTTGTATTTGTTGACGTTTCAAAAGACTCAAATTATGGTTTAATTGAAATAAATGCTTTGACTTTTGACCTTTGATTCAGTTTTTAAACCTTCCCTGGACTTCCACGAACATTTGAAGCCAAATCGGTTCAGCCGTTCTCGAGTTTTGGCGAGACTAACGAACGGAAATTTATTTTTATTTAAGTATATAGATAATCAGCTCGGTGACAGGAGCTTGACGAAGAAAAGTAAGTCTTAGTATAGGAATAGAAAAAAACTAAGGTAAACTTTGTTGGCCATATTTTTTAAAACACAAATAGGTACATAGCCATGACTCTCCATTATGCAATAAATATTGTTGGGAGTTATTGCTTGTCGACTTTATTGTACTGCTGTATAATTTATAATTTAATTCAGTACCTAAAGATCTAAAGTTTGCGCGCGAATGTAGTGGATGGCTAGTCGCCATTCGCTCACACTATAGCATTGCTTTACTGTCAGCTCATTAAGAACGCATGGGAATATAAATGTTATATTTATAAATTAGAAACTTAACCACAGCATCAAGTGTGCAGGAAATTATGCATGTTTATATTTATATGATTTATCAGTAGCCACATAGGTACAGGTTTTGTCATAATTATCTTAATTGGATTATTTATTTCCTTGAAGAGTACGGTGAAATAGGGTTGTAGCCTTATAAAGGTCGAGTATTAATTCCATGTGCATACTGTTACAAGCTCACCACAACCTCCCAAAACCGCTGCAACTCCTGTAAGCCAGGATCTACAGTAGATACAACCATGAAAACACCGGAACACTGAAGTCCGGCGCGTCCCAGGGACATGAGTAACTGTCTTTGTTCGCGCAACGAAGTGAATCAGAAGATATTATAAGAGGAGAAGAAGAAAAAACTATAGTTTCCACTTCCCTCGGTGAATTACTGCAGGAGACAGAATGAATTAAGCCTAAAGGCACAAAGAAGAGACTGTAGAACTGGGTGAAGCCCAGTCGCCAAGCACCAGGTAACGCACTTGTAACACCTCTGGTGTTTCGGGTGTCCGTGGGCGCCGCCGATTGCTAACCATCAGATGATCCGTCTGCTCACTTACCAGCTTAACCCATAATAAATTGGACAAATGTGATTTATAAAAATAAATGCTTAGAATTTAAAATTTATCTTAATCAGTACAGACGGAAAGACTGTGCCGAGTAAGTAGGATAAAAAGTCTCATAAAACAGGTTTCACATTCTGAAAATCAGCCTCCAACCTGTTTGTAGATTAATTACGTGTTCTGCTCGCTCCATTTATGGTGTGGTCCTTAATGAAATCGCAGTTGCATAACACTGCATTTGTTCCACGATGCTGACTAATTGGCAGCTTACAGTTTAGGTACTAAATGTGGTGTTTTCCTTGTATCTTTGATTAAATGGTCAATAATGACAGTGCGACAGTGTGATGTTAAACCTAGTGAGTGCCCAGGCAAGCACCTAATTTATTTTGGCACCGCCGCACCGCCACTCGTTAGGCCGTGTGCACACGCGTCGCGCGGCGCCTTTCTGTAACGGCTTTAGTACGAATTTGGTTTACGATTAAAGTAATTGGCGAGTCTGATTGGTTGGTTCATTGCCGTTCATAGCCGGCCAATCAGAGGCCTTAGTACGAGTTTTTTTTACGTTAAAAGTAAACGTTCGGCGCTCTGATTGGCCGGCTCCAATGAACCAACCAATCAGAGCGCCGAATGCAGTCGCGTTTCTGTTAGGTACTTTTATCGTAAAACAAAATTGTACTAAGACCTCTGAGTGCCAAACACGAACAACTATCGCATTCGTAACGTAATAGTAAGTATCAAGCGCGTTCGGCGCTCTGACTGGCCGGCTTCAGTAAACCAGTGAAACAGTACTTGCCACTCTGGCGTTCTTGCCTAGTTGCATAACATCACGCCTTTTATCCCCGAAGGGGTAGGCAGAGGTGCACATTATGCCACTGTACAATGTAACAACCACTTTTCACTATTTATGTTATGAGTCCCATGTAATAGGGGGTGAGCCTATTGCCATATACCGGACACAAATCCAGACTTCGTGCTACTACTGAGAATTTATAAAAACCCAGTAGTACTTTGCGCGACCCGGGAATCGAACCCGAGACCCCTTGCCCGGCAGTCGCACTTGCACACCACTTTGCCAACGAGGCAGTCATTTATGACCTACTACTCGAGGTATATAAGGGAAATAATATTAGTCAGTTACTCACATAGGATAAGATCTCACTAGAATGGGGAATATCTCCAGGACGATGACGTTTCGTCCTAGGCCGAGGTACATTGCCAGTAAGGTGCGCACCACTGGAGAGAACGTACTGTCCATGTATCCGCTGATCATCACCTGCAAAAGTCGAAGTCAAAGAAAAATTAAATTAGACCAATATAACTTTTAAATGTATGTAATGTATGCACATTACGACTCTTAATGCCACTGTACAATGTAACACCCAGTTTTCTCTACCTCTATTTATGTTATGAGTCCAGGGTGAGCCTATTACCATATACCGGGCACAATTATTCCAGACTCCGTGCTACTACTGTGAGATTTTTTTAAAAGCCAGTAACTCTATGCGCGCCCCGAGAATCGAATCCGAGACCCCTGCAGTCGCACTTGCGACCACTCGGCCGACGAGTCATAATGAATGGAAGTATAATGTGTAAATGTTATTTGGGAAGGGCAGAACTTCCTTTACGTGTATTTCGTCATTGTATTTGTCAATAACATATTTCACATTTTGTTTGTTTGATCAGAATCAGCAAATATTTGGCCGGATACCAAAGTGTTTTCTTGTTTTGAAGTTTGTTTTTTGTTTAAACTGTCAAACACCGCGAGGACACCGGTGACCGCAACCTATTGTTCTTTAATCTACTATATAAAAATAAGTCGGGTTTTCCTTCCTGACGCTATAACTCCAAAACGCACGGACCGATTTCCACGGTTTTGCATTCGTTGGAAAGGTCTCGGGTTCCGTGAAGTTTATAGCAAGAAATGTTACATAAAACGAAACCATCTGGTGGCGAAACGGAGTTCGCCGGGTTTGCTAGTTGTGTCTATAATGACGGTACTCAAAGGAAAGTGGTAACTTGTAAGTGAATTTACATACTTGGAATAGAATGGATATGAACATTTGTATCTTTAACAATATAGGTAGTAGGTACCTACATACAAAAACACAAATGTTTCCTCTTTATAACATTAGCATAGAAGTACCTATAGATCAATAACAGGTGAAGCCGGCTCAAACCAGCATTGAACTCGGTAACACTAACGGAATTATGTAATTTACTATAAACTAGAGCCTTGATCGTCAATGAGTATTGCCTATTAGTTAGTCTAACTGAATAGTGTCACGGCCGCGGTCTGAGATTGCCTATTGATTTCGATTTTGTTGTAGGCAATTTGATATCAAAGCCGTATTACCTAGGTCATAAGTACGTACTTAAGACTGGCCTGCACTTAAGTAGGTAGGTAAGGTTGATTGAAGTGCTACCTTGTGATTTGGAATCGACTTCAAAAAAGGAGATTATTCTATCTTCTATTCTTCGGATCTTTTTCGATATATGAAATCTAATCTAGTGGCTGCTAAGCTAGAAGCAACGATCTTACATGTGGTCGTTGGCTAGAAGTCTCAGGATGAATTTCCAGATTTAATACTATTATGGTGGTTTCCGAATATGTCAGTATCAGCATAGAGTATTGTGTTCGGTGTATAGTAATCGACTTATCCCATGTTTAGAATGAACTTGTTGCATAGCTAACGAAAAATTGATTTAACTTGTAAGATATATTTATTTTTTTTGATGAGGGAAAATTATCAGACTCTTGCTGACTACAAACCATCCTGTCCCAACTCCTGCTTTGAGCCGTCACCCCAATAATCCTGGCTGTCTGCAACCTCAGTTAGGCGTAATATTGTTATGTATCCCATCCTCATTTTTGGGGGCTTAGGGGATGGAATTATTTACCAATGTCTTCCTCTTCTTGAGATCGTTTATCGGTATATGTTTAGCTGCACAGGCGGCTCCCTCGGCACTCAGGCTACATCGTGTCTCCCTGTGACCCAGAAAGCCACTAGATGGGTACACCACTATCACGGTCAGGGATTTCTTCGTCTTCTCTGATAGGAGAGTCGATTTGTTCATCCCTGGACCTGAAGTCATTACAAGTTATAAAAAATCCTATTTCCATAAAATTTACCTTCAATAAGTGGGACCTAAACTAGCAAGTTCAAAATTTAACTTGTTAGTTCAGGTCCCACTTGATGAAGGACAATTTTTCGTGTGAGTGAGGTTACCGGAGGCCCAATTACCCTCCCCTTCCCCAATCTCCCCAATCTCTTAATCCCCATCGATCCTCAAACTCCTAATCCCCAAAAAGCCGGTAACCCACTTGTAACGCCTCTGGTGTTCCAGGTGTCCATGGGCGACGCCGCTTGCTGACCATCAGGTAATCCCTCTGCTAGTTTACTGGCTTATGCCATAAAACAAAATAAAATAAATAAATAAATAAATATTTGAGCTACAGCTCTGTCGACTCCCTTTTTGTGACGGTTTTGTGCTTTTACGAAGATAACACACCTATTGAAAAACGGACCGAGAAAAGCAAATGTCGCTTAAAAAATGTGCTGTATGAATAAAGTACAATTTTATCCTTATTCTAATAAAGTATCATGGATAATTCTAAGCACTAAAACGTGATACAATATTTCTTAACTTTAAGACCACTTTTATGAAAAAACACTTTTTTAACAGGGAAAAATCATTGAATGACTTCTCCCGCTTCGGTGAGGCGGGAGGGAGTTTCAGACCCTTACTGACTGCAAGCCGGAGCTCCGGTAACCCGTTAGGTTCTCTCACATGAACTAACACCTTACTTAATATCGCAAAAAAAAATAATGAAATCTCACAATCTGCCATCAACCCAGCTGGTTGTCCAGTATCCTCAGCCAGAACCAACGAGCACAGATACAGCAAAACGACCACATTCATGACCACAGATAAGTTACAACTAAAACATAATAAACTCTAACGCGTGTGATATACAACTAAATGACCGTCGAACTAACGTCTCAAGTATTTCGTTTCCTCTGCTAAGGCCAAAATGATAGTCGTGCATATAATTGACCTGCGAACTAAAAGGAGTAGCGGTAATCATGTGCTAAAATGTATGTGCATACTAGTATTATACCGTGAATCTTATTATATTGATGAATATAGTATCTCATCTTTTGTTTTTTTTCGCGCGGTTTCTCCCGCTTTGCTCTTATTGTTCATAGCGAGATGTTTTACAGCCTTCTACTACCCAAAACAACAAAAAGAATCAAATTGAACCAGTATTTTCAGATATTTTCAGATATTTTCAGATATTAGCGCGTTTAAGGAAACCGACAAACTCTTCAGCATTATAGAATAAGATAGGTTGGGAAGAGGTCACTCAATTTTGGTCACCACTAAATAATATTTTCGGAGGCTAAATCCTTCTGCCCTGAAGGCTGGCAACGCAATTGTAACTCCTCTTGATGTTATTTGTTGTTGGTGTTCAAAGGGTGACGCTAATTGCTTACCATCAACTCGTAGTTTTATATGTATTGGTTTATCCCCATCACAAAAAAAATGTAATCTATATAATATAAAAGAAAGTCATGTTAGTTACACCACTTATAACTCAAGAATGGCATTATAGATTTGGCTGAAAATTGGTAAGGAGGTAGCTTAGAGCCAGGAGACCGACATAGGATAATTTTTAACCAATTTTTTTTTTACTTTTTACCGAAAATCACGAACGGGGACGGGAAAAAATGGGATTACGCGTACGAAGTCGCGGGCAGAAGCTAGTTTACTATATTACTAATATTATATCTACCTAAATGCGAAAGTAAGTAATGTATGTTTGTTACTCAATCGTGTCGTAATGGCTAAAAGGATCGGGATGCAATTTGGAGCAGGGTTTTTTTTTTAAGGGGGGAAAATCATCGAATGACTGCTCCCGCCTGGGTGAGGCGGAAGGGAGTGTCAGACTCTTACTGACTAAAAACCACCCCGTTCCTTCTCCTGCACGTCGAGCCGGAGCCCCGGTTACCCGTTAGGTTCTCCGCGACTTGGAGCAGGGGTAGAATATTCTTTTAGAATATATAACAAATAGAGTTACTTTTTATCCCATGAAAACGCGGGCAAGAAGTTATGATTATCATCATCTATCTCTTAGTTAAAATTCATGAAATACGGATCAGTGATGTGGACACTCAAGCGTGACAAACAAACACGCTGACATATTTGTAACGTTTGTTATTGTTAGTGGATGAGGATAATTGCTTTTAATATACATAGTGCGTTTTATGATGTTGTTAAGATTTTTAGTTTGTTGATTATTGTTGTTAATGTTACATTATTGTTATTTGCTTGCCTCGGTTAATTTTTCAATGAATGTGCGTTGTATAGGTGTATGTCCACTTCATGCCTTCGAGGGTTGCCAAAATGTCGTTTCGTGCAAATTAAAAAAAAACATAACATAACATCACGCCTTTTATCCCCGATGGGGTAGGCAGAGGTGCACACAGTAACACCCACTTTTCAATATTTATGTTATGAGTCCCATGTAAGGGGGTGAGCCTATTGCCATATATCGGGTACAATTCCAGACGCTACTACTGAGATTAAAAAAAACCCTGTAATACTTTGCCCGTCCCGGAAATAGAACCCGAGACCCCTTGTGTGGCAGTCGCACTTGCGACTACTCGGCTAACGAGGCAATTAAAAATTTAAAAAAATGTAGAGTTTATATTTGTGCGAAAATGTTCTGTAATATAATTTACGAGTTTTCAGTGTTACATAAATAAATGTTTTTCTAACTAAATAAAGATTTATTTAGACACAAATCACGTAAATTCTCATTTATTAGTTTTTAGGGCTTAGTACTTAGAATAGTAATGCCATTGACACTGTTTAGAACTTTAGATGCACTAGGCACTAGGCAGGCTTCTAAAAAGGAATTTCAACTGCCATATCAAGGAGACGTTTTCTTGACAGGCGAATTAGATCTAATCTAACCAGTTATTCAGTTAATAGCATGTTACAAGGATAACTGACAGGTTTTCTTACTTGACCGGTCTTGAAATGAACCAGTTGATCCTTGATCGGGCTTTGAAAAATATGATCTTTATTTGCTGGATTTTTTACTAACGTTTTTTACGCTTATTAAGGACTCACTAAAGGGCTTATGAATGAAATAATTATGTTTTTAAGGCCCTTACCTGGCGGTAAAAGAAGTGAGGAATTGGTTAATTTGGAAAAGCAGGTAAGCTCATTGACAGACACTTTGACTACGATTCCGAAAATGAATAAATCGATCGATACCTATTTAATTTTCGGCAGGCATACATTAGGCTACTCACTCGGTCACCGAGCTTTTTTTGGGACAAGCCCAAAACCGCTGCAACTCCTGTAAGCCAGGATCTTCAGTAGATACAACCATGAAAACACCGGAACACTGAAGTCCGGCGCGTCCCAGGGACATGAATAACTGTCTTGGTTCCCGCAACGAAGTGAATCAGAAGTCCAGAAGATATTATAAGAGGAGAAGAAAAAAAACTTACTCGGTCATCGAGCTAGTAAATGTATCTATTTCAAGCAAAGTTTTAACTTTCAAGATTATATTTAAACTTGGTAGGTCAAAACGTGAAGTTAAAAATGACACGGAGAACTAGATAATAAAGTTATCCAAGTCATTGTCATCCGAAATTTTACGTAAATAATTCTGTTTTATATTATACCTAACCTTAAAATTATGTACATTCTCAATTTTAATGATTGTGTATTTATGTCATTGACAACTAGTTTGTAAATAAATTATTATGTTTTCGGCTTACTCACGTAATTATTTGACGAGGAACTCGACTAGTTTCAGGCCATGCTAGAGGCTCATATTCATGAGTAGCATTTCACGAGCCCGCGACGCGGCGACTGTCGTGTTGCTACTCGTTTTTTTACTAAGCCGAAAACATAATAATTTATTTAGTATGTCTCACGATAGTTATAATACAACTAGTTTGTAAATATACAAACTTCATATTAACTATTGCCATCTTTTTTTTAATTCTTTGTATAGCGTAGGATCTGAGGTTTGATGAACTTACCAACGGCAAGTACCAATGTGACTTTTCCCGTGTTATATTTATCTACGTTCTAAGATTCTTTAGACGCAACTCACAAACGGTGAAGGAAAACATCGTGAGAAAACCTGGACTTATAATTTCTAATAAGTTGGAAATTGTCAACCTGTATTGAGCAACCGTGGTGATGGTGATTAATGTTCAGCATTAATCAAACTTCTCCAAGAAGAAGCATTTGGTCAACAGTGGCCACTTAAAGGCTGTTGATGGTGATGTTGATCTTCTTTCTTCCAAGTCGTTTTCTTCATTACTGAAGGTCGTGTCTATTCTGGTGCACGCGTCACTTGATGCACTACCCTCCTCCAAACACCCCTGTCCTCTGCGGTCTTTATGGCTTGTGGAACTGTCAGGCCGGTGAGGATTTTTACAGCATCAAACCACCGGGTAGGTGCGAGCGACCACGAGGACTTTTCCCGTAAACCAACAACCATAAGCTTCTCCAGATTTTTAAGGTCTCTACACGCAATTTAACACACATAGGCAGACCTACTTTTCACTATTTATGTTATAAGTCCCATGTAATAGGGTTTGAGCCTATTGCCATATACTGGGCACATTTCCAGACTCCTTGCTACTACTGAGATTTAAAAAAACCATTTCCAGCTTACCTAACAATAAAAAGCAAGCGTGATGTTATGTTGTATACCTGATTTTGAAAGCGTGAGCACATTTACGATAGTTGCATTATTAAGATTTATGACGCACTTGTATTGGCTATGAAAAATATAATTGGACGTTGAAGTTTTAATAGCTTAGTTATCTATCTGAAATTGGTTTTAGTATCCTGTCTATTTATGTATCAGTTGCTGTTAATGTATGAAATTAGTGGAATTACAATGATTTTGTAATTGTCTATTATTATTTTTATGTTCACAACTTTTTATTCGTTGATCATTTGCAAATCTCTACCTAATTATATTTGAGTCGATTTTTCGAACGCTACATAAATTTTAACTGAGGAATAACTTTGAATATTTGACAATTATTCCATACTAAAAACTGTTATAAAATGATAATTTTATTGTATAGTTAGGAATTAACTAATGATTGAGAAATCGGTCCTTATAAAGATTAAACTGTTTTATTGGTTCACTAACGAGTATGACTGTCGAGCAAAGGATTGGTTCTGATTTTGGGGTTGGGTAAAGGAGATACCTTGTTTAATTAAATTAAATTAATTTTTTAATTTAATTAAATTAATTTTTTAATTTAATTAAATTAATTTTTTAATTTAATTAAATTAATTTTTTAATTTAATTTAATTAATTTTTTAATTTAATTTATTTAACAACTTTGGAAGCCTAACAGCTAGCAAAATAAAAATTAAGAAATTGTGTGAGAGTCTGACAGCCAATGACAAGTCTTCACTTATAAAAAACAAACTTATACTATAAAAGAATTTGGTCGACACTGTAACACAGTACTCCCTACAAGTTGATCCGTCGACTGCCTCGTTGGCCGAGTGGTCGCAAGCGCGACTGCTGATCAAGGGGTCTGGGGTTCGATTCCCAGGTCGGGCAATGTATTACTGGGTTTTTAAAAATTCTCAGTGGTAGCACAGAGCTCGGAATTGTGCCCGGTATATGGCAATAGGCTCACCTCCCAATTACATGATACTCATAACATAAATAGTGAAAAGTGTGTGTGTTACATTGTACAGTGACATTAAGTGCCATAATGTGCACCTTTGCCTACTCCTTCGGGGACAAAAGGCGTTATGTTGTCTAATGTTACAAGTTGACCATTAAATCTTCAATAATTTACGGAGTACGGGATTGTTCTCAGTGTTTCAGTTTGTTGTCAGTGCACTTGAAATGTTATAATATAATTTCTGAAAGGTGAATGTACGATTCTTTAGTTACGCCTTTGTTTATCCCTCTCGATAATGACATAAACGACGTTATCAAAAGAACCTGAATAATTGAAACTTATCGCCTATTGTTCGGACAAAAGCTCTAAATAATAAACAAAAACACAAGGGAAATATGAATCGAGGAAACACACCTACCGTCGACCTAATAATGTCTATTATGATAAGTAATAAATTTCAGCTTATTCGTGCTCATTTTCTATCAAGTAGGCCAATCTATTTATTATTGTCTTTTATCTATATTACTTAAAGACAATGGCTTGTTTATTATTTACAAAAAAAGTAATTATTTCATCATACATTGCAACTTAAATGCGTATTTTTTATAGACAATTGAATTGTGATTTTGTTATGTATCTTATCAATTGGGTACTTTCCTTATTCAAAAATAAATTATTTCGACAGTTCAGTACAATAAATAAATAATAAAAAAAGAATCACACTTTCATAAAATCAAGTAGGTAATGACTTGATTTTATGACCAACTTAATTTTAGTATATTACCAGCAATTTTTTAAGAAATAATTATGCTGTTGGACGCTAAAAAAACGTGACGTCACAATACACAATCTCGTACAAAATTCATAGAACTCTGTCGTTTTTGACAGTTCGAAAAAAGTATTGAATTTATGACTAGTTGGCAAGTACCCAATTTAGTGACATTATACGCACTACGCAGTGCATACAATTATGTCTATTATTCTTTAAAGAGATAAGTAGAGGTATTTAAGTTATCACTCTCTTTTTGTTTATGTAAAGAACTTCACACATGTTTAGTGCCAGATATGTTATGAAATCTTTATTATTTCGATTTCTTTATTGCTATAGTAAATGTTATATGACTTGGGCGTTGAACCGCTACCCTTTGAAGATAGAAAATTGGCACTAGGAAAAAGGTGGATAGAATAAACAGGTTCTGGCAACAGATTGGTGCAATGGTGTCTTGCACCTTGTATTGCCCTTTATGTACCCTTCAATGACTAAGTCAAACATTAACTACCTATACATAACATCACAATAAAACGCCTTTTTACCCCCAAAGGGGCAGGCAGAGGTGCACATTTCGGCACTAAATGCCACTGTACAATGTAACACACACTTTTTACTATTTAGGTTATGAGTCCCATGTAATGTAACTACCTATAATAATATAGAAATCACAGTAAGGAACTTTAGACTTGGCACTTGACTTTGTCTAGATTTCATTACTTTTTAGAGATGAACAAGCGACTCCATCGAGACTTGTCTAGTATTTTATAGAATATTTTTGTTTAGATGAATATCTACAAGATTATTTAAATTTATTAACAATCTCTCAAGCCTTTATTAATAGTATCATAAACAACTACTTTACTTCTAGGTCCTTATATATTTTTGTAGGTACCTAAAATATGATAATTTCTGAAAAGCTAATGTACCAACAAAGTCAAAGTCAAAGCATTTATTTCAATGAAACCATAATTTGGTACTTTTGAAACGTCCACAACTACAAAATAAATAATAGTCTGTCAGTCAGTCCGTCAGTGAAGCTAGGTGCTCATTCCAAAATGTAGATTCGAATGGAGAAGAACGAGCAAGAAACTCCATTCGTTAGGTACTATTTAAAAAAAAGTATGTTCTACAATGTCTCTGATACATATTCCAATACTGTACGTATATGTGAGAACAATGCAAAGACACGCTTGACACATTATACTAATTACAAAACATACTAAAATAAAAAAAAAACAAAACAAAAAAAAATTATAACACTAGAATAACTAGTTTTAATGGAAGATGTCTCTAAGTTACGAAACGGAGGTCTAAAGTAAATAGAAAATGTGCAACGGAAATGAAGGGAATCATTCAGGTTTACTGACTACCTACCATGCAGGTTTTGTGTGGTTACAAGAATCGAAGGTCGGACCTGTTAATGAGATCCTTATTTGGCTGAGAGCACTGACCTTGGACTTTGGTCGTTGGTCCTGTAATTTTGGAAGGATTGGACCATGATAGTTATGTACAGAATTTCTTTACATTAATTATGAATTTAAATCAGTAGCTAGCTATTGGTAGTTTCAAAGCCTATAAAAATATTAGAAAGCGACCAACGTAGCTGCGTTGAATTCTAAATTTAATAGATAATAAATTTAGAATTATGTAATTAATTTAATAGCTAAAAATTTTAGAACTTACCGCTAGATGGCGTCCCAAGGCTTTCCTTTACTATTTATTTCATGGAAATCATAATAACTGCATTTACGTGCATCTATGCCTACACATCAGGGGGTTAAAAGGGGTGACAAGTCCGTTACCGTCCTTTTGGGGAATTTGAGGATCGTTGGAGATTAAGGGATTGGAGAGATTGGTAATCGGGCCTCCGGTAACCTGACTCACACGACAAAACACAAAGCAAGCGTTACTTCACGTCGGTTTTTTGTGAGGCCGTGGTATTACTCCGGTTGAACCGGTCCATTCATGCCGAAGCATGGCTCTCCCATACTTTGTCCTGATCGGTTTCGATCATTGTGGCAAATCAAACAGACTCGCCGACTACGTAGGATATAATAATGTGCACAAGTGTGTGAGTACTCTCTGAACCCAATGTGATGGCAGTTGACACGACCGGAGAGAGGTCAGGCGCCTTTCGTGCTTTCCGACGCAGGGGGGTGGAAACACCGCCAAACATCATGGCTCCGGGCAAATAATAGTCGTTTTACTCAGAGTATGTCATTATCTTATTATCACTTTTGGCCTAACGCGGGAATCGAATTCGCGACACGTTGCCCAGCAGTCAGTCACCCAGCCACTGCTCCAACCATCAAGCGCATTTTTGTAAGTATGTATGTATGTAATGTAATAACATATTAAGAATGTAAACACGTCATACAGCATGCTGAAATTTTATAACCGTCAGCTACAAAATGAGGAAAAGAACAAAGAGGTATGTACCTATACTTGTTGTCTACTTAGAAGAAAATATGTCTTTCTTTTACAAAGTAATTAAAAAATCGATCAAACCTACAATAATAAATAAAAAGCCTTTTATTTCTTGCTTTTCATAATACAATTTCAGTAACAGTGTGCATGAAAAATACATTAAAAAGAAATTAAAAAATAATGTGATATGTTTAGCAAATAATTTGGTTGTAATTGTAATATATTCAAATCCATTACATTTTTGAAATTTCATTGAAAAAAAAGAAAAATATAATAAGATTAACTAATTGTTAATAGATTTGAAATTAATGTTGTAATTGACATAATAATAATATTATTTAATTAAAACTTAGAAGAAAATATGTTTTTTCTTTACAAAGTAATTAAAAAATCGCTATTCTTTGTTAGATCAAACCTACAAGATAGAGATTGTATTAGTAAATAAATCAATAGATACAACTGTTAATAATAAAAACAAGCAACCAATGAGAAGGTTGCACAGCTGGCAGGTAAACGCACTGCCAGTAACTTGTCGCACTTTCATCCAATTGTTATGAACATATCCAGATCTCGTTGCAGAAAGCTTATTATAAAATTATATGCTCTTGTATGGAGACGCGACGCCGACGCCGCGCGCCTCAGTCACACACGATCGACAAAGCCGGTCAGACGCGCGCCACTTTAAAACGATCGTACTAAAAATGATAAACGATTTATAGTAAACAATTTCGACTACTTCTCTACTTGAAGAAGTCTTAAAGGACTGTGTTAAAAATGAATGATTCCGTGGGTGTTTCGAACGACACTTGGCAGTGGTACCGGGAAGTGATCAGATCATGGTTGGAGGACCCTGGTGTTCTGGTCTTCGAAGGGCTGAACATGACAGCCCTGAAGATGGATGAGGCATACATGGTGGGCTCGTCAGAGATCGACGTCGGAGTTTACAGCGTTTCCGATGATTGTTTTCGGGTAAGCAATATTATAAATAATGATATTTAATGAAACTTTTTTATTAGTGTGTCAAACACAAATATAGCTAATATGTAAATTACACAGCTGCTTGAAATATTATTAAGTCATAAAGATTTCCTTTTAAAACCAGCTATTGTATTCAAACCAGTGACTAACTTTGATTTATTTTTGCTGCTGTGGTTTTAAAACGAGTTCTGGTCTGGATTTTCCTGTATTGAAGTACTGACCGAAGCATTTATTTTGATTGTAGTTCGACATTCAATAAATAATATATAAACAAAGGATTTGAATTAAGGAAGTTTTATTAGTGTTATCGGAAGTTACTGGCCAGTATTGTAATTAGTGTTAACTTTTTAACCGCATAATGATGCGGATAAAAAATAATACAACAAACTATTCAAATGTGCAGCGAAAGATTCTTAAAAAAAAAACAAATATGTTGACCTAAATATATCTTTTTTTTATATTATTAATGAACAACTGTTTGTACATCTATGTATATCTATCTATACATACATATAATAACTGTAGAAATTTAAATTAATGTAAAATTAATAATATTAAAATATAACAAATAGTGAACACTAAATTTTTTTATATGTCTATCTGTTTGTCTGTATGTTCACGCATCACGCAAAAACTGCCAGTCCGGTTGCGATGAAACTGGGTATAGTTAATTATACTTTAATATGCTGGTCATTATTATACTGGGTACTTTTTATCCCGAAAAAGCATATACACTAAAGAAACATAATTGTGCGGCTAGATCTCAAACTCCTAATCCCCAAAAGGCCGGTAACGCACTTGTCACGCCTCTGGTGTTCCAGGTGTCCATGGGCGACACCATCAGGTGATCCGTCTCCTCGTTTACCGGCTAACGCCATAAAAAAATCTTTCAAGTATTTTTTTTTCATACACAAACAAAGGAGATGAATAATTTTCTTTTTTAGATTTATTGTGGTCTTGAGATATCTTTATCTAATCCGAATCTAATGTTATGCGCAATACGTACTATTAAAATAAATATATCTAAGTCACTGTCTATATCTAACCATGTCAAGAATGCGTTAACAACAATGTGCATCAAAGCTATTGTCTACTACATTTTACGCCATTTTTAAATGCGGAATGAATAGTAAACAGCAGTGTATACTTTGTGTTCATTGCGTAATGAACTTTAATAATGGAATTTTAAAGTACTTTTTTCTTTTCCAATTTCTCGCTACATTAATATTGTTTCAAAATGTAGGTTACCTACACAGGTACTTATGTAATGGTAAATTGACTTATATACACTTATTACGTTTTACGTGCATTAGAAATTATAATGTAATTTTTAGAATAAAGCAACATGTTGAATTGAGTACGAGATTAATTTTTGTTATAATTTTGTATAATAGATCTTTATTTTTGTAATATTCTTAATGGGTATTGATGTCGATTTGTTTTGTAACATAGGTACTGATATATTTTCTTATTCTAGGTAGATACTCACGTACGCAAGTTCTGTGAAGTATGGCAAATCAGAACCACAGTACCTACCTCATTTTACAACCGAATAAGTTTTTAGATAAATCTATTTTTCATGAACTGTAAGGCATATTACACACAAAAATAGATTTTGTACTTCACCATTTAAATTTTGTTTCAGAATGTACCTACCTAAAGTTTAATGAAGTTCATCCTATGAACTTGACATAAATAGTCATAGATTATTATTGTGTAGAATTAGGTAAATAAAGTTTTGTCCCGATTAGTAACGTGGACAAAGCCGCTGGTGGATGGCTATAGATAGCGGGTAAATGCAAAAATGCTCCGATACTTTTTAAAACGTTTTTTCATCACTGGTTACTGGTTAAAATTTCAATAAAAACATGTTAATTCCTACTTGTATATTAAAAGTGTTGAAATCACGTACATTTCCTTACTTAATCACACAACAGTGTTAATCGTTGACAGTGTAAATCGCCTATCTATCACTGTCTTTCATAAATAAATCATGTATAATGTACATAAATGATAAAAAACGCTATTTATGGGAGTGCGTCGACTGTAGCGCAGATATTTTTTGTAGATACTTTTTTGCCATTCGTGTACACACGACTTAACAATTTCCCAGGCGATTATTTGTTATCGATGTCGTGTTAATGGGCCTATTATAAACATTAGATAGTTATTAATTAGTTTATTTATCTCATCATTATGTACTACGCCTAATCTATGAGCAAATATTCTTGAGAACCATCGAAGGGCAAGATAGAGCTGTTTCGTAATACACACACTTTTATTATTGATTGTTGACCATGTAGTTAAAGGCTAAAATAGTCTATCACCCTTTTCAGCTTAAGTATCATCTTTAGTCAGAAAACTCATACCATAATATCATTCCATTGCCATATGATATTTCTATTTATTAGGTATCTGTAGTTACTACACATGTCATGCTTGTATTTAAAACGTGATTATATTATAGCTATTAAGAATACAATTATTTTCCTTGTCATTTGAATTGAACATTAATTTTATGGGAAATACACGCATTCAAAATTTTTATGTAATTTTTCCGCAACATGAATAGGATATAATTTTAGCCAAATACCTAGCAGTATGTAGCAGGTGATGATAAAATACTTAAAATAAACTCAGATGACGTAAATGTTTGTTTGTTAAAATTTAATATGACAATAAGACTAATGTTCCCTATTATTTACAAGGGTATGCTTTGCTTTCGAATAAATGGAAAGAAAATCCTAATGTTAAGAACCACGTTTTCTTAAAGAAAAATTACCGCGTATAGTGTGGTAAGTGTAAGTATTTGTAAAGTATTTTTCTAAAACAAACCAAGGTTTGTTGCAAAACTATAGTGTGAGGCAAGCTTCACACTAGGATTTTCTCTTGTGTCGTGGGTGCATTTACAAACATAATAAGTTCACATACACATGACACTCAGACCCGGAACAACTATCTGTGGATCACACAAACAGTTGTTCCGTGCGGGAATCGAACCCGCAAGACGTTGCACGGCAGTCAGTTGCCCAGCCACCGCACCAATCGGGCAGTCGATTTGATTTGATTATTGAGTCAGCCAATATAAATTTTGGTTTGCGAAATTTTCAATAATACTAAACTTTAAATTTCATATATGGCTACCTACAAATAGTATTAAAGACTATGTAATAGGAGTTGAATTATTACAAAACTGGCAAAAACAGCGCGGCGTTTACAAACCTAACAAGTCCATTTTCATACCTCTGTTCTCACCTCTGCCTACCCCTCGGGCTACTAAAGGCATGACGTCACGTATGTTTATTAGTCAAACATCAATGCCCTCTATCGATTGCAAACTTGTCATGGGTATTTCCTCGCCCGGGAATATTACCCGCATATTACTGTCGGTAGGGTGATGTATGCCATAACATGTAGCAAGGTAACTTAATTAGTTACGGGTAATCACGACTGTAGTTGATTTTTTTAAACAGTTTAATAAGTTCATAAACTAGGTACTCGTAACTTAGACATAACATAACATCACGCCTTTTGTCCCCGAAGGGTGCACATGACGGCACTTAATGCCACTGTATAGTGTAACACCCACTTTTCACTATTTATGTTATTAGTCTCATGTAATAGGGGGTGAGCCTATTGCTATATACCAGGCACAATTCCGGACTCCGTGCCACTACTGAGATTTTTTTAAAACACTGTGGTACTTTATCCGAAATCGGAAATCGAACCCGCGACCCCTTGCCTGGCAGGCGCACTAGCGACCATTCTGCCAACGAGGCAGTCTCGAGGTACTCGTAACTTAGATAGGTTATATTTTATATATTGGTACTATCAGAATCACCCGTGCAAATGGTTTCCCATTCCCGTCTTATGGGAAAAAGAAAAACATAAAACTCTATAAAAAGATAAAAATCTAAAGGTTACTTTTAGTGAAGTAAAAATCCCACACTTCCTAGACTTTCTCTTTAGTTAAAACAACTCGTAGTGTCTAATAAAACCACCTGTTTAAGGAAACACCAATAATATTACAATAATCACATAACAATAATGTAAATGAGCAGTAATCATTGAATATCTTGATGTTATTGCACAAAGTGTGTCAAGTATTCGACGCGTGCGCCGCTAGCGCTAGAGAAATTACCGCTCCACGTGATTTACTGGCGAAGTAGCGAATAATAAGCGACGCGAAAACTCAAGTTAGCGAACTACATATGTATTAAATGAATGTAGACTAAGTTCGGAGCCGCGTAACACTTAATGGGTTGTCGGGGCTCTAGCTACAAGCAGGAGTAGGAACGGGGTGGTTTTAGTCAGTAAGAGTCTGACAGTTGACACTCCCTATCGCTTCACCCAAGGCTGGACTAAAGCACTTGATGATTTTCTTCTCTTTAAAAAAAAGACTGCCTCGTTGGCCGAGTGGTCACAAGTGCGACTGCCGGGCAAGGGGTCTCGGGTTCGATTCCCGGGTCGGGCAAAGTATTACTGGGTTTTTAAAAATCTCAGTAGTAGCACGGAGTCTGGAATTGTGCCCGGTATATGGCAAAAGGCTCACCCCCTATTACATGGGACTCATAACATAAATAGTAAAAAGTGGGTGTTACATTGTACAGTGGCATTAAGTGCCGTAATGTGCACCTCTGCGTACCCCTTCGAGGATAAAAAGGCGTGATGTTATGTTATGTTTAAAAAAAAGACTAGCCAAGTTGCATTAGTTAAGATTGAATATTAAGAAAATTATAAATAGGTAACTGGCAGTCAGCTACTCTGTGCCCGGATGTATAGCTAAGGAAATTGAACGCCATTAACTGGGAATTATAAGTATGTATTTCATAATACGTTTATTTAAATAAACATGCCTATTTGATCTCGTTGGCCTATCCTATGATTTTGATTGGTTATACATATTTTCATCATAGCATTATTAATCGTTGAGTATTAAAAATGTCTTTTTTTGTTGCACATCTGTGTGTCACCAGAAAAAGAACATCTTTGTAACAACTCATTAACTTATCTAAAACTTCTTTAGTCAATAAAGCTTAAATACTCTACGATAAAGTTGAAAATCGTATAATTCAATGTCACATAGAGACGGTTATTGTATTGTACAAATAAGTTTTAAAACGATTGCATATTAAAAGGGCGGCGTTACTCACATTGCACCCACATGCGGTACAAACCTATGACTCATAGTAACTTTAATAAGTTCTTTTGTTATTGTGAGAAAGTTGTGCCACAGTCCTTGTTGAGCTGTTGTACTTATATTTTCTTCAAGATAAAGCAATGAGTTTTGTTAATGGAATGCATTTTTAACTAAAATATGTAAATGAATCGCACGAAAAATATTTGTTGATAAAAATATCAAATGGCTTATGAAAGCTGAGTTAGAACTGTTGGTTTGTTTATAACAGGTTCATTGGGTAGGTAGTTAATATTTATTATGATTATAGTTAGTAATAAGAAGTATTATAAAATGGAAAAAATATGCCTGTGTTATAAATGCAGACCATTTCATATTGTCTAATGTCTAGAAACGAAAAAAGTAGTCAGTTCATTAAAGTTAAATAGTTTCCTATTCTGTACCTATCTCATCGTCATTAGTCGCCATTTTGGAGTATTTGAGTATTATAAAAATATTATAAAAAATGGTATTAAAAAGTATGATAAATTCCACATTCCAAACTTACGAATTTATAATATGAGCTAAGCGAAATTTGGGTTTATGGGAGCATTGTGGGTTGAAAACACGTATGTCAAGTCAATAAAATTTAACACGAATAAATTAGGTACCTCTTAAATAACAAAGTAACCACTTAAATGCTTTATTGTTAAGTTACGTGAATACTTTCAATGGAGAATTCGCACATTAAGTAGGTAATGTTTAAATGACAAATACTTTTCGACACAATGAAGGTTACTTACGCATTTAAAAATTATAAACATTTCCTCTTTTTGTTATGTCATATTGTTATTTTCTAATTATGTTATGTTTTGTTGTGTCATTTGAACTTTGTAAGGTATTTGGAGTTTTGTCAAAGTATTACTGAGTTTTTTCAAAAATCTTAGTGGCAGCGTGGAGTCTAGATTGTGCCCGGTATATGGCAATAGGCTCACCCCCTATTACATGGGACTCATAACATAAATAGTGAAAAGTGGGTGTTACATTGTACAGTGGCAAAAAGTGCCGTATATGCACCTCTGCCTATCCCTTCAGGGATAAAAGGCGTGTTATGTATGTATTTGGAGTCCTATCCCCATGCTGTAATCTTAGCTCTTTCATGAACAGTGATAGTTATTCAGAGACATTGTTTTCCTTTTACTACTACACTTTATCTATCACTATTGCTTTTGCGCGCTTTGCCCGCATTGCCCCCCCCCCACAAAGTAGCCTCTGTGTCATTCCAGACTATTCCAAATTCCATCTCAATCCCTTCAGCCGATTTAACGTGATAGAGTAACACACATAAACACTTTCGTATTTATAGTATTAGAAGGATACAATAAGAATTTTATTTATATCGTTTCCTACCTACCCCCAAGGACATAACTTCAATAAGTTTTATAATATTTTATATTATTTTTGTTGCAGTGTCCATTCAAGCTGCAGAGGAACATTTCTGCTGGTGAGGAGACGGTCTGGGTGACGGGCACAGCTCGGCGGTCCACATGGAGGGTGTACGCCAACTCTTCAGAACAATATGTCACTGCTGGAGATACCTCGTAAGTTTTTTTTCTTTTTTTTCTTCGTTGACACTTTTTTTTAAGGGGGAAAATCATCGAATGACTGCTCCCGCCTGGGTGAGGCGGGAGGGAGTGTCAGACTCTTACTGACTAAAAACCACCCTGTTCCTTTCTTCCCTAAGCATGCGCTGTAGAGACCGATTAATCGAGGCCCGAGAGCCTCTGGGGCCAGGACCCATGCTTTGCATTGCAAGCCGTCGGGTCCTGGGGCGGTGTTCTTGGCGCCCAACCGGCGCACCGCCGCTCTCAGTTCTGCCTCGGTCACCTCTGGGACGATGTCATCGTCGTGTCGCTATAGCCCGCGTCGGGCACCGCAGGCGGCGGATTCGTTGACACTAGGATATTCTTCTGTGTCGTGGGTGCGTTTACAAACATACAAGCACACATAAACATGACACCCAGACCCGGAACAACGATCTGTTGATCACACAAAGAGTTGTTCCGTGCGGAAATCGAACCCGCGACGCGACACCAAACAAAACTAACAAATTATTTTGCACAGATAAAGTAAAAGACTGCCTCGTTGACCGAGTGGTCGCAAGTGCGACTGCCGGCCAAGGGTTCTTGTGTTCGATTCCCGCGTCGGGCAAAGTATTACTGGGTGTTTAAAATCTCAGTAGTAGCATGGAGTATGGAAATGGGCCCGGTATATGGCAATTGTCTCACCCCCTATTACATGGGACTCATGACATAAATAGTGAAAAGCGGGTGTTACTTCTGTGTGCATCTCTGCCTACCCCTTCGGGGATAAAATGCGTGATGTTATGATGTTATGTTATAAAGTAAAAGCGTAAGTTTGTTTACACATTACACAATAATCACGATTGTCCTGCCAAAATCTCTTCACTTATGTAATGGTCGCCTAAACGTACGTGACCAATTACTTCCGCACATTATATACACTGCATACAGCAATAAGAAAGTGGCATGCAATCTTTACATATATAATATGTGAGATACTGTTTACATGACATCTAGCTTCAACCTTTTAAATACGGTATTCGGTAGGAGAGTCGAAACTATATCTTCAGCTGACTAAAATGCCTACGGAGTGATGAATGGGCCGGCTCAACTGGAGTGATATCACGGCCTCACAGAAAACCGACGTAAAACAAAACTGGCGTTGTATTTCGTCGTGTGAGTGAGGTACTGGAGGCCCAATTAGCGCCCTCCCCAGTCTGTCCAATCCCCAACAATCTTCAAATTCCTAATCCAATTAAAAGACCGGTAACGCACTTGTAACTTGTAACACCTCTGGTGTTCTGGGTGTCCATGGGCGGCGCCCATTACTTACCATCAGGTTAACCGGCTTATTCCATAAAAAAAAACTATTAAGCATGAACTTCTTATATGAAACTATAGAAGATTCACAATGCGTTGTATGCAGATAATCTGTAAACCATCTTCTAAATAACCAAATAAATGTCTCACAGCACACACAGACCACACAAACCAGTACACACGGCTACATATCGAGCTTTACATAACCAGTATAAACTGAACGTTAAATATGCGGAAAGATGACGCGACGCGACGATACCAGCAGTGGCCGTGTGTACAACTGTACCAAGCCCCGAGAAAATGCATGTCTAAATATTGACATTGACATCTCATTATCAAAACTAGTTTCTTGTTTATTCTGGAAGGTTAAACGTTATACCTGTTCCTACTCTTAGACCTGTTACTTGAGACTTAAGAATTATTGAAATTGTTATTGTATATGTGTATCTACGAACAGAATGTAATATGTCTATTGTCTATGACCATGATATGAACTCAAATATTATACATAGGGTAGATGACTAATTTTTATTTTAATGTCCGTCTGGTAAATTATTTTAAAACATTACACACGTATTTTTTATATTTTAACAGAAACGAATGCTTTTGACGATATATTGATTTGAAATGTCGCGTGACGTCACTTCTATATACATTTTATACTTTGAAATGACGTTTTAGCCCCCACATCTAAACTTTGATTCGTTATATCTAAGTATCATTTTATTGTACCTACAACAAAATAAAAAAATACGTGTCTAATATTTTTTCATTTCCTAACAGACGGAATAATTAGATTTTTAATTTTCATACCCTGTCGTCATCCCTATTATGTAATTTATAGTGCTGACTTTAATTTGAATGGTAATATTTTGTACGCTTGCTTGCAGGCAGAATACACCGACTTTTAGGCTGTATGTTTTTTCCTATGTAAAATAAGTATTTCTTGCAAATAAACGAATTTGAATTTAAATAAGGACATCTCGGTATTACTCTATGTTTATTTTACTGTGGCAAATAAAGGCTAGATATTGTTTAGCCTTTTTTTCGCCTTCAATATTAGTATTACAAATGTGATTGCAGTTACCTTCTTCAAATGCTTAGGCATCAATATCCTAAATTATACAATATAATTTGGCTAGTATATAGATATAGATTTTGGATACAGTGTGTGTGGAAACAGTATCAAAATTCTATCTACTGACATCTCAGAACAAAAAAGCGATAATCCTGCCGCAAACGACTACTCTAGTTAGACGAATCTAATTCTAAAATACCCCACAAGACAACACATACCTGCAACATAAAATTGCATCATCATTAGCAGATAATACTAACAAGCAATGAACGCTAAAAGAAAACGTGGGAAAGTTGTGCTCTCAATAAAATGTAACAAAACTAAGAAACTGCTTGACCTAGGTGTTAGAGAAAAAACTAGCACTGAATAGGTAGCTATTAGCAATTTGTTTAATAGCCTGTCAATCGTGGGAAAGCTTACAATTACTAACGATTATGAACGATGGACGTGTTATTTGTTTTACATTCATTGTCCATTAAAGTGATACTGTATCAGAATAAGACTGAATACTCTATTGATCTGTCTTAGGGTTCTATTCAATTAACGGTATTTTTTTTTTTAAATACATACGCCGAGGAACAGGTTTAGTATTATGTAATTCATTAATAGAATAAATCCTGGGAATCAATGAAATGGCGCTTGACAAAAAGCATGTGCATAATTATTAACTAATAACACCAAATGCAATGATTGCCCGAGACGTCGGAATCGGTCGATTCCCGGGTCGGGCAAAGTATTGCTGGGTTTTTTCAAAAAATCTCAGTAACAGCACAGAGTCTGGAAATGTACCCGGTTTAAGGCAACAGGCTCACCCCCTCTTACATGGGAATGGGACTCATAACATAAAATAGTGAAAAGTGGGTGTTACATTGTACAGCGGCATTAAGTACCGTAATGTTCACCTCTGCTTACCCCTTCGGGGACAAAAGGCGTGAAGTTATGTGATTTATGAACTTACTAGCTATTACCCGCGGCTTCGCTCGCGTCACAAAAGGATAAAAAGTAGCCTATGTGACATATACCAATACACATAGCGCCATCTATACCAATACTTTAGTTGTCCATCGGGAATATCACATTTTTCCGGGATAAAAAGTACCCTATTATTAAATCCGGACTTCTAACCTTACGTCTGTAAAAATTCAAAGCAATCGGTTTAGTAGTTACGGCGTGAAGGCGGAACAAACAAACAAACTCACTTTCCGATTTATAATATTAGTAAGGACTAGTAAGGATAACGTAACTGGCAAATCTAATGACAAAATTTTCTTCTATCTTTTACACTATAATCAAATAAGAAGTTTCACAAAGGGTGCGTAAACTTAGCTCGTCGACCAAAACATTTGTAATTAGTCAAGAATAGGATATTACGATACTTGAGGTGTGTGCATTTACAACACCACAGGATATATGCCTCGGTTCATTAGTGTTTTGTGTACCCACAACTACGGATCATTAGGTGGAAACATCGATCCCTGGATTGAGCAGAAAGTACTATGGGTGTAAAAGTAGAGTCTGGTAGACCTAGACTGACCCATTGAATCATGAGATTTTTTTTTTGAGGGGAAAAAGTCATCCTATTACTTTTACCGCCTTGGGTTAGGCGAGAGGGCGTGTCAGACTCTTACTGACTAAAAACCACCCCGTTCCTTCTTCTGCACTTTGAGCCGGAGCCCCGGCAAACCGCTCACTTCCTCGAGCCTTTCGGGAATCATGAGAGTTATGGATTAGAAGAACACTCGAATATAATCTACATTTTCACCACTTTCAAATCTATTTACTTCTTCTAATACAGGCAGTAGTCTAGTCTGATTAAAACACTGGTTAAATTAATTACTTGAAGTTATTATTGATATACAAAATAATAACAACGCTACCATAGATTACCCTCTTTTAAAAACAGCACCTATCTTTGTGGGAAACCACCAAAAAATATGTCTGAATACAATCCGATTACCAAAATAACACATTGGAAGCTACAAAATTATCAAATTGCCTGCAATTTTGAATAATTTGTAAAGGTGCAGTGACTTGTATTGTTTAGCATAAATTGGATGATGAGTGGAGATTAACCACGCGAGGCCGAGTGTAGCTTGTTATCTCCGAGTATAATTTTCTTAGAATGTAATTTGCAAAACTATTTCTTATTTTCTTCTATAGCTTGATATTTAGGTCTTTAAATTGTATCACTGTGGGCTATTACGTTTCATTTTTCAAATAAGATACCAGGACAGAGGGTTTTATGCATGTGTCCCACGTAATTCAATTCAATATAGCAATATTATGGAGTTTTTTTTTATTAAGGGGGAACATCATCGAATGATTTCTCCAGCCTGGCCGAGGTAGGATGGAGTGCCAGACTCTTACTGACTAAAACCACTCCTGCACTTCGAGCCGGAGCCCCGGTAAACTTTTACGTTCTCCGAGGCTCCGTATCGTTCGGCATCAGCCCTATTGGGCCCCATCCGTAATGGTCTGATGGCTCTTTGAGACACGTGCGGATCGCGACGCGCTGTACGCTCGGGTCTGGTTCTGGTCTGGCGGCGAGCTACCAATGCTCGCCGTCTGCAGGCTCATGCTTAATAATGATTCTAGGGTTGAAACTTGCTTAAGTTTGTTTTGCTTGCTGTTGGCCTGATGATTATGAGTAATGCTGGTTTGATTCAACACGATCCAATATAGCTTCGCCACAAAATTATCATAACTGATGTTTTGTATATCTTCATTGACTGTATACGATGTTATAATGGTATATTTCTTGCAGAGGACTACTATGTCAGCTGAGGCCGGAGATGGGAGAGTTTGGTGTCTACAGGCTGAACGCTTCCACCGAGGGCTGTGACATCCGTACCGTTAGAGATCCAGTCGACATTTATTTGCGTAAGTCATTTTTTCTTTATTTTATTAATTCTAACTATTCTTGAGTTCTAAATAATGCACTTAACAATACAAAGTAGGTATATAATAATACACAAAAATCAGAAGACACACATTACGGAGTTATACAAGGTTGGGACTGGTAGCATGCAATCGACTAGTTATGGTAACTGTTAGATAGAGTAGGCTATGATAACTGCTTACCATCAGGTGAACTGTAAACATGTAGCCAGTACTCAGTAGCATAAAAAAATTCTTTCATAAACTACTTTTAAAAAACCAACTTCAACCCCCTATATTTGAGTCAGCCAGTTAATTAATATACTAAAACCTTCTCCTAAGTGTAATTAATACTTTTCTGAAAACCGCATTAAAATCGGTTCAGGCAATCGCGAGATAAACACGAACATACATACATACATACAGGTCGAACTGAGAATCTCCTTTTTTTCTTCGTAAAGTAGGTTGAAGAGGTTCATTCAGTAATTTACCTTACCTTAATATTATTCTCAGTTTTTTTATATCATATTACACCTTTCATAGTTATGTACTTATCAATAAAACGGACGGTAGAATAACTCCTGTAACACAGGTTTTCCTAGCATGGGGGTCATTGAACATAATTATATACTAAATGTCTTCATTAATTCTAGATTAGTGTCATGATTGTGTAACGTGTACTTCTTTATTTTGAATAAATGATTTGTTGTTTGAAAAAAAAGTAATACTTTACTCAAACCTTGGTTCGGAACCTAGCCTCGATTTAGACAGCTCCTATCTACATCAATACATAGGCTTATTGATATACTTACTTATCTATGTTAGGTCTCATCTATAATACGCTACAGATGCTATAGTTATTATTGTATTACAGAGAACAAAATACATTTGGCTGAATACACGTATATTTATCTACGTAACAGAATATTCAGTATAAAACCCTTGACATACAATAATATAATCTCGTTGGCCTTTTCCTTTGAAAGTTGATGTATTTATCTGCGGGTAGCTTGTATTGTGATGCGATGTTAAATCTTCGGCTGGTTTGAGTTGACTATTACACTTTATGTGATAACATCTATCTTTACAACGAAACTGAAAAAAACGAACGAACTGTCGAACTGGGCCAGCTCGACAGGAGTGAAACCACGGCCTCACAGAAAACCGACGTGAAACAACACTTGCGTTGCGTTTCGTCGTGTGAGTGAGGTTACCGGACGCCCAACTACCCCCCTCTCCAATCTCCCCAATCCTCGAATCCCCAAAAATCCTTAAATTCCTAATCTCTAAAAGCCGGCTCACTTCTGGTGTTTCGGGTATCCATGGGTGGCGCCGATTGCTTACCATCAGGTGATCCGTCTGCTCGTTTACCGGCTTATTCCATAAAAAAAGGAATTAAAAATATATTTAGAGTTGTACCTAATAAGTCACTCACAGACGGAGCTAGGTTTAAGTTTTAAATTCAGTATTATTTAGTATTCGGAAAATGACAAAAGTGTTCACTTTTCCAAGGAACATTTATTAACTCTACTATTCAACCATTGTTAGTTTGAACTAGCAGATGTCCTTTACTTTTCCTCTATGTAAATACTTGACTGAAGGCCAACACAGCAACTATGTACGATTGTGAGGTGAATCAGTTCATATAGGATAATACATATTGGTACCTACTCGATTTTGAAGTAGCCATTATTTACTTACGTAATTATTTATTAAGTCATTGTAATTGTAATAGGCAATAAGACTTCAGTAACCATCATTATATTATACTAGCTTTTACCCGCGGCTTCGCTCGCGTCACAAAAGGATAAAAAGTAGCCAATGGGACATATATCAATACACACAGCGCCATCTATACCAATAATTAAGTTTTTCCTCGAGAATATCAAATTTTTCCGGGATAAAAAGTACCCTATTATTTAATCCAGACTTCTAACTTTACGTCTGCAAAAATTCAAAGCTGCAAAAATCGGTTAAGTAGTTACAGCGTGAAAGCGGAACAAACAAACAAACTCACTTTCCGATTTATAATATTAGTAAGGATTATTTTGAAAATGTTTGTCCGTTGTTAACTCGTCGAGTACCGGTTTTATAGACACAATTAAAGAACAATAGGTCGCGGTCACCGGTGACCGCTTGGTGTTTGACAGTTTAAGACATTGAAGAAAAGTTTCAGATAAACAAATACAATTTGTAGTTAAATAATGATAGGTACATATCTACTTAACCACAAAAATAATAAAGAACATTTCTATCAGACAAATAATTTAAAAACGAAAGCAAAACAACAAACAGTTGTAGCCGCAAAAATAAGAGTATTAGATAAGAAATAATAAATTGATAACTTAGATCGAAATAGTCACGCACTAAAAGAACTTGTAGAAAATTGTGAAAATGGCGTAACTAATGATAGTATTGGTGACGATAGGCCTCTTAGTGAAAGTGAGGTTATAACAGAAGGCATAACGATATTTGATTAGTTCCATCTTCAAGGAAAGTATGAAAACCACATCACGATCTGTGGTATTAATGTTCAATAATGATAAAAGGGAGTTTGTGGAAGAGTTTGTAGTTGATCAAGTGATTATCAACTGCAACTGCTTAGGTACTATCCTTAAGTTAGATGCCCAAGTTTGGCAAAGATTTATTTTGGGTTTGGAAAAATTTATATACTCGCCTTTATTGCGTGGAAGGTTCATATCATTTTTATGGGCCGCCTCGACCGGAGTGATACCACGGCCTCACAGAAAACCGACGTGAAGCAACGCTTGCGTTGTGTTTCGTCGTGTGAGTGAGGTTACTGGAGACCCAATTATCTTCCCCTTCCCCAATCTCCCCAATCCCTGAATCCCCAACGATCCTCAAACTCCTAATCCCCAAAAAGCCGGTGACGCACTTGTAACACCTCTGGTGTTCCAGGTGTCCATGGGCGACGCCGATTGCTTACCATCAGGTGATACGTCTGCACGTTTACCGGCTTATGCTTTAAAAAAATCATTACTAGCAAAAAGCGTGCATCCATCATATTCTTGTGCAAATGCAAACAATACAAAATACCACTTCTATCCAAACTATGAATCTTAAGACAAAAATTGCACACAACACATCCATCCACATTTATTGGAGCATCCTCAATTTTCTGCACAAGCGATCATCGTATTAGAAGCAGTTAATAAAAGAAAAAATCACGACACGCGATCAAGTGAACCTAAGTGGACTGTCGTGGGTGTGAGGAGACTGGCCCAAATCCTTTGTACCGTCGATTTGTCTTGATGAGCATCATCCGCTGGAGACAAACGACCTAGAAAGAAGCCAGTGACTCGCCATTGTGAAGTGCTAAGCGAATATTGATGCTGTATGTAGTATACAGGAGATACTTGTATTCGTTTGTTTATAATTTTAAATTACATGAGGTGATTTTGAAGTTTATCTATCTATATCTATACATATAATAAAATCGTAGTAACGTGAAAACTGTACATCGAATATTTTTTTAAACAATGCTTTGGGCTTGATCTACAGTCGATACCGAAACCAAAAATATGGTTTCTAGAATTTTTGTCTGTATGTATGTCTGGGATGGACCCAAAAAGTGCTTCATGGATTTACTTCAAATTTTGCATGAATATTACTAACAGGTTGGGTCAACATATAGGCTACATATTATTATGCTATCAACTACGGGGGAGGAGCTATGAATCACTATTCCATGCGGACGAAGTCGCAGGCTCAGTATCATTTATAGTCGTTTGAGGTAAAGTTGGCCTAATGTGCAATATTGAATCACACCTTATATATGTATAAATGGTAATGTAACAACACCATTTTAGTATCTGCGAGTATATTATGCTACTCATTTATTTATTTATTTAGTCTTTAATGTACACAATTTTAATATGGCACATAAGGCGGACTTAATGCCATATGGCATTCTCTACCAGTCAACCTTAGGGTTTAAATAGAAAATCTGCGAAAAATAAGGTACGGAGAATACTCATACTAATACAATCCCGATTTACATGGGAATGTTTGATGGAAGTTATGAAAAAATCGTCTGTGTGACCTTTCTATTCGCAGGTGCGACTGAAACCGTCGGTGAAAGGATGGTTTAGAATAATAAATGTTAGTGATTGTGATCTTGAAAGCCCATTGTGTAGGATTTAAATATAAATATTTTATTTCATTATTTTATGCATTGCATCTCTAAGAGAAGAGGTACTATCTAGAGGTAGATAGATAGAGATGTTATTATAGGTATACCATAACTTCCGAATGTCGTCGTCCGAGTTTTGTCTTTAATATAATTTAGAGTTCATTATTTCTCGATACGAATTCCGAGACTTTGCAAAATCTCGATTCCTATCACAACGAAACACAATAATTATACCTACTCTGTGAAAAAGCAGGTATTAAAGTTCGTTTTCGGCAAAAAAAAATCAAAACTCAAAAAACTTTAATAAAATTATTTACGTGACAACAATAACAATAAATAATATTATAATTTGCATTTAAATAAAATATTTGCAACAATAAAATAAAGATCGCTAACAACAGTCGGTAAAGGAGCACTCTCTAGCTAAGTTGCTGTAGCTGCCGTACACTGAGTAGAAGAGGTCCCAGAATGCCATTCTTTGGTTCTCCACCCTGCTGTCCATTCTGATGTCTGTGTCAATGACCATGGTCGGCCTGGAAGAGATGGTGACTGGAGTCCACTTCACAGGCAGCAAGTCTGACGTTTGAGGTGTTGGGTCCCTGGAATTGCGTGTTTATAGGTGTCATTAAAGATAGATTGGAACTTAAGTATTTAAACTTAAGTTTTTTTAACTTAACTTGTATTTAATGTGTTTGATAAAGTACGTACTAGTAATCATACGAAACATACGGAGTCGTTTAGTTTCCACATTCCAAGGGGAAAGGGATCACTATCATTTATTGTGTTTTAAAACACACTAATACTCGAATTGATCAATACATTTCATGTAAGTAGCCATTGTATTATGTATTGGATTGATTTGTTTATATTACATACCCGTATTTGACGAAATTGGTCCACAAAGTTGAAATGCGGTCAGCGATCAATTGGTCATCTTCACTTCTGACTATGTTGCCGCTTCCATCGTTGAATAGATAATTAAGTTCCGACGAGTGTCCTGCACCGTCATTGGTTGATCCAGTGTAGCTGAACAAATATTCGTAGACATTTCCAACGTTTTCTTCCAACAATCTAGTTATTATTCTCTCTGATGGATGGTTGATAACAAAATCTGATTCGAAATTCTGCAATTGTGTAGAAACGTCTGAAGTAACAGGATTATCTCCGATATAAAACCGTCTAACAAAAGTAGCCGCGTTTTCAAGCTGTTGTCCATTTAAATTAAAATTATTTTTCAATTTCTCGTAAAACGGATCTGAGTCAAAGTAATCTGCGCTAAGCGAGTCACGTTCGCGGCTCGTGTATCCAATCAGTACGGGCGTGTTTCTCACTTTCCTTGCGTTTGTCAAAGCGTAGGGATCGTTTTCTACAAAGTTTTCAATACCACTGAACGATTTCTCTTTACAAGGTCCTAATGGCAAGTTCAGTTCATGGGCGGCACCTGCCACAAGATTATGAGGGGAGCTTATAAGGAACTCAAGAGCTTCATTACTATCAGTTGTGTTGACACCCAAATGCTCAGCAATTTTGATAGCCATGTTTTCGTCAGAGTTGACAAACATCCCCTCACTCTGTGGAGTGCCACTCTCAACAATGACCTTGTTGAAAAGTTTTAAATTGTCTGCATACATGTGCAGGAGCACTAATGTGGCTCCAGCGTCGTGACCAGATATGGTCACATTGTAAGGATTACCGCCAAAGGAGGCAATGTTGCTTCTTATCCAGTTAAGCGCTGTGTATTGATCTTTCAAGCCTTGATTGCCGGGCACGCGAGGGGTATCTAAGCACATGAATCCATATGGACCGAGGCGATAGTTAACAGTGACCACTACGACGTCATGTCTGACCAAGTTCTTCACACCATAGTCTCCTGCACTGCCTCGTACGAAGTTTCCACCGTGTATCCAAACAAGTACAGGCAGTGGGTTTGAAGAACTTGCTTTGAAAGGCACGTAGATGTTCAGACGGAGGCAGTCAATGCTCGACTCACCCAGCTGTGGGCATCTTACTGTACCGTCGTTTGCATTGAAGATTATTTCTTCAAAAGGTTGAATTTCTCGAGATGGCTGAAAAAATATAATAAAAGCTTTGTATTCAAATTGTGATACAATTTGGCAGATAATAGAAAATGGTAAACCTATTTCGTTTTAATGGAATCGTTTCATATAACTGGTATTTTCAATTTGGGATTACCTACTTTAGAGACGCATCTCTTTGTTATTTTATAACTACTTATTGCTTCTTCGGAATGTAAGTTTTTTGTTATTATGAGTTATTTACTTGTACTTCAGTCTGTAAGACCGTTGACTTCAAACTTATCTGTGTATTGATTACAACTGATCAAAGATATGCACCAGATGTTGTCACTCATTGTCTGTTAATATGATAAATGTTGTGACGTAATCTTACAAGGCATTTGAACAAAATTATCCGAGTTATATCTTTAGGTGACTCTTATTTTCAACTTTGTATATTATTGAAGTTGTTTTGCCATCCAATAATAATGTAATCGCTACCAATGTCATGGCCACAAATAATATCGTTTTCTAGAATATTGGATACTTATGCAAATACAGGAACATATTAATAATTTACAAAATACATTTATTTGTAAAATTGTATAGTGATTTATAGAATAAATCTTCCTGTTTACAACTTAACCATTTATGAATATCGTGTAGTAAAATGATAAATTGATACTTAATAAACTGAACAAAGAATAACGGCTGGTTACAAATAAGATGACACATCGCTTTTTAATTAAAAATAAAACACTTTCCATTGCATTGGGGGTGACGACCTCACCAGGGTTATCGGAGCAATATTAATAGACGATTACTTATAGAATACAAATGAATGTTTAGTTAGGGATAAGTAAGAGTACGATTAGCTTCAGCCAATTCATTGGTTGACTTGACAAGTAGTTACTACCAAGTACAACGTCTCGGGTTCAAGTACCAGCGCTACTTAAACAGGTTTTTCTCTCTAATTAAGTGCAATGGTTCTAAATAGTATGGTAGTCTTTAATATCCAGTATTAATAATATCAGTACCAAATCATATAGCTATAATCTAAATTAATTATTCAAACACGAAACCTGCTAAGGAGTTTTTAATAGCTTACTTTCACAACGTATCGCGGATATGCGCTTTGCTTTATCTGTTCCCAAACATAGACTCTCATTAAACGTACTGGCACGCACGGAATTCAAATACGAATAAAATAACAACGTTCTCTATTTGAAATCCTATTTCTAGTCTCAGTCTGACATTGAACTATTGGTGAAGACGCCTAGACGAGAGTGCCAAATGTAATAAAAATTTAAATAAGGAACATAATCCTTTTTTAAACTGAGTATGAAGGACAAGTCGAACAGTATAACCATGGTTAAACACAATACATTTGCGCTATCGTGTTGTATTTTCTGGGGAAAACTGCATTAAATCTTTTCCTTATTTGATTACTTCCTCCTTAGCACTATGTTAAATTACATATTTTGTTAAATTCGCACCATTTTAATTTATCCCTTTTTGCTTTATTGAGCATTTTTCTTTAAACGAAAATTTTGCAACATATAGATTCTTATCTTTATCTACACACTTAAAAATCTACTTACACCAAACGGATCAGCAGCGTCCACTCGAGCGTATGGTACGCCCAAAAACATGGAATAGTCACCATCAGTCGCTCTATGACCCATAACTAACCCTTGACTACTGATTAGCACCAAGGGATCAACCCTGGGTTCACCAAACACACTAGCAACTAGAAACAACACACATAAGACAATTTTATCCATTTTGATGTTAAAAAATTCTTCTTGCCTCGAGTATCTTCAAAATACTGGTGGCAAATAAGATGGCTTATCGTTATATAGTTATTTTATCTGGACGTTTTCGATGAGATGAATTTGGATTATCTTTATCGGATAGGTGGAGTGGTTACGTCATTGTCGTGATAAACTGGAGATGTAGTGCACGAAATGTTTTCATTTCATGTCTTTTTCTTATTGTATATTTCGATATTAAACATTTCTTCTTGTTTAATTTGTTTGTCCTAAAGTACAAAACAAAGCTAAACGTTATTTATTTAGGTCTATTATTTAGTGGAAGCTGTACTTCCTGTGTAGCTCCAAGTTTTTATTTCAACAGTCAATATTATGTCTCTCAATAAAAAGGAATGTCTTCCATCTGTCACAATATCGCTATCTTAATCCAACCTTTATCTGATCGGTATTGCATAATGCCTTCACAGTCCTCATTTGCATGACCAAATAGTAAGGAGGCCTTCATCAATTCAGTATTTTTATTGTTATTGCCATCGATCTTGGATATCTGCATACTGCAAGTAATCTGACCGTGGCCCAGAAACCGGCTGGGAAGTCTAGGTATTTAAATGCCATCAGGCTCCATGTATGGAAATAAAGAGATGTTTGCATATAGAGATTTTTAAGGCCGCTTTGAATGTCGATTTTTATAAACAGTTTGATTTGAATCCACAATAGTTCAATGACAAGGGCGTGGAAGTTATCAAGGTTGTACCTACTTTGTTATAGGTACTTTTGGACTAAAAGCAGCAATGATTGGATCTGTAACAATGCTTTAAAAACTGTGAATGGACAATTTTAATGGAGTTACGTAGAGGATGGGTTTTAGGTAGGTAGGTACCTACCGGGAGGTAGCGGTATAAGATCTGCTTCCCTAATTTTTTATAGACATTAGTTTACCGGAACTACTAACTACATCTACTTTATTTGGGCCAGTCTTTTTACTTAGTTGTTACTGTTGGGGAGCGTACTTACGTACTAACTATGAGATTTTTACTTTTGATTCCGACGAAAGTGGCTAAAAAGTTTAAGAACTTGTAGGTAACGTTATTATTTTAGGTACATTTCGAATATACACTTGGGGAAGAGTGGTGTGGTTATGTTTATCAAATCATGCATTTTCAAAGTAAAAGTGCAGTACAAAAGGAGTATACAGACAGACATGTGATGTTTAAAAACAAACACAGTTTGCAACAATGAATTGTTTTTGAGAATTGTTTGCTAATGTAGCGGTAGACCATTATGTGTCTTTGATTGTTTGGAGACCAATTCTGATTAAGGGAAATAACTGGATAGTCAACAGTTGATACATGTTATAACAATTTGACTAGATTTAACCAAAGTTTCTTTTCCGCCAGCTCTACTTCTGCTACTAGGCGTGTTGTTGGGAATATGGATCCTGTACGGCATCATAAAGCTGATAATGTCACGAGTGAGGAGGACTGGCAAGCTGAGGTATGGAGACAAGGAACTCGCGATACAGCAGAGGTTACGAGCACTGGACACTTTTAGAGGGTGAGTGGTAATCTGAAATATGCTGTACTAAGAACTGTTTTAAGTTCGAATTTGGTTAACGATGAGAGACTTATAATGTGTGATTGTTTTACGTCTGCAATTTATGTCTTTGGATTAGTGTCGATGTTTGTTATTAGTTGTAGGAAGTTTCTGTTATAATAACGAAATCGATTTGTCATTAAAAGCGATCCAAAGGTTTACGGTTGGTTATTAAAATCCAGTTCTGTGGTTTACATTGTGTACAATTACCATGTAAATATTGTCTGCTTGCAAAATGCTTAGTTTCTGCTTAGTGAAAATCTCACAATGATTTAAATTATTCCAGTAATAATAGTTACAAACATTGAACTCAACAATCATAAAAAATAATAAAATTGCACTGGAGAACTTAATGTGAAGTAGTTAAACAGACAACATGATAAGTAAAACTTTGGGAACAACTTTTACAAAAATGTAGACCATTATAGGATTTTCGAGAGCAAAAGCAAAAGTCATTATACCTAGGTGTGTTAATTTACAATCTAGTACAAGTAGTACAACTAGAATACTTCGTGTGAATGGCCCTATTCACACGTTTTTTGGCGCTACACAGATGAGGTTTTGGGCTACTTAGCGTTTTGAGTAAGAGGTAACAATGATTGCCATAATTTTGCTATTCGACATCATTTTATAGCAGATGGGTCTGCAAAATCGTTTCGATTTACTTAAATTGATTTATTGTAAAGTTTAACGCTGAATAATAATATTAAGTTTGATATATACATAACGAAGGGGATAATAACGAAGGGCCAAATTAAAAGTATCCTTTACCGACGAGCATGCATGAAAAGACTGATGACTGTTGAGGAAGCGAAATAGGTGTGTAAGAACCGTAGCAAATGGTGTTGTTCTACAGTCTTTGCCTACCACCATGGGAGACAGGCGTGAGGCGAGAGGGTATGTTTCAGCATCCCACTCAAAAAAATCTAAATCAAGTGACATAATATCGGATTATAAAGAGGTACTTTTAATTTTCATCGTAATTTACTTTTGTGACAGTTGCAAATTCCAATACTAAAGAATTTGTTTATAAGTAGTATCTGCCATGTGGTAATACGTTGGAAACAAGTCTCTTTATCATAAAGGTCTTTTTTACCCAGGATGGCAATAGTCTTCATGATCTTTGTGAACGATGGTGCTGGAGGCTACTGGTGGCTAGAGCATGCAACGTGGAACGGTCTCGTCGCTGGTGACCTGGTGTTCCCTGCCTTCCTGTGGATCATGGGTGTCTGCATCCCTCTGTCGGTGAAGAGTGCCTTCGCCAAAGGAGTGCCCAGGTGGAAGATTGTTATGCACATCGTCAGGGTATGTAGACTTAGATTATTATTAGAATTATATTTTCTAATAACACTAGTTGGAGATCCTTAAGTAGGTTTTCCAATATCATCTCGAGCATTTAAGGAATTAATTATTTAACTTATTTTAAGTGCGGGAGAGCCATGCTTTGGCACGAATGGGCCGGCTTGACCGGAGTTATACCACGGCCTCACAGTAAACCGACGTGAAACAACACTTACGTTCGTTACTTCGTCGTGTGAGTGAGGTTACCGAAGGCCTAATTACACCCCCGTCCCCTCTGCCTAGTCTCCCCAATTCCCGAATACCCCACAATCCTCAAATTCCCAATTCCTAAAAGGCCGGTAACACACTTGTAACGCCTCTGGTGCTTCAGGTGTCCATGGGCGGCGTTGATTGCTTACCATCACGTGATCCGTATGCTCGATTACCAGCTTATCCCATAAAAATAATAATATAAACCAAATAGGTATCTATTTGGTTGCTGAGCAAAAACCAGAGAAAAAGTCTTTTAGAAAATCAATTACAATTCTTCTGTTGGTAAATATTTTATTTACAAAAATCGATCTCAGAAGTACAATTTAAAGAGCAAGAGGTGAAGCTTGAAAGGTCGATTGTACAACCGGAGACTTTTTTGTGTATCCATTAATAAAATAAACCACTTCATTGGAAACCAAACTTTCAACCAACCATTCCATCTTAATAATAATTTTTCGCTATTGTTTTTCGTATCAGGTTAATAAATCGTATGGTGTAATACTTGTAACAGTGTGCTTACGTAAGCCGGCGCAGGCGCAGACTGAGTGCTAACTGTGAAAGGGGTGCTTAAGGTCAAACCTTTGGAACCAGTCTTGTTATGTAAACGTTACGCGGATCGATGCCGGTGCGTATGCGCCGGGTAAATGGCTTGTTAGTTCAGGTTTTATAAAGGATGCTAAAATGTTTATTGATGTTTTTCCTAAGGTTTTTTTATGGCACTAGTGGTTTATTAATGTGGGCTTTGACTAGCCTTTTTTAAGTTTTTATATGGTGATTCAGAGACAACACAATGATAAGTTGACAAGTTTATATATATCGAATCGTTTTATGGGTTTGTTGTGGCTTTATCATCACAAGAAATATAAAGTTTTCAATTGTGGCCGGTTATTAAAAGAGCAGAATGCAGCATTTGTCTTCATTCCACTAAAGTAAATTACATAACACTGACACTTTAGTTTGTGGACTTTAATTTTTTTATATTTATCTTAATAATCCTCGGTGACGTTGTTCCAATTGATTCAATCAAGACTCACTCCTTATCCTTGTAGAAGAAGTCAGAGAGACACACATATATTTTGACCGAAAGTTACACTTTTGCACAGTTTCATAAAGATTCTATGCAACACTATTCAACATTCTCTTTCTAGTCTAAGACTCTGAGCATTTTACAACCGATTTTGGCCCAATCCTGGAACTTATAATGCTAATGAAAAAGTTATAAAGTAAATTAAGTAAAATCGCGGGTTATTCACGTGAATATACTGAGAAAAGCTCTACTAGTTTCGAACCACAGAGGGGTTCTTCCTCATGCTGCGCGACGTCGCCGCGACCGCGCACGCTGCTCATGCACCCGCGATTTTACTTAATTTAGTATGTCTCACGATAGTTATTATAAAAAGTTATAAAGTAGGTAGGATAATAATTTATTCAATATAATCTGTCTTGAACCATAAGCATTTTCCTACTATTAGACTGACAAAGAAAGCTACAGTGAAATTGAGGACAAAAGGTTCAGGTAGTGGATTATTTATATTGGTATGTATTGGATGGTCGGTGCATAAATGATCTCTGGGCATGAGGTCACGTTGGTTCCTTGTGAAAGGCTTTGTTACATTGTGATGCAAATAACAGATACAATGAAGTAGGTGAGCCGAAGCAAGAGGCGCGCCGATTAGAGAGATGTGAGTCAGACGATTAATATGAAAAAGCCTTGCGAAATTATTTAGATAGCTCTGTCTCAGGAAGTGCGTGAATTCTTAAAATAATGTTTTGTTCGGTACTAAGCTTTTTTTGCTGATTTGAAACTTCTAAGAAGCAGACCGTTATATTTACTTTTTGAGGAATTTGTGGAAAATTCAAACTCTCATTAGCTGCTGAATTTGATTGTTCTAGATAATTTGCATTTCTGTCGTTATGTATCTGGTCTGAGGCAATTCACTCTATTAACTAACATCTTGGGTAAAACGAGTTAAATAACGAGGAACTAAGAATTATCTCACACTGTCTTAATCGTAATACGTGATTAATGTACTCTTCAATAGACTCACAGATATTTGTATTCATCGCACGCGATCCGTTCACTTTCGTTGCCTCACCAACTTCAACTTACAGACTTCCGCATTTTGTCTCATTGTGTACCTTGATCAGATCTCCAATGCATACGAGTACTACATCAACGCGCTCGCCACAAATACTAAGCCAACTTTTGCTACATATTTCATTGGAAATTCTGTTCGCGTGATAACATTCAGATAGCTCTCTCCAACTCAATCTGCTACATTGCCGAGTACGCTATCCATATCCTCTTTTACTCGTTTATTTTTCTTCACCGAGTGATCGTTACCATCAATGAATTGCACATGCGTGTGGGTAATGGGAACACTTCGCTTTATATTGAAAGCATCGTTAGTTGTTCGATACAGTAACCCAGTGACGGACATGGCCTGGTTTAGATTGGAGAGGAGGCTATTACAATTCGTTTGGAACAATCCACTTGTGTGAATGTCACAAGATTGATGCGTATGTATAAGGATCGAAGGAGGCTCAGAATTTTAGCAACGGTATTTTGGCAATATTGTATCTTAAGGCCTTTCTAAGTTCAATTATCGCATCGCTATCATCTACTTCTATTGTATTAATGCTGTATCACGCTATTGTGTCCCCTCAAACCAATTCGAAGCTAATGATCGGTCGCATTTCTAGCAATAGCGTGTATGAATGCGGTCTTAGATTTAATGTCCGTTATTCGGCAGATGTGAGCACTTGAGATATAATTGACGGAGTATCCACCACGGCTATTATTTTAATTGATTTGTTTATATGTGGTTCACTTTTTTCTTTATTCTTGTTGCAATTAAGGTTTATAAACAGATGGCTTCTTTCGGTTTACGTTTTGGTGAATGCACTTTGTATACGACTGTGTCATTGTTGATTTTCTAAACATTTCATTGTATTTTTGCATGACTTACACTTTAAGACTGTCATGAATGTCGTGTGATTCATAAACAATTTTGTCTTTCCTTTTAGCCTGTTACTGACATCCGATATTTTCAATATGTCAACAGTTATTGATGTTATGAATGAGTCAATGGTTTTGGAATCTAAACCACATTGAGTAGGTTTAATAAGTCTGGAATTTAAACTTAGTAACGTATCAATGTTCTATGTACTATTTAGAAATTTAAGAAATTTTGTCTTATCTCAAAGCGTGAAGTATCTGTCAATTTTATTGGAGGTAAAACTATCAACAAAGTGGATTGTGATCACAGTATGATAATGTTTTATCTCAGTATCACGTAATTCTCCTATCCTCATCGTGTGGCTTCCGCGTGAATGAAAAATAATTGGAAACTGCTGCGGTTTTATTTAATTCCTTTAATTATATTTATTTTACAAACCACGTCTTAGGAACCAACTTCAACCCCCTTTTTGGAAGTCGGTTTATTAATATACTAAAACATTCTCCTAAGTGTAACAAACACTTTTCTGAAAACCGCATCAAAGTCCGTTCAGCTGATCGCGATATAAATATGAATATACATTCATACAGGTCGAACTGAAAACCTCCTGTTTTATTTTTAAGTCGGGTAAAAATATCGGCTGGTAGCTGCATGTGATTCGATTTAAGTAGTTGTTTAACTTCTGGGCTTATTACCTCTATAATACTGTGTTTCAATACAATTGAGTGATAAAAGATATTGTTATACTAATATTTTGAAGGCAACGTACTCTCAATGGTCCAAGATGGTTACAATATATACAATGTACTGGAGTATAGACCAATAATAAAACACAATGACATTTAGGTGCATTGTTCATCATGTCAATTGTTGATACACCAGCCATTTCAATTTCATCTGTACGATAGTGTTTGTAGATACATCTGTCTTTAGGTCTTTGTATTGTATCATCTGGCTGTTGAAATATTGAATTGCATAGTTCAAAATGTCAAACATTATTATTAATTATTGTCCCAGGACTAGGATCTTTTATGTTGTCCAATTGTCCAAAGTTTATGTTTAAAATAATTAATTTATTGTTTTGTGATTGTTTGATCCTTTGTAGATCTTTTGTTTTGATATTCTCATATCTTTTTTTTATGGCATAAGCCGGTAAACGAGCAGACGTATCGCCTGATGGTAAGAAATCGGCGCCGCCCATAGACACCTGAAACACCAAGGCGTTACAAGTGCGTTACCGGCCTTTTGGGAATTGGGAATTGAGGATTGTGTAGAATTCGGGGATTGGCGAGACTGGGGAAGGGGATAATTGGGCTTTCGGTGACCTCACTCACACGGCGAAATACAACATAAGCGTTGTTTCACGTCGGTATTCTGCTCGCCCGTGATACCACTCCGGTCGAGCCGGCCCATTCGTGCCGAAGCATGGCTCTCCCACACTTTATAATCTTCTAAATGAAACGAAGATAATATCTAACTTACACTAAAAGAATGTATTGATCATCATTAAATCAGCAATGTTTCTTGCAATTTTTGCGAAGTCAATGTTACCAGGGGATTTGCTTTCAACTGTTTTGGAAGTCAAAAACTTAAATGGGTTTTTTTCCTTCCAGCGATCTATCATCATGTTCCTGCTTGGCATGTCTCTGAATACGATCTACGGCTCCAACATGCTGAATGAGCTGCGAATCTTCGGAGTCCTGCAGCGGCTGGCAGTGTCCTACCTCATTGCTGCTGGTTTCTACGCCCTCACCGCTCCCAAATACTACACTCCTCCGCGGGTGAGTGTAAGATATTATTTCATTATAACTATATTTTTTGACTAGATTTTCTTGAACTTGGACTTATTTTTTTTGAAAGTTCGATAGATGACACATGACTAGGAAGGCCGGATGGTTATTAGTTTAGAATAAAATTTTAGCCTGTGTTTAGTATACTTATGGTGTTTATATTTTGATAGAATGTGTCGCGACGGAGAGGGATAATAGAGTAGGTTCGTATTGTTGTAATTGTTTAATTAGACATCAAAACGACGAATGATATAGGCAGTACGTACATTAATTAGGATAAATAAATAAATACTTACATATAATCGTTAAGATTATTAAATTTCTCTTATTTCTCTTACTGTTATATAAGTAATGGATGGCTTCGAACTGGCGTCTCAAAATAAAGTAATTTTCGATATCCATTCGCAGAAAAAATATGACAGATCATAAACGTAACTGTACCAGGGATATTATGAAAAGTAAAACCAATGATTCGTGCTCTACACACATATTTAACATATTAAAGTCAAGGTACCGTTCACTTTCGGTTAATTAGCATTCGGAGTTTTTTGTGTACTTAGCTGGTACGTAAAAAGCACCAGCCGACATCGTGAAACGGGACCTGTTTTTTGAGCTGATATAGATCATAAATATCATACAAGTCCACATGCACAATGAAAATACCTAAGTACTGTGTCCAAAAACTATTTTAAAAGGTCTATATTTAGCTACAATATAAGTACATCATCATCATAACATCATGCTTTTTATCCTTGGAGGGGTCAGGTGCACATTACGACACTTATTGCCACTGTACAATGTAACACCCACTTTTCACTATTTATGTTATGAGTCCCATGTAATATGGCCTATGGCCATATACCGGACACAACCGGTATTCCAGATTCCGTACTACTATTGAGATTTTTTTTTAAACTCAGTAATTCTTTGCCCAACCCGGAAATCCAATTCGAAACCTCTTCTCCAGCAGTCGCAATTGCGACCACTCGGCAAACGAGGCAGTCAACTTTAGTTAACTCTAGTTATAAAATATCTTAGAATTCTAGAATGTTCTTCGAAATCATATACGGTTCTAAAGAAATCTTTATCACACAGGCTGTAATTATTTTAAGAAAATTGTGTGAAAAATGATCGTTTGAGCAATCCTATTGATATTGTACCTACCTGTTTTGTGTATGAAGTATTAGACGTCTAAAGGATATTAAGATGTCGACTTATTTTTTCCTCAGGGTGCATGTGGCCAGGCACTCAAGGACGTATTATCATGTGTATGGTGCTGGGTCCTGGCTGGTGTGCTCGTGGCTGCTCATAGCGTCCTCACCTTCGTGGTACATGATCCAAATTGTCCCATGTAAGTATAACATTATTATGTACTTTACCAGTCACGGGATGACGGGACAACAGTGTCCCGGTCACTTGGGAGGCGTACGACGGGCCGAAGCCAACTGCGCAGAGGCCCTTTAGATAATTTTAAAATATCGCCTCTCACGCCTCTTGTCCCTGTAGGGGTAGGCACTGAGAGGCACGGCATTAATTGCCGTAATGTGCACCGTGTAGAAATGCCACTGTAAAATGTAACACCTACTTTTCATTATTTATGTTATGAGTCCCACGTAATGGGGGTGAGCCTATTTCGTCAACAACTCTATTAAAATTTATCTTGTCTGTGTATCAAATTATCAATCTGATCTAATGTCGTTTTCAGGGGTTACTTGGGGCCTGGAGGTTTACATGATGACTGGGTGGCTGCGAACTGCAGTGGTGGTGCAGCTGGTTACATCGACCGTCTTCTAATAGGTCGATCACACGTCTTCCAGCGAAGTGACGCAATGCGAGTCTATGGAGGAGAACCCACGGATCCTGAGGGACTTCTAGGTAATTAACCCATGTCCTTCATCAACAGCTTATAAATGCCCACTGCTGAGCAAAGCCTCTTCTCACACGGAGAAGGTTTGAGCATTAATCATCACGCTTGCTCAATGCGGGTTGGCGAATACAAACTTATAATTACAAATTATAAGCCCAGGCTTCTTCACGATGTTACCTTCATCGTTTGTCAGTGGTGTCTAGATAAACTTAGAAAATACATATAACTCGGAAAAATCACATTGGTAGGTAGGTACTTGCCATTGGTAGGTTTCAAACCCGCATCCTCATGCATAAGAAGCGGCCACCGCTACATACCTACGCATGTCCTTATGAGATATGAATGTCTCTGTTTCTAAATAATGAAAGCGTATTTCAGTATTTTTGTTATAATTTCGTGTATCATTTTGGCTATAAGAAAACAGCTGAGTCAAACGGCTAAAATTAATAACCAATTTAAATCCAATATTTGATTTCAAACAGAAACTCAATATAATATTAATGTTCTAAGTTGTTACTTACGGTTATGATTTTCGAAAATTAAAGAAAAAATATTTTGTTAAATCATTTCTGTGTGTTCTTCTCTAGGATGCCTTACATCAGCCGTGCAAGCACTGCTGGGTGTACAAGCAGGTGCCACCGTGCTTCTACAGCGCTCCCACAAGGCTCGCATCTCCCGCTGGCTGGCTTGGGCTCTGGTCTTCGCGCTAGCTGGGGCCCTACTCGCTGGGTTCTCAAGAGAACATGGCGTAATACCCATCAATAAAAATCTTTGGTAAGTTTCTTTACCTTATTTTAGAACTAATTAATGTTTTTGACATCATAATAGGGATGATGACAGGGTATGAAAATTAAAAATCTATATAGTCCGTCAGTTAGGTAATGAAAAAATATTAGACACGAATTTTTCATTTTGTCGTATAAGAAAATAATACATAGATAAAACGAATCAAAGTTTAGGAGTAGGTAGGTCATTTTAGACTATATACCTATCGTACTCAAAAGTCGTCATGCGATATTTCAAATCAATATATCTTCGAAACTATTCGTTTCCGTAAGAAAATAAAAATACGTGTCTACTGTTTTTAAATAATCTACCAGATGGACATTAAAATAAAAATTACTCATCTACCCTATCGACTCCAAATTTGGGAATAGTATCTTTGTAAATGAACCTAGTATTTTAGTACTTATCTATTATCACTGCTACGATGATTAGAATTACGCATCATGCAAAAAAGGTTATTTTAATACCAGAACTTACCACTTGATGAGCATGTTAATAAAGGTATTCTTTTTATTTTCCAGGTCCATGTCATTTGTCCTGGTAACATCAGCTTGCTGCCTCATACTTCTCTGTTTCTGCTACACTTTGACCGATGCCTGGAGATTTTGGGGAGGTGGTCCCTTCAGGGCTCCTGGCCTCAATGCTATAGCCCTATACATCGGCCATTCACTCTGCGCCCATCTGTTCCCATTCCACTGGAGAATCCCAGAAATGAGGACCCATGCAATACGTCTTGTTGAAGCTGTCTGGGGAACTGCCTTATGGGTCATCATAGCCCACATTATGGCCAAGAAAAAAGTCTTCGTCACACTTTGAAACCATATTGTAGATATTTTATTTGGAATTGATTTAATATAAGTCTTATTTTAAGTTGTAAATCTGATCATTGTATTTCTTTCGAATTGATTTTCTATCATAGATGTCGCTGTTATATAAGGGTTTTTCTTGAACAATATTCTATAATATACGTTTGTTTTTTTTGTATTGAGATTCTATTGTAATCATTTATGAGTGGAATACTTGTATTTTAAGAATTAAGTTTAGTTTTAAGTGTAGATATTTAAACCAAGACTGAGCGATAGAAAAACCATAGGTGCTCCAATAGTTCTCAATGTAATCTTTTGGTTTTTACATAATTATATGTATTTTATGGCTAATATAAAATCTAGTCTTAATTGTGTATTTGGAGATTTGTGTATGGATTTGTATGCAGGAACGTTGTACGTAAGCTTTCTAAAGAAAATAAAGGATTTAACAGTGATCTGGACTATTTTTTTCATTAACCATCAAAAAACCAAATGGAATTACAATACGCAAATATTTTTCGTTTGTTTTCTACGACAGGACCGACAACTTAGGATCGATATGATCATGGTCTATTGGAAATATCGAAATCTAGAGCTCCTAGTCAAGAAATAACACCTATCGGGACATCCCCCGTGAACCATATTTTCCGATTGAGAAGTGGGGGTGGAAATAACATTTGGCTAAAACCTTCCTTAAGAATCACTCTATCATTTAAAAAATTCTCTAAAAAAAAAATTAAAAAACCGCGTCAAAATCCGTTGCGTAGTTTTAAAGATCTAGGCATACATACGGACATACAGCGAAAGCGACTTTGTTTTATACTATGTATTGATGTCATCAAATGTGTGGTGTTTGTCATGAACTTTGATCTCGATTGTTTTATGTATAGCAGCTGCACTTATGACTTAGATTCCAGTCATAGCTATGTTCGAGTCGATAGTGGTGTATCGCCATGTGAATGAGGTTCACAGGAGTCCAAGTAATACAAAACATTTGTTACAATTCTGGTGTTGCAGGTATGGACGGCCGATTGCTTACCATCAGATAATCCGCATTCGCCTGCTCACTTGCCGCCATATCCCATAAAAAAAATAAAATGTTTGAGAATCTTTTTAAGTGTGGGAGAGCCATGCTTCGGGCCAAATGGGCCGGCTCGACCGGAGTGATACCACGGACTCAAAGAAAACCGACGTGAAGCAACGCTTGCGTTGTGTGAGTGAGGTTACCGGAGGCCCAATTACCCTCCCCTTCCCCAATCTCCCCAATCCCTGAATCCCCAACGATCCTCAAACACCTAATCCCCAAAAGGCCGGTAACGCACGTGTAACGCCTCTGGTGTTCCAGGTGCAACGCCGATTGCTTACCATCAGGTGATCCGTCCGAACGTTCCTGGCTTATGGCTTAAAAAAATTAAAATTGATTTTATTAGTCGATTTTTTTCCGACCAAGTTACGTAATATTGCACTTCTGAAGGAAAGCTATTTAAGAAACTATCTCTATTTTATACAAATACTTAAAACCAAAGGACAGGGTAAAAGAAACAAATCATATTACAATATTTGACGTTTTATTAGAAGGGTGACAGTAAAATCCGCAATGTTACTGAAAAATAATAATAAAACAAACGATTTAACAAATCATGACTCAAGGTAACGTATAGTTTTAACAAATAAAACTATCAAATAAAATTACTTTATAATGAATAACAAGACCCGCTCGGCTCCACGCGGAGCGGACGGCGCGGGCGGCGCGTGCCACAGACTACGATCCATGTCGGCTCATCTACATGATACATCCAACTCAAACATCCAATTAAAACAACCTCGTGAATCGTAACATTGTCACCCAAATATGTATGGTGCCTACTAACATATAAAAGTAAGTATGTTTGGCATTTCATTTACATTACAAGTTATTATGTCATAAAAAGCCGGCGCGAACGCACCTCTCTCATATATTAATTCCATTATAAGTTAAATATATTACTAACATCAGTTAATTCATTATAATTCCTATAAAATCACTTTTGCAGACGGTAAATGCCATATTAGGAATTGAATATTTCATATCTTTAAATAATTATATATTGTTTTCTAAAAGATAATTCACTATCCTTGCTTATCGAGTAAATCAAATAGCTGATAGGCAGGCACACTTTGCAGTTTCAATAATAAACTTGTATGTAGGATCGTAGGTACTAACGATATTTTACTAGAGACCTAACTTGTATAGTGATAAAGACATGTAAACAGTGTTTCACATATATATATATGTATATATCTAAAATTTCCTTAGAAAAAATCTCCTAAAATATATCTCAATTCTTTAAAACATCCCCCGAGGTGTCGGGGACAATAATGTCGATATATTAATTCAGCGCTATATAAATAGAACATTTTCTTAAATTACTAAATAGGAAGAACATTTACGAGTGTATAAGAGAACAAATTAATTGCACAAACAGTGTATTATTACACGAAACAATGATATTACCTATATACAGGCATTCAGGTAAATATATCTCTTCATACATTTAGATATAATATACAATCTTGTCACTTATATATCAATCGATTTGTAGAAAGTATGTTTGTTAAACTTCTTACAATTTGTTGTAGTTCTGTTAACAAACAATGTTCATGTTAATTTCTACAAGCCGATTAGTAAGGACAATGTTAAAATTTGGAAGAAACTAACATTTGATTGGCTAGTCTTATAAATTATTCAAACGAAAATTTATAACAGCACATTTTTTTATTTTTAAAAAAAAATGTGTTAATTTGTTTACAAAGTTAGTTAAATAAAGTCGAGGCGCACTGGAAACATTTATTTTCGGTACCTTTCCGATTCGTGTTACTGAGAACATTAACGTTGGTATTTTTGTCTGCAAATACAAACGAGTGGGACAAAAGTCTGCTTCTGTATTGTGAATCGGACCGTCTCCGTAAACAAAGGTTTGAAGTGTGTTCGGCGCTAAAGTCTACAATTAGTTACAATAAGTACTCAAGCTCACTTTAAGTCACTCATATTACTAAGAAATGGAATGTTAGAAAGATCACTAGCAGTTTGTTATATGGAACTATCACGCTGAACGGTAGCTACGGCGGAGTTGGCAAGACCACGAATATACTAATGCACTGACTATTCATCTGGAGATTCTGCTAGAGCATGTTGTTATATATGTATTAATTCATTAAACTTTTAGGCACCTTGCCACAAAAAAGGATAGCTCACCAATCCATAGATCCCTGATATTTAATATCGTTCTCTATTTTTTACGCTGGCAAACTGTAAACATCTCCATTTTTGTCAGCAGGCAACCCTACTATAGTAAAAATACTGGATGTAAATAAATGAGTTAGCTCATTAGAGTTAGTTACGTTATTCTCGTTGAAGGCATGCCATTATTTTGTACTTGTCGATATAGAGCGCAGAACTGAGAATACAGCTAATGTTTCTATGAAGGCCTCCAGAACGAGGCCTGACGGTTCTACAAGAGACTAGACATAACCGAAAACACTTGTCACACAAATCGGTTTTAAATAGGTCCACTATTAGATACATAACTAACTTTATCTTAAATACAAGGTAAAATCTCTAGGACAATACACATTTCGCTATAAATGCAAATTCATGGAATTCAATATTAATCGGTAAGACGCACGCTGGTACACTGTCCGCCTTACATTATTATGCTACTAAGATTCCGATAACACAACGCACCGCGACTCGCGAGCTCAGTTCCATAGGTATCGGCAACACGCTATGTCCCAAACTATATTAACTTTAGTAGTCTCTATTGATAATCTAGTGTCAATACCATCAACATGATTCGGCCACGACCTGGCCACGGCGAGCCACACAAGTACAATGTATGCTTTGGGTAACAATAAAATCCTTAACCTAATTGCACATTTTAATTAAAACACGCATAAAATAAAACTTACACACTAATTATCGCCGTTAGAGCGCTATTATAATATATTACGAGATTTCAAACAACACGCGTAAATAACTATTGATACAAATCTAATCCCCAGTACTATAATTCCCTGTTATCAAGTCATCCCTCGCGTCTCGAACGAAAACTGTATCAGAGTTGTATAAAATAAATATCTAGTGTGGCACTTGACAGTTTGTATACCGACGCAGTGGGTATATCGGATCCAGCACCACAGAATACCTATTTACTATCAATTACAGTGAGCAACCATTCAAACGCTGACAGTTCTTTCCCCGGACACTCGTGTATGTAAATACGTCTAAAATATACATTGATTCCGTTATGGGACAGCGTCATACTTGGACAATCAAGTGTTAGTGTGGAGCCCGTCACTTACGTCCGCGCGCCACCATGGCCTGCAGGGAGGCGACCTGGCTCAGCAGACTCGCGTTCTTCTGTTCCAACGTCTCCACCCTTTTCCTGTAGTCTGTGTTCTCAGATATCAGTATCTCCACCTTCCTCTCCAGCTGGTCCATGTACTCCTTCTTTTTGCGTCTGCTTTCTTGTGCGGATATCTAAAAAATGAAATGTTTGAATTGAAATATACGGCTTCTACATCTTCTAAACTGTTCGAGTAAATCTCTACTAGTTTTAAGTCATATTGGACTCTTATTTAGGACCAGCGTACGCACAATGTATTTAAATTATTTTAATACCCGATTGAAAGAAGGGTATTGTTAAATCATTTACTGATTTGACAAGAATTTTAATCCATAACGTTTTTTTTTAAACAAAACTTTGCCCCACACTATGATTTTCTCCTGTGTCGTGGGTGCGTTTACAAACATACAAGTTCACATAAACATGACACCCAGACCCGGGACAACAATCTGTGGATCACATAAACAATTGTACCGTGCGGGAATCGAACCCGCGACACGTTGTGCGGCAGCCGGTTGCCCAGTCACCGCACCAACCGTGCAGTCAATGTAATGCAAACTTACCTTATTTTTAATTTTCCTTCTGATTTTCTTGAGGGATTTCTCTTCAGCCTTGGTGAGGGGCAGGCGAGTTGGTACTGGGTAGCCTTCAGCAAGTAACGTGCGTTTCTCTTCTTCTGTTAGCACTAGTGTTCCAGTTGACCCTTTCTGTAAACCAATGAGGTAAGACTTAGTCATAAAATTATGTCTCAAAGGGATCATGATGAGAATGTTACAATACTACATCAAAAGATCAAAAATATTGAGGCTCAGTAGTTAGATTAGCTTCTCTTAGATTAACAAAAAGAAAAGAGCTATAGATAATAACCTAAAAGAAACAAGAGCTGAACTGAACTGTGGATTATGCCAGAATATATCACACCAGAAGCTGTAGCCAAATGCCATTTAGCCCTTGTCTACTTGTAGAATAGAAAACCAAATTATATGGAATTGACGTAAATTTTGACACTTGTCAGTGTCATCCATCCCCATACATTTTGATTTCTATTCTCTCTGTAGACAAGTGCTAAAGTGGCGTTTGGCTAAAGGCTCAGTTGTAGGCTAAGTAGTAGTAACCAGTTGCATGTACCATGAAAATAAAAGGCATTTTGCAACGACAGCGAAAAAGACCAATAAATTTTACAGTAGAAATATAGTAAGTTCTTACCGGTTGACTGCTAATCAAGGGGGTGTTGATGGGCTGCCGGGTGTGGTGAGACACGTACAGGTGCGAGCGACGCGCCGGGGCCGCAGGGGGCGCTAGTGGAGCTTGGGACGCTTCGTGAGCTGGAGACAGGGCGCCCTCGCTGTCTGATGAAGACAGGGATGATGGAGGCGTCGGAGGGAGGTTGAAACCTGAAATTGATAAATAATTTGTTATTTTCTCGCTTTGAGAAGTTAAGAGAGCAGATCACGGTCAGGTCTGTGGAACATCTTGAAACATTTCCCGGGATGCATACCGGCTAGTCGTAGTGTTCCCATCTATATGGTGTCGACTCGTCTATCATTTAAGCAGAAAGTACGTGAGCTAATTACTAGTTACTCACAGACTATATTTATGTATGTATGTAATGTATGTACTCGTCTGTAGGTATATATTATAATTATGTTTATTTATGTCTGTCTCTGAAATATGTAAGTGTATCTATTTTATTTGCTCAATTAAATCGTTGCTTGCTTCTTGCTCACACCATTAACTCTTCTCAGCATCACCCAAAGGTCAGACTGGGAGAAAACGCCTGCGGCATTAAATCCACCTTATGAACACTTTGTGCATGAAGCTTAAATAAATAAATAAATAAAAATAAACTATATTATATGTTTATTAGAGCTATTAATACATAGACAAGTTGATGATTACCTGATGCTCCTGAGCTGGAAGTGACCTTGATGGAAAGTTTGTTAGAGTTGAGCGAGGTGGCTAGACGCGGCGCAGCGCTCAGCAGCAGTTGTGGCATTCCCGCTGCGCCGACCTTCTGTAGAACGGCTTGTGGCATGTGAATTGTGCCGGTCTGCAAGTAAAGAGACTATAAGAATTTATGTTAGGAGTTTTGTCGAAGAATACTTTATATATCTATACTAATATTATAAAGTTGAGGAGTTTTTTTTGTTTGAACGCGCTAATCTTCGGAACTACAAGTCTCATTGAATAATTCTTTCTGTGTTAGATAGGACATTTATCGAGGAAGGCTATAGGCTATAAAACGTCACGCTACGACCAAAAGGAGCTGAGCAAAGCGTGTGAAACCGCGGAAGTAGCTAGTAAAAGATATTTGAGTATAGTTGAAAGAACAGGAAAATTTCTTGATTGGTTAAAGTTATTTGTAGAGCGGTCATAACCTGTTAGAAGGAACTTTAGTGCTGCTCAAGGAAATGTAGCTACAATAAAAACATCAGTTTCTTGTATGAGAAAGTATTCCCAACTTACAATATTTACTCTACGTTGTTTAAAAATACAAAGATACACGAGAAATGGCTCAAGTTAAAACGTATTTGAGGAATGTAAACGACGTTGCAAAAACTGTTTGCTGTTTTACAATAATCGTTGAAGATTCCACTCCGACAATGTTAAAACGAAAACCTCCGGAGTGCGCGATTAAAGATAATAATTACGTACATAATGACCAAAGAGTCACGCACGCAATGAAAAACATGCCGAGTGCGTGTCAGTTGTGAATAAGCGGTTATAGTTCCGTATATAACTTTGTGATGCGTTTCCGAATTAATGTTCTGTTCTGACCCAATTAGGTTGCTTTTTCATTTCTATTATTTACTATTTCTACTTTCCAATATATTTGTATGCCTCATTTGGTGAGATATCCTACAAAATTGACTTAAACCTGATTGAAAAAGTAAATGAAGTTGGCATATTCTTTTTGGAAACCAATAACAATAAAGACGATTCAATTATCGAGATGCGGAATGCTAAAAATCGTCAATTTTGTAAAGAGCCGTTTAATTCGTGTGGACACGAGAAAGCTGCGGAGTTCACGAAATAAATATTTGAACTTTAACGACCTTTAGTTTTTGTCGAGTTATCGAGTCGTGAGGCACTGACAGATAGAAATGAAGACGCGACGCGTGATCTATTGAAAGAAGGCGTGCCCTCGCACGTAGCAATTTAATACTCAATTAAGAATGTGTTTCCCATCGTTTGTTTCTAAATATAGGAAGCGATATAATAATCACGTTCATTTGAAGTGAAAGATGGTTTATTGTCTCATTCCTTTTTCATGAATAATGAAGATATTCTGAACCAAACTACCGCTTTCATCACTCAGGCTTGTGACGATAAACGTCTAGGTATAGTTCTTATAAAAAGAGTGAAGAATGATCTAGACACCTTTTTTACTTAAAAACGCAACAGAAAATGCATTAGAAAGTCTTGAAATCGTGCAAAAAGCTGTGAATGTACTTTAATGTAATTTTTAAGAGTTAGCCAGAGAGGATTGTTAGATAACTGAAAGCGAGCATTAAGTAATATTAAATTAGACTAATATTGAGAGAGTATTAGATTGGTGTAAATTAAAGCTTTTGTGATGATTAAATCAATTCTTGTTCTGTTAATAGACAACCTCTTTGAATGACGATGTTATAACTTCCACCGAGAGGCAATATGACTGGCAAAAAAAAAGATATAGGTACTTCTTTTTTCAAATTTGGAAGTTTTATGTATTGGTTATTATGAATTAGACCCAAGGATTAATACTCCAAAGATCATATTCGTTTGGGACTTGATAAAAAGAACATCCTTACCGTGTGGTCAATAACATAGTCAAGGTGTGTAACGGGTGTTCCAGGGGTGGGTGAGGGCGGGCATGATGACGCTGGGGACTCTGGTTCAGACTTCGGTTCAGCTTTTACTTCTCTTGGAGGGGAGTCACTGGACCTTCGTCGGCTGCTCCATGCGCTGGCTGGCATTGCTGGGTAGCATTCATCTTCCATGTCTGGAATTATTTAAATAAAAGATATAGGAACTATGTCATCATGGCTTTTGTTTTACTCGGCAGTAGCCAGAGGTGTAATTCGATTTTAAACCTGATTTTTTGCTGACTACACAAGTATAGCTGATGGAACATCTCATCTCTATAGATATCTATCACTCTTATTAAAGAAAACTATTGTAGTTTATATCAGGTAGAACATTTGGGTGGCAATTGCGTTCATATACGTTGCGTGCTCCAACAGTTCGGTGTTCGTGTGTATGATTGAGGCGTTTTCATATTAATAGATTTATAAATTGCTATTAAATATACATAAGTAGGATATCATTTGTAGTTATTGAGTAAATTAAGTAAAGCTGCATGGAATATCATGATTAGTTACAACAGGAACGTTAAGTATGTAGTTGAATTGAATTTTTTATTTTAATTCAAATGAGTATACAGGTCACTTGATGCTAAGTAATCAGTGCCGTCCGTAGACTAAGTATCAACAGAGGTTTTACTATTAAGTATTTTGAACACCTTAATATTGTTATTATGATAAGATCTCAAAAAATAAAACGACTCCTGATATGCCAAGTACTTTATATCCATTCAGTAAGTTTAAGTGTGGGAGAACCATGCAGTGAGACCACGGCCTCACAGCAAACCAATGTGAAACAACGCTTGCATTGTGTTTCGTCGTGTAAGTGAGGTTATTGGAGGCCCTTTTACCTCCTCTCTCCCCAATCCCTAAATCCTTAACAATCTTCAAATTCCTAATCCTCATAAGACCGGTGTTCCAGGTGTCCATGGTGGACGCCGATTGCTTACTATCAGGTGATCCGTCTGCTAGTTTACCGACTTATCCGATAAAAAAGTAACCATGTTGAACTCTTGTTGAAATATACGTACGTAAAAAAATAGGTCACATTAATAAGTGAACATGGAATATTGTATTAAGTGGCTTTATGACATATGTTATTGTTTAATTTTGCACTTGAATATTAAGTAGATGCCATTTTAAGAATGTAAATGTCACTTAATTAATAAATATCATTCCAGATCAACTAAAAATACTAGTAGTCTTAGAAGGTTTCTAAGGATGTACCGATATTTTTGTTACTACAATTTTAACATGGTATGAAATTTGCTTTAAAGATTATTAAAAATGCAATGACCCTGCATGAATGCAATAGAAGAAGTAGATGAGAAGCAAGAAGACTGTGAATTTGATCGCTAAAGACATTTAGACTCTTTAAGCCATAAACTTAAATTTCAAACAACAACAGACAAAAGAAAATCACTTCCAAAATCAGTCAGTCAGTAGTCACAAGTATTCTATTTCTAGATAAAAGGATAGCAGTTCCCTATTGTGTCGCCCACATATCTATTTACGTTTTCCCAATGCTTTCCCCGACTTGACTTTCATACTCCACTCTTTGCGTGGGGTGCATGTACTACTTTCCTATTATTCTCACTTACACAGCATTTAAAGTTATTTTTAGATTGCGTGGGCTCGTTACAGGTTTTATATGAAAAGTTGCACCCGACGTTTGTACAGGAATTGGTATATGCTGTTCGTTTAAATAGTTTCTAACTGCAATTGGAACTGTGAACATTAATTTTATTCCAACCTTTGAACCAGTGATGACATTTTGGATTGATATTTGTTTCAGAAGTACCTACGATTTGTAAATTTGTCTCACGTATTGTCTGATATTGTAAACTAGATTTTGACTCATTTGACTGGTATGATGTTAAAGAAGAACAATTACACGACCTTCACCAAATTACGCCCAGGATATCTCATGGTTCGAAATAAACTTCCTTCTTTCTTATCATACTTCTACATTGGAATGTCTGTGTCTTCCATAAAGTACAGGAAAACAGACATAAAGAGAGGCTACAACCAGTAATGTCAGTCTCGATCCTGCCCACCCCTCTGACCTTAGTCGTTCACTCAGGCTATAATTTAATTAACCACATTGTACGCAGCCTTACGTCCATCTAAGCGGTTATTACCCAGTTTTTACAGTTACATCATTGAATATTGAACATGAACGCTTGATTAACTCATTAATTACTAGTTCCACTTAATTTCTAGAACGGAATACACTTCTACTATGTTTTGTAATTCGTTAATTACTTCTAGTGTTTGTTCGTTGTGTACAAATTGTCTAATTATATCAAGTTCTGTTTGATTTAGGACTAAAAAATGTTGTTTTTCTACAGAACTGTCATGACTTTTAATCAACTTATCGGTTCCTACATTGCTGTTGTATTTTTCGATGGCAATATTCTCAAATAGCGTTTGTATAACTGCCCAATTTGCTAAAACCATCAAATGTATCGTAGGAACAAATCTATAAAACTACGTATAATTCATCGATAGAATTTATAAGAATCGAGAACTTTTATGTAACTCAATAATACGGAAGACTCTATTATAAAATGTGGAAAGAACAGTAACTATAGACATTCTCTTTAATATTCATTCCGTTAACAGATCGTTTGGTCGTAAAACTTAAATCATTTGATTTATCACCAGCTGTTAATATTATCTTTACATCCAATCTTTATTGTAATTGAAACGTTTTTTTTGATAATGTGAATTTTGTATCCGATAAGAGATTTTGGGCCAATGACATGTTCGTAAATTTGCTAGGGAATACCCTAAATATGTCCGATATTAATGCCATCTAACAGCATTTTACAAATTAGTGAACCATTAACACATAACCTAGAATACTTTTATCGATTGTCCGTATAGGTAGAAAGAATTCACACACAATTATTAGTTACTTAAGAGAGAGAACAATAATTTAATAGGTAAGAAACTTATATCGATACAATTTTAACCATTCCCAACAAATCTAGGAAATGAAATATGTCATCTAAGTGAGACATATCTAGGTGCATCTAATGCAATAAATTGTTCTTTCCATACCGAACAAAATACGAATAACGATAACAATCTCCAGCATTGTCTTTCTAAATCATCGTTAGTTCCGTACGAATACGTAATAGGCCTTAATGCCCCTATCAAAACAGCGACAACTGAGATAGATGAACTGATGATGTCGTCCATAATAGATGATGTCATGATGATGTATGATGGGACTGGACAATCGGCTGATTTATCGATAGAAGAAATGCGTTACACAATGGCTAGTGAAGTTTATTTTATAAAGGATCTGTTATATTATGCAAGTGTTGCCCTGGTATTTTTTTAGAGACGTTGTGTGGAATTCGTTTCCTGGTACCTGACGTACCGATTCACGAAGTATTTATAGGTACTAGTTCTAATTTGATCAAAATTTTCTTAAAATGGATAATTCAATTAGTGCAACCTCAATGCCGGAAAGAAACAAGGGATAGAAATTAAAAAAAATAATGATATCTAGAAAAGGTTAGCTCGCAGCTTGCATATCTAATCTATCTCACACCGAAAAAAATTAATTTGAAGCATAAATCAAAGACCACCACAAATGATACTCTTTGATTGAATTTACATCAATCTACTTAACTCCTACAATCAAGATGAATTCTCCCAACCATGGTTATAACCACCAAACAATTCAAACGTTACTGACAACTCTATTAAGTGGTTTGACCATGACTCCGTAGATTTTAAATACACTTGACATTTTAAGATAAATCTTCAGCCCATCGCGGTACGTTAACCTGGAGGTTCCTTTCACCAAAATCAGTTGCAAATTGAAGAGTCCAAGTGGCCATGATTAAATTTAATGATCGACTCGTCACGTAACGGTTTGGTTTATAAAAAATATGGAAAATAAATAGCGAATCTCTGTGGGTGGATTAGTGAGAACAATTTTATTTGCTCAGCAACTTCATTCATGTCTATCTATTTGTTTTGATAAGTAATGTGTGTATGTTCTACTTTATAATAATTTTGAAGCTTTTCAAAATAATTATGTAGATTCGATTGCATACTTAGTTGAAAGAATTTCATTCAGTACCTAAATGTAATTGTCAAACCTATGACACATTCGATCAACAAGCGCGAGATTGGTCTTAACGATAATATGCTTTTTCAAGTGAGAATTACATGTTGATAACTCATTAATTAAATTTTCACCTATTAATCAAAAGATAGCATTTTAAGAGGCGTATAAAGTTAATGAAGCGTAAAATTTATTTTTTTACGGAACGCACGAATATTGTATGTATTTGTATCGATGACGTTGCATACTTATCAAATGAATGTATTTTATTATCAACGATACCATTTTACTGGAATTCACATAACGATATTTTATCTTTTGTTCATCTTTATTAATTTTGTTTGAGTGTACGATATTGATTGTAGTATTGATAGCCACTATCAAAATATATTTATGTATGTGTTTATGTAATTCTTTCTACGAGACTTGTGTTTCCAGAGTTCTGTCACTAGATCGCGTCACTAGTATTTTTTCTTTGCTACTCCTCTTATTGCTTAATTCATATAAAAGTAGTTCAAAACAAATCTATCATTCTTAAGTATTTCAAATAAACCTACTCTTATTCTTTTGCGAAATATGAACTACTACTAAATATGACTACGAGTCATTATAATGATGTAACATTTTAATATAATCCTTCGGAAATGTCAAAGTTTGTCACCTTGTCTCACCATAACAGGACATGGAATTATAATAATAGCCCAAATAACAGTAAAATCAAGAATACGTCCAGTAGGTACATTGTTACTGCATTCATTCTCATTTAATTCATTTTATTGTGAAATGTCAACATTAACAAATTAGCATTTTTATGAACTCAAAACTAAATGTCGAATGTCAGCAAAAATCAGGGTAAACGTTAATAATTTTATAAAATAAATTATTGCCAAACAGGTATAGAATGAGGTAGCAACTGTGACCTGACTTAAAAATATAGTGAATTTTCGAAGAAATACATTGACGGCTATTTCAAATATAGTTTTAACTAAATAAACGTAGAGTTCCCCAAGGTTCCGTTCTGGGGCCACTTCTGTTAAACAATTATCTAAGTAT